TGTTATCACGACCGCACTGCCTGAGAAACTTCTTGTCACTTCAACCATCAAACTAGCCATGGCTTCGGTCTATGGGCGTCCAGGACTGATGTCCACCGTGGCACAACCCCCGCTGATGTCAGTGCGGAAGGTCAAGAAGACTGTCGTTCCAGGACCCCGTCTCCCAGAGACCGTCCAGCCAGAGACCGTCCAGCCAGAGACCGTCCAGCCAGAGACCGTCCAGCCAGAGACTGTTCACGTCACGTCTGCCCAGCCAGAGACTGTTCACGTCACGTCTGCCCAGCCAGAGACTGTTCACGTCACGTCTGCCCAGCCAGAGACTGTTCACGTCACGTCTGCCCAGCCAGAGACTGTTCACGTCACGTCTGCCCAGCCAGAGACTGTTCACGTCACGTCTGCCCAGCCAGAGACTGTTCACGTCACGTCTGCCCAGCCAGAGACTGTTCACGTCACGTCTGCCCAGCCAGAGACTGTTCACGTCACGTCTGCCCAGCCAGAGACTGTTCACGTCACGTCTGCCCAGCCAGAGACTGTTCACGTCACGTCTGCCCAGCCAGAGACTGTTCACGTCACGTCCAGCCCAGCCAAGCCCTCACCGCTGGTTCCGTCCAGCCCAGCCAAGCCCGCACCGCTGGTTCCGTCCAGTCCAGCCAAGCCCTCACCGCTGGTTCCGTCCAGCCCAGCCAAGCCTGCACCGCTGGTTCCGTCCAGCCAATCCGAGCCCGTCGCCTGCCCGCCAGAGCCTGAGCCCGTCGCCTGCCCGCCAGAGCCTGAGCCCGTCGCCTGCCCGCCAGAGCCTGAGCCCGTCGCCTGCCCGCCAGAGCCTGAGCCCGTCGCCTGCCCGCCAGAGCCTGAGCCCGTCGCCTGCCCGCCAGAGCCTGAGCCCGTCTCCCGCCCGACAGCTCCGCCCTGGACGCCCGAGGGTCCGAAAGCTCCGCCCTGGACGCCCGAGGGTCCGACAGCTTCGCCCTGGACGCCCGAGGGTCCACAGCCTGCTCCGGCCTGGTCACGCCCACAGCCTGCTCCGCCGTGGCCTCGCCCTCAGCCTGCTCCGTCGTGGACACGCCCACAGCCTGCTCCGCCCTGGCAGTCTGGTCGTCCAGCTCCGCCCATGTTCCATGGCCCAGGTCCGCCATCGCAAGACCCCGGTCCCGTTCCCTGCACGGACCTGGCCCGCCATCCCTCCCCCGGGACCGCCTCCGCTCCACCACCCTCCCGAACTATGTCTCTAGTTTTGATGGGCGTCGGGAGCCGCCCATAGAGGGGGGGCTATGTTGTATGTCTGTCTGTGTTCCCCCTGTCTTTGTGCTTTTGGTTCAGTCCTGTTCAGTTTTCCCGCTCCTCGTTTGTGTTCATGTATACCACGCCCCCTTGTTATCTTGTTTAGCTTGTTTGGCCTTGTATTTAAGCCCTGTGTTTCAGTCCAGTCTTTGTGAGTTCTTGTTGTTGTAACATTGATGTTGGTGGTTCTGTTCCTGAGTCTTGTGCCCTAGCCAGAGTCTTTATGTAGTTTGAGTTTATTAAATAAAGTGTGCTGCAATTGGATCCTGCTTCCTCCTTGCTTCCACCTCATCATAACACTAAACATATACAATTAGTTGATTACATTTTTATTTTCATTTTTTAAATGATATTAGAATATTATACAAGTAACAGGGTTGACACATCACTAACAGGGTTGACAAGAGTTACCATATTGGTTCTACTGCTTGTTTTAGTTACAGTTATGGGTGTAATGGAGTCTTAATTGGACATTCATAAACCTTTAATTCAACATGACTAATCAGCATATTTTGGAGACAGATCTATTGAGATATTTTAGCATAAAAATTATGCAAAATTATGATGATTCTGCGAATGTAAATGTAAACCAATTGTTTTATTAAAACATTAAAATTACATTGCAATTAAATGATCAATTGAACATGTTTGGCCTTAACAGAATAAGCAAAAACCACTAACGATCACTTACTAAAGGCCACTATAAAAAAGTATAAAAAAACAAAATGCAGATCATATAATGATTATGTAGGCATTTGGTGAGTGTGTTGTAAAATAGAGGAAGTAAACAGGGTAAAAATCTTATGTCTAGAGAAATTGGGTTTAAAGATTAGACACATTTCATAGGGGCCATTTCCTGCTTCTATCCTGAGGGTGAGTGGTGATGCAGCGATTTATTTTGTTAAAAGGATAGTTCACCCCAAAATGTAGATTCTGTCAGTAATTACTCACCCTAATGTTGTTCCAGACCCGTAAGACTTTTGTTCATCTTCGGAACACAAATTAATATATTTTGATTAAATCTGAGAGCTGGATCACTCCTCCATAGGCTTCTAAGGGATCGAAACTTGCCGGCCCAGAAAAGTTATGAAAGACATCGTTAAAATAGTCCAAGTGACTGCAGTTGCTCAATCTTAAGTTTATCAAGCAATGAGAATACTTTTTGTGCGTAAAAAAACAAACAAAAATAACGAATTTATTTAACTATTAATTTCCTTCTCTGTGGGCCTCGAGTGAGTTCACGTAGTGTAACAGCGCAGCGCTTCTGTGCTGCTGTACGTCACACGCAGGCTCACTATTGGCCAACGCTGGTCATGTGTGTGATGCGTGTGACGTTCAACCAGAAGCGCTGCGCAGTTCCACTACGTGAACTGACTCAAGGCCCACAGAGTCTTACGGGGTTGAACAACATGAGGGTGAGTAATTACTGACAGAATTTTCATTTTGGGGTGAACTATCCCTTTAACCATTCCCGCCCAGCAGACAGTCGTTAGTCCTCAACTACGTCCACAACAACGCTTTAAGTACTGGTGCTTAGGACCGGAGAAAAAGGACTCGGTAAAGGAAAAGCTAACTGTTGAATATGTTTGGCCTTAACAGAATAAACAAAAGCCACTAATAATCACATAATTTAACATTCCTGTCTGCCTACCCAACAAGTTGACCAGATGTCTTTCCATATTTCTACGTGCCGTGCTTTCACATTAAGAGGAGCAGGAATCATTCTTAAAATTTCATCACCAGATGCAGTCCTCACGGGCTGGCCAGAAATATCTATTCGGGCCGCTTTTTCCCTGTGTCTCTGTCCTTTCTCCATTTTGCCCTCTCTTTTCCTAAATATGCTTCTTGTCTCTCAGGATCAGCATCTCTACGTTGTCTGTATCTGCGCTGTTTCTCCAACCCAATCTCACGGCAATTCGTACGAATTTTACGAGGTGGCTAATTCGTAACAATGCGTACGACCTCACTCGTATGAATTAGTAAGATTTTTGCTAAATCGTACATATTTTACGAGTTGCCAAATTCGTACAAATGACCTACCCCTGACCCCGCCCCTGAACCTACCCATCACGTGAGGTCGTATGAATTCTTACGAATTAGCCACCTTTTAATCACTCGTACAAATTCATACGAATTGGTCGTCAGATAGCGTTGGTTTCTCAGCTGCAGAAAGAGGCATCCTAACAAAATCAAATCAAATACATAAAACACTTTAACAGCAACCTTGTTCATTTATTGACTTCTCATAATAAAAATAATAATGACTTTTGCTTTATAAAGCACATTTATAAAACCCAATGCACTTGTGTGTATCAGTATAGATCAGTAACCTCAACACATTTTAGCCTACCTATCAGTAGAATAAATAAAAAACATGATTTTTAGGGATGAAACCTGTAAAAACATGTATATTATGTAAATACTATTAGTAAGAAAAGTACGTCTGTGAAAATTCTCAGTCATCCAGGTCATAGTTATCCAAGAAGGGTTGGCTCAGGAGTGACAACCCCACAGAGGTTCAAAAACCTGGCACTCCCCATCAGTCATTTAGAACTGAAGAAACCCCTTGGATGAGAGGCAAAATATCTTCAAATATGGAAGTACCAAGTCCAGTTGCCCTTGATTTAACCCGTCTTGGGTATACAACATGGGTAAGACACACAAAGCATATACTTTCGTCAACCCTGTTACCCTGGAATGGTAACAGGGTTGACGGTAACAGGGTTGACGAAAAATGTTATTGGCGGCCATTACTAGCCATGAGGTATAGGTAATAACACTACATTATGTGCCTTAATGAGAGGCTTAAATGTTGTTATATATGTACATTTTTAAATATGTACAAATAACGTTTTAACGTATGCTTTTCTGGTAACAGGGCTGACACAATGAGCGTGTCCCCATCTTTCAGACATTACATAAACTAAAAAAAAATCATTAAAAGAAGAGAACACTTACTTGTCTTCTACAATCAACTTCATGAAAGGCAGATGATGTCATTTCCTGGAACTGATGCAACTTTTGGAATAGTCCATTATCTTTAAAGAGGTGTTTTCATAAAAAGTAACAGGGTTGACGCGAACTTAGGTACCCGACTAAATTGTGTTTTTTTTCTAAATTTGACACATGTTAAGAATAAAATCCATTCATAACTAATGAACTGACACTTAAGGCTTTATATAAGTATGTGTTTTTTTTATAATAGTTTGACTTTTTTGGCCTTGATAGCAAGTAGAAGTAGAAAAATCATACTGAGGGACAAACCATTTTCAACATTTCTGCAAGATGCTTTGCACAAAAATGTGATTAAAATCCTATAAAAACAAAAGAAGCAGAAATTAATTTATTCTTATATTATGAGACATATTATGGAAACTAAATTATAAAATATTTTACTTGTTTTATGGTTCATTAAGATTTACAGAGCTTTTTTTTCTGAGGGACACAAAATGGCACGTTTTCGTATAATGACCCACATAGCTGTTAAGCTCATAGCTCATAGATATAGCGGAAACCTACTCTTTAATTTTGCATCATTCGGTATTGAATTAAAAATGTTCATTTATCGTCATGATGCGTCACAAAGTGTCAACCAGGCCTATAATTTTCGTCCGTGATTTTTGACGAGACGTTTGCTGCAGTCATTTCTGCCTTGCATATGCAAAATTTCACACAAGAATACATTTAGATTTAGTTAATTTAACTGGAATTGTATTTACCTTTGCAAACTGAAGATGAATTACTATTATCGATATGATGAAGGTCTCCTATAAACGGCAAAGACCATGGTCCAGGAGGAAAGTTCTTCGGCGCTTTATTTCTGATATAATCACTCAGCAATAAAAACACACAAGAAAATATCAAAATACTTTTGATATCGACCCACTCGTAAAGGTGCAACAGGTCCATGACTGACACTTTCTGGATTGTTGTGTGCAAGCAAAGCCCGTGGTGCAAGTTTAAGCGGAGGTCGAGCCAGATCCAAGTGGGCAGGGTTTAAATGACCGCAGTTTCCTAAAGATAATTTGTGGTTTGAAATTCAGATTTCTTTTGGCTCTAGTCAGCAGTGCGATGACGTAGACATATCTCATGTCATTCTTCATGATTTTTGAATTCAGGTTTAACCCTGGTCCGTGTACGTTTTGATAGTTTGTTTTCCAATTTGAAACGAAATAAGCAAAATGAGAAAACGGCGCCTTATTCGTTTTTTCAAAAAAACGAAAAAAGAGATTTCGCCTTGATTTTTCGTTTTTTAGTTCACAGGCAAAAAACGATTAAATAAAAATCGTTTTCCACATGTGGGCGGTCCTGAGACGCCCCCTTCCGCCGATTGGTCAAGCAAATCTGAACATGTGACGTCATCAGTCGTCGCTCAGGTCTGTTCAACAAAATAATAGTCCTAAAAAACTGTACAGGGCAGGTCCTATTGGGCTTATTTCTTCTGTGCAACTTTACACGTTTCACAGAAATCTTTACACCAGAAATATTAAATATTAGTCTGCCACCAGCCCGTTTATTTAGCTGTGCAGAGTTAAATCTGTTTGGTGAAGCTGTGCTTGACAGCGGCAAGCGGGAGAGGCTCACTGACCAATGTTCAATCAGCAGTCACAACTTTTCTTTTAGACAGTATACGCTCCGTTTTGACACGGGATTGTGATTGCAAATACTGTAATGCCAATCGGCTGAGCTGAGGGTGGGTACCGATGATGGTGAAATACATTTTTACTATCATTACCATTATCATAGCCGTGACCCGCGAGAATGATTGACAGGACGATAGAGGCAATTAAAAGCGCAATATAACTTCAGTTAACAAAAACACAATTAAAAAAAGTGTATAATATAATAAGTGACTTTGTCTTTGTTTTTATTGTTTTTAATCAAATAATTGTTGTGAACCACAAACCGAGCCTTCGTTTTAAAGGGCGATTTCCAAATATATTTTATTTATTTGTTATAATATGGGTATTTTATGTCACCTTATTAGTTTGATGATAGTATACGCGAGTTTTTTTTTTATTGTACTATTTTATTGTTGTTTTTTAATTAAAGGGGTCATATAATGCCATTTTTTTGTACAAGCTAGTATGATTCTTTAGGGTCTAAATTAAAAGTTTGTAATATACTTTAATTAAAAATTCTCATTAGTATGGTAAGAAAACACTTATTTTACTTGGTCAAAAACAGCTCTGTTTTCAGCACCCGTTTCAGTGCATATGACTTTAAATTATAATGAGCTTTGCTCACCCCGCCCCTCTGTTCTGTGCGTACACCGTTTGTAACACAATAACACAATAACCATAACGCGTTGTTCAGTATAAACATGGGATTATGACTTAGAACATCATACATATTAAACATGCCGTAATGTACCCAAGTGTAAACCTTAGACGCATTCATTGTGAAGCGTGCAGCTAGCGATTTGCAAAGATTAATATAAATATTCATATAAAGTTTAATAAAACGTTACACTCACTTCAGTTGTTCTAGAGGTTCAGCAGGAACACGAATAGGCCTTTTTTCATGAGCAGCTTCTTAGCAAAACCAGCTCATACTGACCCTCGTTTATAAAGCAGTCTGGTGAGAAATGATTCGCGCAAACATGAAAGCATTGACGTTGCTCGTGGGGAATATTCCCTTCGAAAACAAACTCAGCCACTGCGTCTTCAGCGGTTCGAAATTTAGGAACATTAAAATGACTGCTGTGTTCGTTATTACACCCAAGAACAGAACACCACAATCGCTTAGACGCCATTCTGCTCATAGACAGTGCTCCAGCATATAAACAATGACCGCACTGGCCCGCGCAGACTATGATTGACAGCTGGCTCACGAGCGAGGGCGGGTCTGTGTTGAAACGCGGCTGTCAATCAACAATCGCGGGAGGGGCGTCCGACCGTGTGACGTCACACGGTCGAACGGGCTCGATTTGAGGCAGGGGGAAAACATATAAGGAGATTAAAACAAAAACACTGGATGAATTTTTATCATTTTATGATGGTTGTGTACTGTACAGGCACTGTCAACACACATTTCAGTAAAATCAACTTGTAAAAGTGCATGTACCATTATATGACCCCTTTAACAATATATCACACCAATTTATAAAGATCAAAATCTACAGAAGAAATTAACAAATAACACTGGTGTTGTCATTAATTAACTAATCAATGGGAAAATTTCCTCACCGGCACAACCCCGTAGTAGGGAGCCCGAGAAGTCACCTGTGGGGGGAAAAAAAAACAATCCGTGGCAACTTGTAAAAGTGCATGTACCATTATATGACCCCTTTAACAATATATCATACCAATTTATAAAGATCAAAATCTACAGAAGAAATTAACAAATAACACTGGTGTTGTCATTAATTAACTAATCAATGGGAAAATTTCCTCACCGGCACAATCCCGTAGTACGGAGCCCGAGAAGTCACCTGTGGGGGGAAAAAAAAACAATCCGTGGCTACGGTTTTGCAATCCGTTGTTGTGCCGAATTTCGACTCCCTGCCAAATTATTACCCCCCTCATTGAAGTCAGTACCTGATTGCCTAATCCTAACCCCACCCCTAATCCTAACCCCTCCCCCACAACTAATCCTAAACCTAGGGGGGTAATAATTTGGCGGGGGTCAGAATTCGGCACCACACCGTCCCCTCAGTTTATAAACTGTACTCATGAATTCTTAAACTGTTCGTTCCCTTGGTTTAACAATTCGTGCCCACGGATTAATAAACCGTACCCACGAGTTCCTATCCGTGCTCTCAGATTTGTAAACCGTGCCTTCAGTTTTTGCAATCTGTACCCACAAATTCATAAACCGTGCCCACGCTTTCGCAATCCGTACTCACGGGTTTGTAATCCGTACTCGCAGGTTTGTGGCCCCTCCCCCAGTGTGTGCCGCATGATTCAACCAGACCTCTGTGCGGGATGCATGCATTGCACTGTGTTTAAAGCTAATTTTTTTAAATGGATAATTTCTTGGATTTTCTAAAAAAAAAATATTTCGGCTACTAATCTTTAAAGTCCCTTTTTGGGAGGAAAAAGCTCAGTATAATATAAGCAAAAAAAAAAAAAAAGACTTCATAAAAAAAAAAGAAATAGCCTATTACACAAACACATTTCCAAAACTGTAAAAGGTTAGGTTATATAAAAATAAAACATTCATAAATGATTTTATGATTAACATAGTCTTAAGTTAACTAATTTATAGTAATAAACGCAAATAATAATAATTATCATTATTTTTTATTACATTTAGGCTACGCCTATTTAAAAGACACTTTACCCCCCCCCCCCCCTTCTCAAAAAAAAAAAGAACAAAGCAATTCTCAAATGTCAGTCATAATACAAGTTAGACAATAATAATACAGGGCTAAGATTATCACAAATAAATTTTGACGCATATCCAAGTGTGCAGAGCGCGAACTGCATGGCACGGAGGCGCGAGCGCAAACACTTGCATTTTATCAACAGTGGAAACAACTTAAAATAATCTAGCATTTCTGGTCATAGGCTACAGAAAAAAAAAATATAGGCTACATCATTCGCAACTTTTTATTTGTGTAAACTCACAATAACAAGAAAACGTTTTGCTTTTAATTTAGGGCACAGTTCAGACGGAATAAAAAGATAAGTTGTCTCTCATCGCTATTGACTACCATACATATTTTTTCCGAAATAAGGTACTTAGGCTCTCTATTTATTTAGTCCGGTGCAGAGCCATAGAGAGAGCATTTTAGAAAATATACTAAAGTAGAAGTTGTTCCAACCCTGTATGAATTTCTCTCTTCTGCTGAACACAAAGGAAGATATTTTGAAGAATGTTGGTAACCAGTTGATGGGTCCCACTGACTTCTATAGTATGGAAATCGATAGGGCCCATCAACTGTTTAGTTACCAACGAAATCTCTACTTTTGTACTCTCCGTAAACAAGTAATGTATAGTAGCATAATGTAATTTACCCTCAATATTCCAATAGCAGCCTTCAAATACAAGCACCAAAGTTGTTGAAATGCTGTGAATTTCAGTTTATCCTTCATTCCAACGACATAAATAGTAACAAAACTACTTATAGGCATAGTTCACCCAAAAATGAAAATTAGCCCATGATACTCAAGTCATTCTAGGTGCATATAATATTATATAATATAAGTCCATAAAAGTGCATCTATCCATCATAAAAGTGCTCCACACGGCTCCAGGGAGTTAATAAAGGCCTTCTGAAGTGAAGCAAAGAATTTGTGTAAGAAAAATATTCATATTTAACACGCTACAAAGTAAAATTCTAGCTTCCGGCCAAACGACCCTACTTGCGCCTAATGCACAACTTATGCAACTTGTGACGTCGGAAGTAGCGTATTGCGCCATGGCGTAGCGTAAATATCAGCAGTACGTCGCATTACTCGCATAAGTTGCGCTTTACAGCACAATTCGTATGTTCATTTGCCGGGAAGCTAGTTATTTTACTTTGTAAAGTTTTAAATATGGATATTTTTCTTACACAAACCCTTTGCTTCAAAAGGCCTTTATTAACCCCCCAGAGCCGTGTGGAGCACTTTTATGATGAATAGATGCACTTTTATGGACTTCAAAACATAAACGGCCATTCACTGCCATTATAAAGCTTGGAAGAGCCGGGACATTTTTTTATATAAATCCGATTGTGTACGTCTGAAAGAAGAATGGTCATATAGGTACATCATATGAGACAGAATAATCTGTATTTCTTTTCCAACACGTCATCAACAACATTGATAATGCCCCATTAAATACAAATAAAATAATTTGGGACTAAATTCTTGAAATAACCATTTATTTCTATTAAATACAACACAGACAAATCCAGTTAGTGTTTCTGCTGTGACTAGCTGCAAATATATATGTATAATCTATAATTATATCTAATTTAGATCATAACAAACTCTTTAAACAACATATCCTGTACATTTTAGGTACATCTGCAATTCAGTGTGAAATTGCGTAGTTCATGTTAAAAGGAATTAAAAACCTGTGCTAACACCAACTTTCTAGTGTATGCTTGTTGGGTCCATGTAGTTTCCCTGCAGTATGTATATAATGTATAATGCATCTCAATCCTTTAGTTTTTGCAAAATAATGACCAGTTAAAAGTTATGATAAGGGCCTGAACACTGCAAAAAAATAACACCTGGAACTGGCATACTGAATGTCCTATTTTCAATTCTTCTGAGTGGTTGGCAGGACACTTCCAGAACAAAAACGTCCTGCATTCTCTTGTTAGTGTGTGTATCTTTCAGGGCAACGTGTCCTGCGGTGTGTTAGTCTGTATATAAGAGAGTGCGTGTAAGTCTGGGTGGTGTTTCTTGGTGTGTATGCGCAGGTACTGTTTGCCTGCGAATCGCTTTCCACAGCGGGTGCACTCGTACGGTCTCTCTCCGGTGTGGACAGTCTGGTGAGCCGTAAGGTGTCCCGACTGCGTGAAACGCTTCCCGCACTGCTCACAGCGATACGGCCGTTCTCCAGTGTGAATGCGCATGTGCGTGTCCAAACTCTGCGATGTGGTGAAACTCTTCCCGCAGATTGAGCAGATGAAGTGTCGCTTGCCGGCTCCACCCCCCCGTAGAGCGCCCAACCGCCCATAGAGACCCAGCCCTGAGACGTTACCCAGAGCAACGAGCCGCTGTGCAGCAAACAAGGGAGAATTATGGGATACAAAAGAGTCTGACCCACCAATCCTCTGTGGTGAGGTCTGCAAGTGTGTGAGTGTGCTACGGACAGAGTGTGCGGCCCAATCGGATACCGGGTCCAGATCAGTCTTCGCACACAAATCTTCCTGAAACACTCGATGGAGATGGGAAGCGCGAGTATCCGACATGGTTTGAGCAAGGGAGAGGGAAGCGTTATCCGAAACAGACAAGTCGAGGCTGGAGTGCTGGGATTCATCGGCGCCGGAGTGTGTGTCTGCAAATGTGAGCGTATGGGAGTGTGTGTCATGGTCAGGGGAGTGTGAGAGTGTGTGAGAGTCCTGTCCCGAGAGCTCAGCAACATCTAGTTTAGGAGAGTCGTGAGCTACCGCAGAGACACTTTCACCTTCGTCCTCGTCGTCGTCCTCATCTGTTAAGAAACAAACAGTATGAACACACCACACTCATTTTGAAAAGGGTTGGCATGGACTTTCAGGGTCATTCCGGGTACATTTTCACGTCCCCATCATACATGCACTGATATATTAGATCATTTTGAGTAAAATTGATTAAGTAAAAAACTGTTCACTGGGCTTTTATCATATACATTTTTTTTTTATAAAGTAAAAAAATAATAATAATTGGAATCAGCAACAAGTATGAATTACTAAAAAGTTAAAGTAATAATTTGCATAGAAAATGCAATACAAGGCAATATGCATGTCAGCTTTGGCTTGCTCAGTTGGGGCTTAAAAGACAATCATTATTCAGAAAATTTTACCTAACTGTACTGACTGACACGATCAGATAAGAAAAAAATAATTAACTGAGCAGAATAATGATGCTATTGTCTTCAGTAGAGCTGCTTTATAGCGGAAATTGAAGTCGTTTCATAATTGGTATACTGCATCACTCAAACTATTACTGAACTAAATTGAATTAACATTGAATTGAATAATGATACTATTGTTTTGAAGAGCTGCTTTACAGCTGAAATTGAAGTTGTTCCATAATTTATGAACTTGGCAACTATGACACTGTTGTTGAAGTGAACTGACCTGAATAAAGACACTATAGTCTTCTGTAGATCTACTTTATAGCTGAAATCAAGGTTGTTTCATAAATTATGAACTTTGCAAAATTAATACTGTTATTTTCCTGTTTATTACGATGAAGCTGCTTTGACACACCTTTGGCTTGCTCAGTTGGGGCATAAAAGACAATTAATATTATCAAAAATATCATTGATCTAACTGTAGTGACGGGATCAGACTGAACACAAAAACCTGAACTAAGCTTAATAATGAAACCATTGACTTTTGCAGAGCTGCTTTATAGCTGAAATTGAAGTCGTTTCATAATTGATTCATAAACTCTGCAACATTGACAGCTACTAAGCTGAATTGAATCAACATTGAACCGAATTGAGCAGAATAGTGACACTATTGTCTTCTGCACAGCTGCTTTATAGCTGAAATTGACATTATTTCATAATTGATGAACTGCAAAACTGACACTTATTGAACTGAATTGAATCAACATTGACCTGAATATAACTGAACAACGGCACTATTGTCTTCTATATAGCTGAAATTGAAGTTGTTTCATAATTGATGAACTTTGCGACATTAATGCTGTTATTCTCCTGTTTATTACCATGAAGCTGCTTTGCAACAATCTGTATTAGCCTATATGAAGTGCGATGTAAATAAATGTGATTTGAAGTGGACTATATGAATTCATCACACTCATTTTGAAGGGGTAGACATGGACATTCAGGCTCATTCCTAATATGCAGTACATTTTCATATTCCCATCATAGATTTTTTTTATCATATTAGTTAGTAAAAACATGTTAATAATGTTCAAAAATGATTTTAAAAGCAAAAAGTGTGAAATACAGAAAAAAATAAGTAAAATATATTTGCCTCAAATCCTTGTGTGAACCGTGGCATTTGTTTAGATTTTAAGGTTTGAGCTGTGTCAAAATCTGGTGAAGGATGTTTTCTATATTAATTGAATCACAGTCACACTCACAACACATGTATATTCGTTTTTTTAACATCATGCATAGAAGTACGAGCCCTGGCTACTCACCTCCCAGCGGCGGCTGCTCAAGACCTTCCTCTTTGATTTGCATTTGGATCAAATCTCCTCCATCACGAAACTCACGCGCCTGGAATCAGATTAATAACAAATAATAATCGCTTTTACACACACAGATATTTATTGCTTCCATTTTAATCACACACACAAAAAATGGTCATCTAACCTCTGACACAGCACCCCGGCTGGTGGACTCTCCGCCTCCGGACGTTTTTCTGCCCACTAGCGACTCGCGAGCACTACTGTCACACCGACCGTCTCGCGCTACGGTTGTGTCGTCGCTGTACCCCCGCGCCGCAACGATAGACTCTATGAGCTGCAGTTTCCGTCGGAGCTCCTCGTTCTCCTTCTGATGGCGTGAGATCTCGATGTGTAAAACGGCGTAACCGTCGTCCACAAGCTCGCAGATTTCTGCCACCGCCGCACGAGTCAGGGTCTCCATGATGGTCGCGAGCTGGGAGTGAAACGCCCGGTAATTCGCCATCCTTCGCGCTCCTCTGCGTCTGGGCCGCCTGTAGGTCCCGCGGACAAGTGTGCGCGTTGTAGTACAACTTAAGGTTACGGTGACAGCTGCTTTCAATAACCGTAAAGTAAAACTGTCCGGTGTTGTTTTTATTTTCTGTGTGAAACGGTGTAAACGCTCTGACTGTTGCTTGTGGAGGCTGATGTCGTTTCCGGGGGGCTTCGCTCAGATGTTGTCAAAATAAAAGTCACATGTAGACTATTTTTGTATTGTTCAAACTTAATCATAAACTGCTAATAAATAACAATGAAATGTCTGATTACTGATTTATTAAAATATGAATTTTATACAATTGCACCTGCTGAAAACAGTTTTCTTCATAAATCGTTTACAACAACTAACTAAATTAAGGACAGACAGAACAATGTGGGCGATGCAAATTGCCTATTTGTTTACTCTGGAGCAGGCTAAAAAATACATACTTAAAAATCATATATATATATATATATATATATAGTGACAGCATACACATATTCTGGACATTCCATCCCACACATTAGGGCAAGCTACCAAGAGACAACCATGATTTAAATTTAGGGAAATAAATTTCACACATGTATTTAAGGTTCAATACTTTGGTTGGTTTATTTGACTCCAACTGCAAACAATGGCTTCAGATAAATTGTTTTGTAAAGGATGAAGAGTTCTAAATCATGATCCTGTATATTTCATTATCATTCTGCATGATATCAGACACTTAGAATGATGTGATTACATACATTTCAATAAGTAATTATTCTTTCATGTTTACAGGTGTATTCTCACCTGTATCAGAAAGAACTGGTAAAAAGTACAGAATATAACAAATGTATTAATCATGGCATAAGGGCAGGTATGAGTACACAAGTCAGATGTACGTGAATAAGGGTGCATTTATCTGCGGCTGGTGGTACCAGATTTCCTCTTCCCAGAAAGGAGATGTTTAGGTTTGAGATCAAATACATGTCGATCAGATTCACCCTTCCTTCCCTGCCTGTTCATGTCCTTCTGTGAGCTCTTCATCATGGTCTTCACCTTCTTCAACATCTGGAAGAAATGAGACAGACAATCAGTCCACTCCACTGAACATGTTTGTCCTTTGAGCAACATCTGGAAGATCTTTTTCTATAACCTACTATCTGACTAAACATCTTTTCATACACAACTTCATTTCAAACTTGTCTTGTACATGAATACAGGCAGTTTCTGAATCTGACCTTGGAATCTCTGACACCTGATTGGTCCCTTGGTGGTCTTGAGGCGCTCTGACTGCGAGTACGTGACGTCGGTGGTGCAGAGACTTCCCTCTTCCTCTTTCGAACCAGAGAGCGAGATCGTTGAGCATAGTGGCTCTAGAGGGAAAAAGGTGAATACAAACATGTTCAGTGTACACAGAAACAGATCACCATGACCAAATGCTATACAAAATCAAGTGTGTTCCCAACAAAGATACAGAGCATGGAAAAGCTTCAAGTACACAGGTTCTTACATCATCTTTATCAGTCATGTCCAAACCCAGATCACCCATCTCCTTCTCCAGAGTCGCTCTCTCCACCTGCATTCCCACATAGACCATTCAAATTAAGCCATCTTTAACAAGCTAACAAATCAATTGCAAACAGAAAAATGTGATCTAATAGGTTGTTGAACAACAAATATTCCATAATAAAAACTAAAAAGTGCTTAATCTGAATAATTACATACTTTACCTAAAATATGTAAGTAATATCCAATATTAAACTACTTGCTATAATTTAAACATATACAAAAATAAGCCTGCTGGACAGAAGGACAGACCTTCTTGGCTGTGCGGGGTATTCTGGGTCCCTGTTTGTCTTTTTCTTTGGACGCGAGAATCTTTAGCTTCCGCTTCTCGCGAATCTGACTGGCCAGCTGTCGGATCTCCTTCATCTCTTCATCCTCGCTCTCCTCCTCAGAGTCGTACTCTCCAGCCTTCTCACGCAGCTCCTCTTCCTGCTCCAAATCCTCCAGCCTCTGAGAATAAGAGAAAGGACAGAAATTCAAAACATGTCATCCTATAAAAAGAATGTAACCAAATAAATGTTGTCATAAAAAATAAAAATAAACAGTGAGCAACAGTGAGGAGGGGTTACAGTCATGAAATGAGATATAATAGGTTACAGATTAAAGCTATAGCATGTTTTAATACCTTCATGATCTCCGGGTCGACGTAGTCAGCAATATTGTGACCCTCCCAAATCTCAGGAATCTTATCCTCCTTTTCTTCTGGATTCATCAAATCCCAGTATTCTGAACACACAAGACAACATTTAAAAATAATAATAATTGTCTAAAGACAATTTTTTTTTCAGACACGTCTGGAGTGTATATTTTATGTACATGTGTATGTCTGTGTTTATTTCTTACTCTGTAGATCAAGTGTGTAATCCTCTCCCAGCTCAACCTCCAGGTCTCTCTCCAGTTTGCGTTTGGGAGTATCCGTCTCCATTGCCTTCCTACGTATCATAGCACCTTCGGGAATAAACGGAGGTCTTTCCTGCAAAAACCAAATCAAAAACTTTTACAAACACACTATGTTTGCTAGAAGCATTTATGAAGAAATAAGCTTATAACCAAGCGGACAATGGTTTAAGAAGTGCGAACAGCATGTACCTTTTGATCTCTCTTGGCTGGCACTGCCAGGTGGAGTCTGTTCAAAACATCATGGACCTTCTTGCTTTTCATTTTTGTGTCCACACGGTGAGCCAACAGCCGATCACATGCCTGTATAAAAAAATAATAATAATAAATTCACAAATCATCTAAACCATCAATCGACATCAACCTACAATAAGTCTTTTTCTCTAAAACCTGGCTGATCTCAGTAAGCATATGTGAGAGTGAAGCTGATTGGTTGGTCTTACCTCAGTCTTCACCAGCATCACTCCCTCTTCTGTCAGAGCGCTTGTCTCAATCACTGTGACCCCCTCAGCAGTGAGATCCGCAAACACTTTCTACACAAACACAGAGCTCAGTTTAGTGTCACTGCACAAAGTCTCAAGTTGCAGGTACATTCTCTTATAACGTCTATTAAACTCTAAACGGTTTGAGATTAAATCTGTTATAGATCTTAGATAAAGGCTAAAATAGTGACAGTGGGAAAAAAAACCCTGATTATTATAAGACTTGTTAAATTGAAACAGAAACGGTCTTTAAATCTGTATGCTGTTATTTTGTCTGCGAAACACAAAAGAAAACTCTTCACATCAAGTTCATAAAAGAACAAAGGCTGCATTTATTTGATCAAAAATACAGTAAAACTATTAATACAATTTAAAATAACGTTTCTATTTTAATATATTTAAATATAACATAAAATGTCATTTATTCCACTAATGGAAATGCTTAATTTTCAGCATCATTACTCCAGTCTTCAGTGTCGCATGATCCTTCTGAAATCATTCTAATATGCCGTTCTTGTTCTCAAGAAACATTTCTTATCAGTGTTTGTAAAAACCCAATTCTTCTTTTTCCTCAGGATATTAAGAAACAGCATTTATTTTAAAGATTTAAAATAAAAAATAAAAGCTTTTATAACATTGTAAATGTCTTGACTGTCACTTTAACTTTAAAGTATCCTTGTAATGATAAAAAAAAAAAAAAAAATCTTACTGACCCCAAACTTTTGAACAGCAGTGTACATTTCATTGAACTTTTTTCAGTTCCAGATCTGTCAGGAAATTTTGTCCTGTTTCTCACATAAAGCTATCACAGGAATTTAGAAGCCTCTGAATATAATGCACAAATCATATGGACCTACTTTTTCAACATTTTTGGAGCTTGTGTGTGTTCCCTATAAATTGTCATTGTATGAAAAACAAGTGAGAAGATTCTTCAAAATTCTTATTGTTTCATAGAGAATGAAAAACAGCATACAGGTTTGGAATGAGATGAGGGTGAGTAAATAATTGAATTAATAAATCCCTATAAAGTTTACTTCAGCTCCAGGAATTCCTGCACTGTATAAGAGGATTCAGAATGTCATTTACCTGATTCTCGTCCGACAGTTCACTGATCTTCCTCACATCACACTTATTGGCCATCACGATCAGAGGCTGCATCACACAAATAATCACTGCTATCATTCAGCCCAACAAAACCATATTGTTTCACTGCATTTACATCTTTGTATGTGTGCGTACCTTGTTGGCAAACAATGGCCGTATATTGTTGAACAGCTCTAGTTGTTGTGAGAGTGTGTGTCCGCACTGCTCTGACACATCCATGACGTAGAGGACAGCAGAACGCAGGTGAGCCAGAGCGGTGATGGCCTGCATTTCTATGGTATTCCTTTCCTCAAGAGGGTGATCCAGAATACCTGGGGTATCAACCACCTACAAACACAGACCCGTAAATAACAGGTTAGGAACATTTTTATTATACACAATTGTAGAAATCAATTAAATGAAATCAGTTGTCCGGGAATCCTATATTTTTCTACCACTCACCTGCCAGCGCAGGTATTTGTAATCCATGTGACCCACAAACAAAGACTTGGTGGTGAAGGCATACGGCTGGACCTCAACATCAGCACGGGTCACCTGTACACACATTAAAACTTAATTTAAAAAACAATGCACTAGTGTTGGGTGATACTCCTCTTAATCAAATCGTCATCATTCACTTTATCATAGGAAATGACGAAAGTGAATCATTGGAGTTAAGGTTTTAAGAGTCAATATTTCTCTTGTGTCCCATGTGTTAGTGAAAAAATGAGAAGAGAAGTATTTTGTGCTTTTGAAAGTCAGTGTTTGAAATAAAGCTGCTCTTGATTTTCATTGAAGACTGATTATTGCATTGTTCAGACCTGTTATATAATTCTCAGGGTAGGAGGCATTGATAAGTTTCTGTGCTCCTGTTTCTGTGTGTGCATAGCGCGATCTCCGCTCTCTGTGTACGAGTGATGTGATGTGATGTGTGTGTGTGAGCATCAATGAAAACAATGCATTAATATAGAACGGTGATTAAACTGACTTGGAACTACCTGGACTCTGAATGACCCAAGTGGAATGGATTTAAGGAAGCAGCAGAGTGGAAGTCAAGGCTGTAGCTAAAATGCAGAATGGAGTTTAATTTATAAGGTCATTGCTCAAGAGGAATGGATTTGACTGATGGCACTCTAATTCCGTGCATATGTCTGTTCACTTTTCAGAGACGGTAAAAGTAAGTGGGTCCAATATCATTGGTCTTAAAAAGTGGGTGGGTTCGTATACAATTAACCCATATACAATGGTTCCGACGCCCATGATATAATTCATTGTATAATAGACGTAAATGTTTTTAAAACAATTTTAATGAGTAGTAAGCTAATCTATATCCTCGCAGTGTGTCGGTTATGCGGTGATGAGCTATGGAATTATGGCAGGGCAAATTAATTGTAACAATAATTTAATAAATAATAATAGTAGCCTAATAATAATAAATGTAATACTTTAATTGGAAATCCTCTTGATATTGCCGATAGCTGATGCTTTTGACAATATCTCTGGCTATCGTCCATTTAATAGTCTATTGGTACAACCGTACAGCGCACACAGATTTGACATTTAACCTACATTCACATGCACAAACAAACCTTGTTGATAAAGCTGGACTTGCCGACGTTGGGGTAACCGCACAGCAGGAGGGTTCTGGTGTTTGGGTCAATAGTGGGTAAACGGGACAGATGCTGCCGCACTACGATAAGATAAATATGCATTTACTATGTGCATTATTTTTGTTTAACATTTATGCTTTAATGGGTGAAGCCAAACATCACTCCAAAAGTATACACTCCCATTCAAAAATGTATCAAAAGTGACAGTAAAAACTCTGTCACAAAATATTTCTATTTCAAATAAATGCAGATCTTTTGAACTTTCCATTAATCAAATGTATAAAAAATAAATAAAATAAAAAGGCAGATCAATTTTCAACATTGATACGAAATGTTTCTGGAGCATCAGTCCAGCATATTAGAGTGATTTTTGAAGGATTTGCCATCACAGGAATAAATTACAATTTAAAATATATTAAAATAGAAAAAAATATTTTAAATCATAATAATATTTGACAATATTACTGTGTTTACTGTATTTTTGATCAAATAAATGCAGTCTTGGTGAGCACCAGAGACTTCTTTAAAACTTTTTTTTTTTTTTAAATCTTAAGGACCCCAAAGGTTTGTGTTTCTGTTTACCAGACAACCGTCTGGTATTATGGAAAGTATTTGTGGATGTGTGTAAGTGGTTGTACCTTGTTCTAAATACTCCAGGCTCTGTTTCTGTCTCTTTAATATGGTGCACATGCGACCCAGTGCGGCCCGTTTCAGCTGCTTGCAGCGATACAGCGAATCTCCATATTTCATGAGCCGCACATAATCTTTAGCAACACTACAAATGCAGACACACAGTTTTACTCAGTTAAATGAATTTCATAGACCCACAGATATGAGCAGACCTCATAAGAGATACATTTAAAAATCAAACAAACAAAGGATGTAAATGATCTCATGTATCAGCCAACATATTTATATTAAAATCAAGCACAAATAATGCTAGAGTATATGTGCACGATGATGATGATGACGATGATGATAAACCCAACAGACTCACTTATCAATGAGGTTCTTGGCGATGTTGATCTGACCAAGAGCCAGTTTATAATGATCTTTATCATACAGCACATTCATCAGATCAGCATAGAAGGGGTGGATATCCTGAGAGAGATAAATAGGAAGTCATTTATCTATTAAAGAAGGGATGATTAAGAAGGATCAGCATGTGTGTTGTGAAGTTTGGGCGACACTTACATCCAGTTTGGGGAAGTCAGTGAGGATCTGTGACAGCCGATCATGGTAGTTCTGCTGGGTGAATTTGACTTTGCGCATGTAGAAATGCCTTATTCGGTGGATCTGGTAGTGTTTGTGTACAACAGTGGGAGTTTTTCGCTGGGTTTTGGATAAAGTCAGATCTATGAAGTCCTGCATGAAGAGAATCAAACAAAGAAATGGTTTATGTTTGATTTCCTATTTCTTATAATAACAAAAGCTTTGAGTGACATTATTGAGGAACACCAGGGTTCCCACATATTTTGGCAAATGACTATCCATGACTATGATTTTTCCAAATATTAGTGATTACTTAAGGATTTTATATAATAACCAAATTATAATAAATAATTGTATAAAAGGTAGCACTCACAAATATAAATTAGACAATGAAATACAATTAGAAAAGCTTATACCCACTACATTCCCACTATATTTGCATTCATTTTCCAGCAATGTATCCCAGAAATATATAAAAAATAAAATAAAACCTTTAAAAATGTGCATGCTTTCCATGACCATAGGGACCTTGGCACACATTTGGGGCTAGTGTTTTAATTCAACAACTGACAACAAATGGACACAAAAGTAAAGTAATCACAGGCCGAGTTACCTAAAATTGAGTTGATCTAAACTTTATTGCCTTATTAACCAAACAAAGATCTCAACCGCATTAATATTTCATCCCTCCCCAGATATAATAAATGCAAAACCACTCGTTCTTCATTTTCACATATGGCGCCAGTAAAAGCATGTTGACAGTAATGGAATAAATAAAATTATAAGACGTGAAAAGTTAAATGGCTGAACAACGCGCGCACGTGTACAGCGCGAGCAGCATACTGTCAACGTCCGTTATTAACGGCAACACCATCAGCACTTTCTATGGCATTTAACCCCGCATATGAGTGTCAAAACACGTCGTTAATTTCCTACCTTTGCGGTGGGAACCACCATAATCTTTTTAAAGTTGTACAGAGCCATGATTGCGGCGCACGCGAGTCCTCAGTCCTCAGCAGAGCACGCAGAAGGGCCGAAACACGCAGCGGACGCGTGTCACGAAGAGCAACACACGTGGTACCGGACTGACGCGCTCACAGCGTCACCTACCGGAGGGAGGAGCCACACGGATCACTGCAACTACAGATCCACCATGTCGCATTGATGATAACAATGATAGCAGAAGCACATTTTTAAGACTTGTGTTTGGTTCGGGTCATTTTGAATCAATGTTATCGCATTGGACTAAAACTTACTGACTTTGCTCACACAGGGTACTACTTGCCACAATTTTTGTACTTTTTTGAGGATTAATGTTTATCCAGGAAGTTTGTTTTGAAATGCTTTTATCTTGTAAAAAATGGCACAAAGTCACACTTGGTGGACAAAAAATGACCGGCCTAGAAAAAAAATAGTGTATAAATCTGTTGTAATGCTATATCATTACCAAATATTGGATTCAATCTTTTTGTCAACTTGTTTCAATTAGGACAGGTCTTGTATTTCTTTTTGAAACTGACTGATTTTAGGCTTCATTGATCTGAGCTTGTATTGGTCAAAAATGACCATCATCAATGAATGGGGGAGATTGAAAATAAGAGAAACATTTAGTGTTCATCATGTTCATATGTGTGCTTGCAAAGATTAAGGCCTCGGACCTGTCCATGCATGGATACACGAACACTCACACACGTTGAGTGTACACAAACAAACTATTTTGAGTATTACAGGCTACACGTTACAGAACATGTTTTCACAGAGATGAAGTTTATCTTCAGATCAATGAGGCCTACGTTCAATCAGTTTCAAAAAGAAATACAAAACCTGTCCTAATTGAACAAGTTGACAAAAAGATGTAATTCAATATTTGGTGATAATATAGCATAACGAGCAATTTACAAGCAGGTTTAGTCCTAATGGCTCACTCTGGGTTCAGCGGCAAATGTTCAAAGGGCACAATGGTCATTTTGAAATAGAGCTTCGATTTGCCAGCGTGCCTAAAAGAGTCCAAAGCAGTGTTATATGTTTAACTAAAATGATTACATTTCTGTTGTAAAACTGTTAAAGTAACATTCCAAACCACACTAAATCACAGCACAAAATCAAAATAATTTTATTTAGACAATTTATTGACACATCATTTATTTGTACAAGTAAAACAAACCAGTTTAAGAATTTCTGAAGGTTTGCCCCCGATTAGACAAGCCTTCAAGTAACTTCAAATAAATAATTGTATTAACGGGTCTTCTGTTTGCAAACAGAGCACAGTAACATAGGAAGGGTTGGGGAAAAAGAGGGAGAGGAAAATGTAACAAACGGTTTCCTCAGCAGTAGTTCAGTGTGTATCATGCTCTGTTTCTACCAAAGTCCAGCAGTGATCAGGAATTAAGCTGATTTCTGCTCAGAGCTAGAGATGACAATCGTCACGCGTGTTACCATCAACACCACAAATACTGGCTCAATTGCAGCGCAATCAGAACACGAGCATATTTTCAAGAGTATACATAATGCTTGTCTGAACATGAGATGACGTATCTCCTATATACGAGTTGTGTTATTTACCGAGATGACTGTTGACCACCAACATACAATCAACAACAGAAGAAAACATTATTAATACTGATATGATGCACAAAAGTCAAAGGTTATGAAAAAAAGAGACAGAAAGACTTAACAGATGTGTGCACTGCACAGTTGCACACACTGTAATTGTAGTACTAAAAAGCTAAACATTTCAACACAACAGAACATCTGAAAAATAAATGGAACAAAGTGGGTGGAGCAGTGGGCGGAGTTTAAAGTTTGGGAGGAGCCATTGCTTGTGTGGAGTCAATCCTGTGGGAGGAGTTTAGTCAGCATGCCAAATATAGTTGGTAGGGAGGATGTTTTAGGGGAGGAGTTTAAAGATTGGGAGGGGCTAATGTGATTCACAAGAGGTGTGTTCGACTTAAAGCGGCTCTGCGCAGACCGATCGGTGTGTATGACATTGAAGTACCGCAAGAGTGATTAGAGAGCAGACGGCTCTCAATGCTTTCAAATCACACTCACGGTACTTTAAAGGGATAGTTCACCCAAAAATGAAACTTCTGTCATAATTTACTCAGTCTCATATTGTTCTAAACCTGTATGAATTTCTTTCTTCTGCTGAACACAAAAGAAGATATTTTGAGGAATATGGGTAACCAGACAGGCCCAAGCACCCATTGACACACCATAGTAGGAAAAAAAAAATACTATGGAAGTCAATGGGGCCCATCAACTGTTTGGTTACAAGCATTCTTCCAAATATAATCTTTTGTGTTCAACAGAAAAAAGAAATTCATACAGGTTTGAAACAACTTGAGGGTGAGTAAATTATGACAGAATTTTCATTTTTGGGTGAACTATCCCTTTAATGCCATCGCACTCACGGTACTTTAATGCCATACACCGATCGCAATCGGTCTGCTTCAAGTCGAGTACACCTGATGAGTCAGTGCTGTGGGAGGAGTTTGCATAGTAAATTTGCAGTCTCTTTCCCATCACTGTTGAAACATGAATGGATGAATCAATGAGGTAAACAAGTACATGTATTTATCTACTGTACAGGTGAAGCAGAAGAGTATGTGCACAACTAACACTATAGGTAACTAGATGAGATAACTACGGTAAATGTGTTTGAATGTGTGTATTTGTATGTGATGATTACCAGAGGTATTTGTCCTGCTGAGGTATTGTGTCAAAATTGTTTTATTACTAATCAGTGCTTCACACAAATACTGCAATATTGTGTGTTTAACGTGTATTTATGTATGCGTTTTTTTAAAAAGGCACCAGCAATGGCTATAAGCGGTGTGGCGTTTTTTTCCATTTACATAATAATCGGCCCTCTTAAATGTATGATGTTTGCATGCATGTGTATGAGCAAGTGTAAGCATGTGTGTGTGTGTGTGCATGGCTCCAACACTCACACTGCCACTTTTTCAAGAGACCGTATGGGTGGAGTTATTGCTTTCAGGCCATTCCCAGGGCAACTGTTACCACGGCTAAGAGCGTGTCCAGTTGTCATGGCAGCATGGGAGTGTTCAGGTGGCCGAGGCAGGAAGACAGGACAGGAGCGTGTGCGTGCGTGACCTTTGTGACCTCCGGCGTGGCAGATGAGGTGGCTCACCGTGTCCAGCGGGGAAAGCGTGTGCGAGTGTGTGTGCGTCTGTTCCTCACGCTGCTTCAGCGAATACCAGGTGAGGAAGATGAACAGGAAGCCCAGGAACTTCAAGCTCGCCGCCAGCCCAAAGTAAACAAAGCGGAGGGAAGTGACATCGTACTCCCAGCAGGACCCATGGAAACCACAATCCTGCTGCCACAGCATACAGGTGGTGTCAATCACAGCTCCAAAATAGATAGGAGTGGGGATATAGGCTGGAGAGAAAGAAAGAAAGAAAGAAAGAAAGAAAGAAAGAAAGAAAGAAAGAAAGAAAGAAAGAAAGAAAGAAAGAAAGAAAGAAAGAAAGAAAGAAAGAAAGAAAGAAAGAAAGAAAGAAAGAAAGAAAGAAAGAAAGAAAGAAAGAATATATCAAAAACTGAAAACATTCACCATTTAGCAAGCAATTCATTAAAACACATTGGTAGTTAGCAGTATTCTACAGTTCAATGGTTTGGGGTCAGTAAGATTATTTTATTTCTTGAAAGAAATTAATATTTTATTCAGCAAGGACATTAAATTAAACAAAAGACACCATAATTTACACAAAAGTATAAAGCAAACTGTTTTCAACATTGATAATAATAATAAGAAGAATTTTTCTTGAGCACCAAATCAGCATATTAGAATGGTTTCTGAAGGATCATGTGACACTGAAGAGTAATGATGCTGAAAATTCACATTTTGACCACAGGAATAAATAACATTTTAAAATCTATTAAAATTGCAATAATATTTCACAATATTGCTGATTTACTATCTTTTTGTTCAAATAAATGCAGCCTTGTTAAGCATAAGAGACTTCTTTCAAAAACTTATTTTAAATGATCACAAAAATGAGTCTACTGATTATGGTCTTCAGGTCAGATAAAAAGCATATTAATACTGATATATTGTCCAGCTCTAGTTGACAGTCACAGAAATATAAGAGGGAGTTCTGTAAAATCTATCCAATCCTACCAAGAGTCCTGAGAAGAACGAACTGCATTCCCAGAGCAAACGGCCTGTCCTCTTCATCCACTGACCTGCTCAGAAAATAAGAGCGAGAGATGAGTGAAACAAAGAGCAAAAGAGAAATGATATCCGAGGACGTGGAGAGAGGCAGACCTGAGCGTAACGATGATGACGGACGGCTGACCGCAGGCGGTTATGAGAGTGACGATGAAGAGAAAGATGAGGAAGGTGATGAGTGTTCCACAGGTGCGCTCACACTTTCCTGCCAGTGCGTAACCATTCTCGTTCAGGTACGTCTTCACGATCACCACCTGGAGCTCATGGTTTCCTCCTGATGGCGTGATCACCTGTCTGCTCTGAACGCATGCGCAGTCAGAATAGTTTCTGATCTGAGCGGGAGTAAAAACATGAAAAATGTCAACAATATTGACATAGACAATGTCTTTAGACAATTCTTCTGCTAGTTACATTTTTACATAGCCATTTTTATTTATCCTAAGGCAAATATGAAAAATGTTGTCTTAAGCAACATGTAGTAACATTAGGATTATTTTACAACAAAAATTTATTAAATTATCTGTAAAAGTTAAAAAACAAAAAAACAATCAGCCAATCATTATAGCAAAACAAACATTTGTCTGAGCACAAATTTCTTTGATGCAATTTTGTTTCACAAGCTTGCGATTCAACTCAATTTGATTCAATATTGATCAATTTTGATATATATTAGGTACAGTACATACAAAATCTCTCAACTAATGCTGTTAACTATACAGGGAACCCTGTCAGCTGGTATATTACTATAATATTAAAGGTTACAAATTACAATTAACAACTGATTTGTATCAAAGATATGCATAGGAAGGCAATGTTCTAATAATGTTCTAATAATAACTTTTTAACTATTTAATTATGTTCAAATAATGTTCTAATAATAACTTTTTAACTATATAATTATTAATTATGTTTCTACTCAAATTAGATTTTAGAAATATAAACATTTAAATAGTGGCATTCATAACAACTTGTTTTCATGAATGATATATTCACATACATTTCATTAAATATTGAAGAACGGGTTAAGTAAAAGTTCACATGCGCTATGCACTGCCGCTTTGCTTGAACTGAGGCAGCAACAGTGATCCATCACATCACATTAAAGACAGCCAAAACGGTATTTATTGTTTGAATTTCGTAAAAAAAAAAAATCTTGACAGATGAGATAAATTCTTAGGATCTTGAAGAATCAATAACAGCTAATCGAAATGAGAAACGATTAAAATCGGGAAATCAATATTTTCAACCCTACCCTTTTTTTCCAAGTCCAAAACATTTTTGGTTTTGTCATCCATTGGATTCACCATTTTTAATCTACATTTCCATTGATATTAATCCACGGTTTGTGAAACGGGGTCAGTAGACAGATGAAACAACTCACTCCTGAGGTGTGGTTGGCGATGTTGCTGCAGCCCGCCAGACATGGGTTAAAGTAGGTGATGCCATCAGAGCCGCAGACGGGTGCGTACTCATGAATCCTGCAGCCACAGTTGACGTTACAGCTTCCCGTTAGGTTTCGGTGAGACAGAGTCAGCGTGGGCCTGCAGAACACAGATCGAACATCATTCAGAGCAGCTCATGTTTGCAGGTGATATTTATGTGCGTGTCTACAGGGGTTTCTCCATTACCCAGTGGTGTAAGGGATATTGATTCCACCAAGGTTGATGCTCTCACAGCCGACGATGAAGAGAGTGGAAAAGCAGAGCAAAGACACTCCACTGCAGATCATGGCCAGCTTTGCTGCTTCTCTTTCGCCCAGTTTCAGCTTCTTAATTATGTACCCTCCTAAAACTATACCAACACCTGCACTGGGTACAATGATCAGACCTGCACACACAAACACACAATTACTAAAAACCCACAGTAAGTACTGTGATCAGATCGACACATTTGTGTCTGTGCGTGTGTGTTGTACCTGTGTATATACTGGCATTAGATGCTGGAACACCAAATTGAGATTCAATGAATTTGGGAATGAAAGTGATGAAGGCTGTGACGATGGCACATTCCGCCGTATACGACAAACTCACAAACAAAAACGTCACATTACTCAATATACGCACTGCTGCTTTTGGCAAATCTGGAGAGAGATAGAAAGAGACAGAGATAAATAAAATTTGAATTTAAATGTGTCATGCAAAATGTGCTCATACTAATAATCAGTGTTGTTACTAACCAAAACTGAAACTATTAGAAATAGTTTTTGTTAATTGAATTAAAGCTGAAATAGAATAAAATACAAAAATTAGATAAAAAAAACTTAAACTATTAGAAATGTGGCCTTGAAAACTAACATAAACAAATGTAAGTTGAAGTACTAAAATTATTCAAACTAAATAAAAAAATAAATTACAGCTTAACAGAAATATTAAACAAAGAAAAATGTATGAAAACAACAAAAGCACATAAAATTACTAAAACTAAAATAAAAACCCATATGAAAATATTGTAATTCAAAATATTAATAAATACTATAATACAGTAGTATATAAAGAATTCTAAAATAACACTGGGAATAACAAATAAATAAATAACAAATTTAAGATAAAAAAAAAAACAGACAATTCAGGGCCACCAAGTTAAAGGAATATCGTTTTAAATAAAAGTATGCATACAAATACTTGCCCATGTATTCAATAAAATACTACCACATCCAACTTGCTAGTCATCTCTACAAAGCAAATCTCTGGAAATCCTAGCTTTGTCAATATCTATTCTAGCTTAAATTTTTCTCCAAAGATGACTAAAAGAGTGTTCAAATCTGGGGTGTGTTTCCCAAAAGGACTGTTAGCCAACTATGGTCGCAAGTTCCATTGAATTCTATTGGTGACGACGGAACTTGCGACCATATTTGGATTTAGGTAGCGCACCCCTGTTTAGATAACTAGCAAGTTAGATGCAGGATTTTAGATCTGATCAGAATCTGCCTTTTGATCTGATATTAAGGTTCACCTTTGAAATTTTTGCCAAAACCCATGGAGGACGAGACAGCCTGGCTCTTTTCCTTCATCATCTCATCATCATCGCTGGACACATCACCTGCACTCTTTTTTACACGTCTTTTACTTTTCTTGTGGCGAGGCGGAAGTTTTTTAGGGAAGGAGAACATGGGAAAGATCACCAACAACATTGCCACGGCACACAGGAGAAACCCACTCCACCTGAGACAGAGAGACGGTTACAGTGTTAAGTTTACTGCATATTCATTGATAAAAAGTAAACAAGACGAGATTTTCCTCACCAGTTTCCTACAAACCGTGGGTCACTCTGGTCAATATTGACAATGGTACCAGGGTCGACATAGAATCCGATCAGAATCCCACCCAGCAGGTACCCAGCGGCTGGTCCAAGAGCTCCCATTACATACATGATAGCTAAACACACACACACACAAAGAAAATAGTGGACTTTTTTTAGCTGTCACATGCTCCTGTTGGTATCTTCTCACATCAGTGAGAAGCAGTTACAGACTTTGCATGGCAGAATTCAAGTCAGAGCAAAAAATAACTTGTTAACCAACAGGCTAAAAAAAAGAAGTTGTTTTGCTCTGTGGCTTTCTGTAAAAACACATTGGACATTTATGTCATGCATTGTATACACTCTTATGGTCGACTAGTATAAATAGTTGATATTTGCAATTTTGAGAATATCGGCATGGACTGTTAACATGCACACTTGCTAAAAAATAGAAGATTTTCAGTCCCAAATGTTGATTTTGTTTAAAAAATAATTCTGAGTAAATATCTGACTAAATATAAAAACACATTAAAAGTTTTTGGTGTGATGCCTGAAGTAAATCCCCTAAATTATTTTTCAGTGCATGTAGAGAATATAGAAGTCACTCCTAAAATGTTTAATTACTGACTAACATTAAATAAAATATGTTGCATTTTCAGCTAAATAGAAATATTTAACTAAACAAAAAGCAAAAACTTAAAATGAAAATTGAAAAAATAAAAATATTAATAAATACTAATAGTATATAAATAATGCACAAAAAAACCCCACTTGTCTGTAAACAATTTCTTGCAGATAACATTTTCAATTTTTTAAGTCACCTGAAGTATTCATTATTTCCAGGCCAAAACATCTTATCTGCGAAGCAAAGAATGAAATCTCAAGAATATGGATAGGTGGCCTCACAGAAATGAGTAGCTATATAGATCCATAGACAAACTGGTTTACTTTAAATCCAAATAGTTCAGTGTCTCTTCAGGGTACAGATAATTTCATAATTGGCTTGTTTACCCATAAAAATACCATGGGAACTAATAAATGTCAAAACATTCATCTTAAAAAATAAGCCATGATTGGGTTTTTTCAGTCAGATTTTTGGTTCAAGTCTCGAACATGTTCAAAAAGTTAGTGCAATATCTTGAGGGACTTTCATGATAGTTGACTACCAAGGAGAATACTGAAAAGTGGCACGGAAGTAGGTCTATATGTGCCCTGTTCCCATGAAGGAATTAGCCCCAAGCAAAACATTTTGCCTGACTGATTTGACAGAGATCTGGGGCAGATTAAGGTCTACAAAGGCCCCAAGGGTCAGGGATTTCTAGAGGGCCCACTCCCCAAGACAACCCACATGCACACACAATACAAACACATGCACATGGCTCAAATGTTGTATCACTTATAATAATCATCATAAATATTAGTGATAAAATATCACTAGTAATGGCTATTCGAATGAGGTGATTCAATCTCTGCTGGATTTTTTAAATGGGGTGGGACAGAGGGGCCCCATATATTAAAATATAAACATGGCTGTGTATTCCCTAGTTGCTGAGAACATTGTTTTCAGACCTAATAAAATACCCGTATTAGGTTTTTCATTTGGGTATACAGGGTTCCAGACTGCGACCATTTTTTGAGAATGTGCGAGTTAAAATTTTATGTGGTCGCATTTGTGCGAGTGGACGCTCGAGCAACAGAACGCCGTTGTATCAGCTGCTGCAGTCCGTAACTTATGTTCAAAATGAACGAGTAGGCTACATCATGAATCCATTTTCCAAAACGTGTTTTTGACTTATTCTGAATCACTACGTTACGCCTATAATAAGTGTTTAAATTCGGACTATTTTATCCCGGGGTCGACTCGGCTGCGGAGTAGCCCAGTGCCTGCGTGACTCGCCATAGACATTAACGGAGAGAAGTTCCGTCTACAATGTTCTTCCGCAAAACACGATAATATTGGTTTATTTACGTAGACGTCACGCGCATTGCACACTGAAGGTGAAACGCGCCAATTACGAATTCACGAATTAAGGCATATAAAAATGAAAAGGTCTCACGAAACACCGAGCCCCTTCCTACGTCTTTTCAGCGGTTATATTTTCCTCTGTCGAGCGATTACTCTCATGATCGCTCGACAGAGGAAAAGGAAATTATTATAAAATGCAGAAGGTAAGGAGTGTGAGATTTCTGCTTTTTGTTACAACTATAAACTTTGATAACGAAAAATCTGTATCAGTTTATTATAATACTCTAATCTTTTAAAATGTAATGCTTACATTTGAATGTTTAATGATTTTTAAAAGATAGAAAGATCATAATAAGACAGACAGATAGATAGAATATGATTCAAATGTAAAATGCTTAACATTACAGATTAAAATTACTGTCCAAAATCCATGAAAATCCTGAAATTTGGCAATGATAATTAATATATTACAGGTATTTCTGCTGCAACACAGAAAGTGTTTGCTAGCCTTGGTCCATTAAAACCACTATTCATCAGCATGCATTGATTAATCCCATGGCATGTAGCAAAAAAAGTGCGACCAAATCATATGCTGGTGCGACCAACTGAGAAAGTTGGTAGCACCAGTGCAACCAGTGGAAAAGTTAGTCTGGAGCCCTGGTATATATTTAGACATATTAAAGACTACTTTTTGTCAAAGTTGATTTTTTTAATTTTTTTTATTTGAAGTGTCAGTTTTTGCATTATTGTTACAGTCAAATCTGGACACAGAGAAAGCATTTAGTTACTAGCAACATAAGCTTGATCAGTCACATGAAAGTACTCAGAACATTGACTCTATTTGACATTGGCTTTATTTAAAAATATATATTGAGTGTTTACATTCCATGAACAGATCTGGATTGTGGTGTCTCCCCCTGTTTGATCAATGAGCGATTGACAAATTCAGATTCAAGTAGGCTAGCTTTATTGGCATGGAAAAACGGCTTTACAGTGCCAAAGGATTGATAGGGCTCTGATCCAATTGTGTTGAGCATTGTCAAATTTACAGGCAACAATGGGCAGCAAATAAGGCAGTGATTGACAGCGGCGTTGGGCATTGTCAGATTAACAGTAACTATTCTTGACAAGCACCAGTTTAGAAAACGAGCGGTGACAGCGGTGTAGTGTGTGTGTGTTTACATCTGAAAGTGACTTAGGGAGGGGTGATGTGTAACATTTATCCTACATACATGTGTGCTGCTCGTCAATTGTCTGTTATTTTAAAACCTCTGTCCAGTAACACAAGTAACTACTAGTACTGTAGAAATAGATTAATCAAAAAAGTATTTGCAAAAAAACGGTGAACAGAGGCCCTCTGATCACGTGGGCCCCAAAGCTCCAGCCTAGGTTAGCCTATGTGTTAATCTGCCCCTGGACCCTGCCACCCACCAACACACAGAATACACTCCAACAAAACTCACCCAGGTATAGGGAAGCGTTCTCCTTCTTCACATTGTCATCCAGGTAAGTTGGTCCAAGTGTGTATATGGGAGTCGATCCCATTCCCACGAGGATCTGAGCACAGATGAACAGCGCCACATACAGGGCGTGCTCACTCTCCTCCCGGTCCCGCTGGCACCTGGACAGTGTGGGTCTCTCCTGCCCACTCCCATTACCACTGGCACAGAGCCCCTCTCCCCCCACTGTGCTGTTCAGCTCCTCCAGCTGATAGGGCGGAGAGATGAAGTGAGGTAGGGAGAAGAGGGCGGCACCCACCGCAATTAACACGCCCCCTACGGCCAGCCAGCGTGGCCTCTGACTCCGCCCACCGAAGTAGCTGATGAAAACCACAACCAGGAGACTACCGATGTCAAAACAGCTGACCAGCAGACCTGACTCCGAGCTCCGCAGACTGTACCGCTTTTCTGAAAAACACAGGATTCATTTAGGCTACTCTGAAATTCTTAAACTCCAATATAGATTGAGAATACTGAGAACTGGGAAAAGATGAGATGGTGAAATTAAGAAATTGGGATGGATGGAGATTGGTGTAAAATGAGACAATATGTGACTGTAATTGAAGAGCTGAGATTGGAAGAGAAGAGAAGAGTCAGGTATTACCTATGGTGGTGATGACGCTGCTGAGATAGCCGGACACCATCAGAGACTGAATAAAGGTTAGATAACACATGCAGAAAAGGAAGCAGCGAGAGTCTGAAAGGATCCCGTCCACATAGCGCCTCACCGGCACCTGTAACAGGCGGAACCTCAAGAGCGCCGCCGCGCCGCCGCGCCCCTCCGGCTCACGACACTCTGTCCTGACGGGGGAGCCGCACCGGGGCGAGCTGTGCGGGGCAGAGAGCAGAGTCTGATCCGCGTCCTGACTACCACTGAGCACGGGGAGGCTTTTAGATTTCAAACCCTGAGCAGATTCCTCACACAAGTACGGAAACGGTCTCACGGGTGCGAGGCCCCCTCCCCCGGCCTCCCCAACACCACCGGATTCCATCCTGACGGGCAGCGTTAGCTCAGCGCGTCTAGTACACAGACACACACTGACACACGAACATAACAGGCTCTCGGATAAACCAGCCGCGGCTTATCGTTGACAAATCCTATCCTTTCTGTGCGAAAATACTGTCCCCAATAAGAGCTTCAGATAACGGACCACACCGGCTCTCCGACCCGTTTATCAGCGCAATAGAGATGCAGACATTCTGTCCTGGCTCATGTCAACAAAACACTTTAACAGATACTTGTAAATAGATACGTTTTATTACGACTATATATAAATGCGCTCTTTGGTCGTTTACCGCACCAGTTTCGAATCGGCACATATTTACCAAAACAACACAGTGAATCGACGGTCGACCAGCCGCCGGGGGCTCACGCGCCTCTGCGCGGATACTGCAGCGGAGCAGCGCGCGCGCTCGGCCGCATCACACACGCGCATTCTGCCCGGTTATTTGCGCTAGATTAATAATCACGTTTAAATCCATCGGCGACATTAAACGGTAATCGATCGCCTCCCTCTGCACACGGCTCCGACACAACATAAGATCTTCGCCGTGTGATCAAAATATCCTTGTCCTTGGACGGAAAGGGTAGCACGGACTGTCCGTTATTCACGGTATCGTTGTAAGCAGTATCTCCTCCAAGCGCATTTGGTCTGTACCGCAGCTGGTTACAAGCCGATAAGCGTTAACTTCCGGTTCACGATTCTGTCAAAAAAATGGGGGTGCACCACGGCACCACCCCAGGCCGTATTTTAACTCATTTATTGCATAAGGACATGTGCAAATACCGCTTCTTTTTTTTCTTTTCTTTTTTTTTAAATATATGAACACATTTTTTATTAACAGTGGTCCAGCAAACATAATTAATGACATGCTTCAACCATTATACATCCCTGAAGGCCATTGAAATGTTTTTGTTTAAAAAAAATATTTATTATACTCAAGTATTAGTAATACTAAAAGTATTACTCATTATTTTTCCCGAATTAAATAGTTACAGATAAAGAAATGTTACAAAAAACAATATATATATATTATACACACACACACACGTGTTCTGTTAATATTGTATATTACCATGCGAATCCAGTTATGTTATTAGCCTAATAGAAGCTGCTTGGACACTGTCTCATGGAATAATTGTTGACCATGAACAGCGCTTACAATTCCATTTATAATCATATTAAATTGAGACAAGGGTTGTTACCTTTTACATGTTTTCCATTTAAAGAACCTTTATGTTACATCATTTGTTTTAATGTTCTCATTTTTAAGGCTCTTTGGAAAAATGTGTCTGCTAAATAAATGTAAATAGCCTGCTATTGGGGCATGTTGTCACAAAAGGTCAATTTTAGTTTTTTCCTGCAAATTAAATGTAGAAATGTTAAATAGCTGATTTACAGCAATGGTATGTGTTCATACAGAAAAAGACCTACAAGAACACACCTTCCCTGAAAGGGAAAAAAGTGACAACTAGCCCAAGACTCCTCTAAAGTGTTTCCAGAATTAAGAAATATTGACAAAATAAATCCATCACAGTCCACCGGGAACTTTATTAGACACTGTGGGAAAAAATTCACAAATTGCTCTTCCACTGCTTTTCATTTGGGCCTTCAGCTGCAAAGGGGAAAAGGAATGTTAAGACAGACATTACCTGTATATTTAAAAACAAACAAATAAATGAGTGTTCATACACCATCTCATGTGCACACACAGACATGCGCAAACACCTGTGTGCACACCTACAAACACACGTGCAAACACACACATACCAAGGCAGATCTTTCCTTCCTTGTGGAGTTTCTTTAAATGGTGCAACAAGTTAAACTCTGCTGCTCTGTGCAGGTGTTCAGGGGTCTCCTGGCATACAGACAATATGAAAAAACCCCACATGAAAATCATGTCATGTACACAGTTTAGAAAACAATAACATTACATTTCTATAACTAATGTACTCTCATCTGTGCCATTCTCTGCACATTATTCTATAAAGCAGTGGCCGCTTAAAGAGAACAGATGATTTTTGCAATATTAGGATTTCATACAAATGTTTTCATTACAATTTGTATTATCTGTATAACAAATTGAGGAAAAGTTTAAATGAAAACTTTCAGAATGTCATCTTAGAATTTGGTTAGTACCGTATTTGTACAGTCACACATATGCTTATATGATTATTACCTAGCAGTATGTTAAAATATTTTTTTCTTAGTTTTTATTTGTTTTAAAGGTTTTAATGTCTCAGATTTTGGCCCCCACTTTACATCTGTCATTCTCTTTTCTCTCCTTGAGGACTGCAGTTTTGACGCTGTCAAAATGTATTACAAATGTTTTTGTAGGGCGGGACTGTTTGTGGTTCGCTAGTGCTGTGATGTCATGTGAGTGACAGGTTGCCCCGCCCTCACGTCAGTAAACACATCATCAAAGAAGACGTCACTGCAAGAGCGACAGGAAGTTATTTTGACTAAACATTGTAAGGGGACAAGAATTAAAATAATGATGTGCATGGATAAATCATTTATAATAAACACTGCAATATTCCATAAAAAATAGAAATTGTTCATTTTGATTTCATGGTGACTTTAAAGAGTTAAGATCATTCAGAAAGGAGTTGAACCTTGTACACCACTTTAACCAGTTCGCTGGAGGTGAATGCAGTTCCACGATTCTCCTGCAAAACATTTAGGATCTGCTGTTCTCTTGCGTTCCGGTGAGTTATATACTCACAGATCTTAGAAGCTGCGTTGTGGACCACTGGCCCATGACCTGACACACCAAAATAACACAAACACAAGCATTTCTTAGTGTCACCGAAAAAAGTATGTAGAAAGCAGTTTGAGAAAAGAAAAAAGATTGTACAACACACACGCACACAGACTTGGACTTACCTGGATATATGAGGTCGGCCTTCACGCTGAGGAGCTTCTGCAGTGACTTCATGTAATCATGGAGGTCCTCAAACACGGCCGTGCCCTCTCCCAAAATACAGTCTCCTGAAAACACAGCCTGCTCCTCTTCCAGGAATAATGCCATGTGATCATCTGTGTGTCCGGGAGTAAACAGCACCCTACATGCAGCACAAATAATATAACAACAAACTTGTTCAAAATAAACAACTAACTAATGTTTTTGCATTTAGAAACTTACACACTAATTTTCCCAATGCATTTATACAAAAACCCAGCATGCAAGTAAATAAAAAAATATATATTCAAAAGTATTATGAAAAATTCTAAATATTTTTAATCAATACTTGTATTCAGCAAGGTCACATTAAATTGATCGCAAATGACAGTAAATACATTTATAATGTTACAAAAGATTTCTATTTCAAATAAATGCTGTTATTTTAAACTTCCTTGGTTTACACAAAAATAACACCACATCAGCATAGAATGATTTCTGAAGGATCAGGTGTCACTGAAGATTGGAGTAACGATGCTGAAAATTCAGTTGTGCATCACAGGAATAAATTACAGTTTAAAATATATTAAAATAGAAAACCAAATGTAATAATATTTCACAGTAATTTCACAGTACTGTTTTTTTGATTAAACAAAATGTATGGACTTTTGTAAGCTAAAGAATATAATACTACCGACCTCAAACTTTAGTGTATACAAATATGAGCATGTAAACATGACCAAAGACTATAATGTAAAGAATCTGTGTGTGAGTGTTTACCGTAATGTTGCCCCTTCAGTCTTTATCACATCACCATCACTGAGATATTCATATTTCTTCTTCTCGTCTCCGATTGCTTCTTCCTGTGGAGGACACCGAGGGAGTTTACTGACCCTCAGCTCTGCTTCTGCATAACACATGCAGCTATATTAGTGAGGATTTCTCATAAACCCAATAGTTTTTATAGTAAGATATAATGATATTTACATTAAAATTATTAAAACATGATTTGGCTGAGAGCTTTTCACTATAGTGAGGACTTAACATTTTTCGCTATTTTAAATGAGATTTGGGGCAAAAATGTCAAACCCTGTTCACCTTTGTGAAAGTGTGTGAGTATGTCCTGCACTCCTCCAGTGTGGTCATGATGCCAGTGTGTGACTATAATGTGCTGTATGGACGTCTCGTGCTGCTTCAGAGCCTCGCGCAGATTGACAATATACTCCGGTACCGCGCGCTCGCCTGCATCAATTAACACTCGCCTGACAGACACAGACAGATACATTTAATAAACATTCACATACTTGTTACATGAATTAAATAGGTTGTACATGGCAAATACCTTAAGTAAATAAGCTAATTTATCTCGTGCACTAGTATTGTATTGAGTGTTGTACTTGTAACGTTACCTTCTGCCCGTTCCGACCAGGTATGTGTTGGTGCCCTGCAATGTCATGGGCCCCGGGTTACATCCCAAAACACCCACCACTCTCGATGACAGCTGCTCGATGCGAGGAATCACCGCGGACATTTTCTCCAGCGCTCAGCACGAACTTTAAATGACCCCTGAAAACGCTCCTGCGACAGATCAGACTGACAGCACTTTAAACAGAAACTTCCTGTTCAAAAAAGTCACACTTTACAAAATAAAAGTATCTGAGGCGGCTCAAGGTATGGACGTTTCTTAAGATTTTATACAGAAATTAAAACTGGGGGGAGAACTCACCCATTTTTTGGGAGCTTGGAGGTCCCTGATGATATATCTATCATAAAATGTGCCCCCACCCCTGAACCAGATATTGGTTTGTTGGCTTAGGGCAATGTGCTGTACTGAAACACCAAGGTTTTCTATATAGGTAGGTGGAATAAGGAAAACTAGCAATATATACATTATAAAACTATAAATAACATAGTTGGGGGAGGGGGTTTACGGGATTTTCTAAGAAATAGCTCTAAAACTATACATAACAAATGCTGCAACTAGCTTGAAACACTAGTTTTCACCAATACCAAATTAAAAACAAAGATTAGTTACATGATTATGGGTATTGATAAATTGTGTGTGCCCACATGATTGAGTTTAATGTTTAAACACTCAGGACACTCAGGAATTTGTCCTTTACTTCACAGATACATGAAACTTTATTATGGAGCTGCACAGGATCAAAACAGCTTTGGTTATTCAGTCGCAATACACACCGATAGTCTGTTAATGTTGAATTTAAATATGCACAGACTAAACTTGGTCATACAGATGAACTTGTTAGTAATGATCAATCTTATCAATGGGGATTTAACAACGATTACTCGTATAGTCAAAACAGACATGTTACAGAGAAACCGACCCATCACACAGAATATGTTTATAACTTTTTTTTTTATCATATCACTTTTCAGCATATCCCCTAATGAATCTTTAGGATCACAGCAGATAGCTCTGGAACAGCTCCTATACGTTAATTGTTGATGTATGAGCTGCTATTTGGGTGAGGCTACATTAATATCTGTATTAATAGATTAATTGCATATCCACATAGAGCGCCAGGATATGTAGAATCTAATTTCTTTTGATGCTTCTTATTAAAATGAGTGATTGTTTATTGCTCTTGTGGATGTTCACTGATCTGAACTCCTCCTTATGCTCATGAAACTCTCAATAACAGCATGGAGATCAGACTGTAATTGGCCAGAATCAGACAATAACAACTCAGCCTTTATTTGTTTACATTTTCTATGCACAAGTTTGCTGTAAGTTCATAAAGCACAACTGCACAAGTCTTGCATGCATTTCTACTTGCTATCCACACTTTTTGTGTGCACAGATTAAATTTCAATACCAAATGAAAGTGGTAGTGCTTCTTAAGAGTTTTAGTCTTATAATAAAAGTTCAGGTCAAGTTGAACATCACGATTTAATGTTTTGATTTATGAATGATTTAAACGTTTCCTTGGCTTGGAAAGGCAGAAATTGTCTCCTCGTGTTCTTGGTGTGGGTCTCTGATAATCAGAAAAACTAGTTGTCACACATAACCTGTAGAACACAGTTCTAAATCTTAAATAACAAAGCACATACAGATTAATTCAATAAATTCAGGTCCAATTAACTATACATTTAAAACCAATCTGGCCTTAGTTGAAATGTCTGTGCGATATGCAAACAGCAATGATGAGAGAGTAATTCATATCTGAAATAAAGAAGAGAATGTTGAAGAAAAATATAATGTGCTTTCATATTCACACAGAACTAAAACAGTACACAATTCCTAATTACTACTGAATATAGTCCAATCATTTTACAGACAAAATAGTTTCTTTAGAACATAGATCTTCTCAGACATGGGATCAGAGTTTATATACAACCAAGAGAGAGAAACAGAAAGCAAGTATCACTGTGGCAGGACTTTGAGAATAGCGTTCACTTCCTCGGCTACAGTCGTCAGTGCAAACTCAAACTGATCCTGAGGAGGACACAGAGTATGTTTCAGTATGAAAGATATTGTGTCTTTTTCAGTGTACAAATGTCTATATGTATGTACATACCTTGGTCTGAACCATGCCGGGTCTCTGGTCTCTCAGGTGTTCCAGTGTAGCAGCAATGTCTATCTCTTTTGCACCTGTAAAGCACAGAATCTTGTATCATATTTATATCAGTATTTACACTGACTGTCCACAATGTGCAAAGCATCACTTAACACCCACTGATATCTGATCCTCTGCTTTCTTTGTCTTTACCTTTGGCCATTTTATTCAACACCATGTCAATCAAAATGTACGTCCCAGTCCGTCCAGCTCCGTCACTGATGGAAAAAAGAAAACGTCAACATAAAAAAAAACAATAAGAAGCCAAAAAACTGAAACACACTATGACATATTACAGGAACTTATGAACAGGAAGTTTCTGTTAGCGCTGTCAGACTGGTCTGTCGCAGAACTGTTTTCAGATTTTATAGTGTCGGCTATCTAAAAGCTTTTAACCTTTAGTCAGAATGTAACAACTTGTTCTGCTTCTCACACGACCTTGCTTTCCCGCTGATGTCATCATGACAGCATGAGCATGGAAAACAGCCAAACTTGTTTTCTTCCAACCGTCTGTCTTTTGCTAGTTGCGGCCAGCACATGAAATTAGTGTAGCAAACACAGAGATGGCGAGAAGGTGCGCTTTCAGCTGTCACCCTCTTAAAACCCTGTTTCCTAATATCATTATTTAATATCATGCTTGCTTTTGTTCATTTAGTGAACAATTGTGTTGAATACATGTCTTGAAATTTAATTTGAAATTTACTGTTGTTGTTAAGAGGAAAACCCCTTGAGATGTGACATCTCGTTTTCAAGGGGGACCTCACAAAAGTCTTATTTACTGTATTTTATTTTTTTTGCATATTTGTGTGTGTGTGTGTGTGTGTGTGTGTGTGTGTGTGTGTTTGAATGTTTTTTACTTGCCTGCAGTGAACAATGACAGGACAGGACCTTCCACGGTAGCATTTGTTTACTTTCCTGTTGGAAAGAAGACATACATACAATCATAAACACACAGACACACTCACATACACACAGACAAATAAAACTTGTAAAGAGATTTCAGATGCAGCTAAATTCTACAGAAGAGATGGAGTTCTGAATCCATTTCATATAATAAAAAAATGATAATTTTTTTTTTTTTTTAAATGTACACTACTGTTCAACAGTTTAGGGTCGGTAAGATTTCTCGTATGCTTTAGAGTCTCCAATGCTCACCAAGGCTGCATTTATTTAATAAAAAATAAAATCAAAAGGTAATATTGTGAAATATTATTTCAATATATTACTGTCAAGAGCAAGCTGAATATTCAGTATCATTACTCCAGTCTTCAGAGTCACGTGATCCTTCAGAAATCATTCTAGAACATAATAAACATTGTGCTGCTTAATATTTTTGTGTTTCAGGATTCTTTGATGAGTAGAAAGTTTAAAAGAAGAACACGATTTATTTGAAATTGAATTTTTTTGTCACTTTATAAATGTCTTTACAGTCACATCTGCATCCTTGCTGAATAAAAGTGTTTCTTAAAAAAATATTACTGACCCCAAACTTTTGAACAGTAGTTTTGACGTAAAGATTTTTATAAAAGATTTGGGGATGAAATAAGATTAATTAACACACAGAACAAATCACACACGTTTGTTTGAATCTGTCATGTTGAGGACTTTCCATTGTCTTCCATTGTTTTTATTTACATTTACATTTATTCTAAGCTGTCCTAAGCTAACAATATTTTCTATCCCAACTGTAAACTCTAAACCTAACCTAATTCTGATATATAAAACCTCTCTGGATTCTTTTGTTTTCCATTTGAACATTATTCTATTAATTCATTCATTATTATTAATACATTCTATTTACTTATCTATTTTGATCAGTAATGTAGACAAAAGCTGACCCACACAAACACACACACAGCCACATTAGCCTCAGCCATGTTACTGGTTTGAACATATAAACACTGCTGCTGGTTTTGTGCAGATCAGCAATAACAGGGGTGGGGCCAGGAACAACTAAACAACAATTCTGACTTAAGAAAAACTGAAAATATAAGAAAGCCAGAGAGAACTGAGGTACACAGAGAACTGTGGGTAAGAGGCAAAGAAAAGGAGGAAATCATAGGTCAGAGCTTAGAGGTTAGCAGGCAGAAAGGTTGATCAAAGATTGAGGGAGGAGAGAGGTTGAGGGAGTGGGCTGGTATCCCAGGGTGCAGTTGGATGCAGAGTCACAGTTGTCAATGATCACTTTTGTGACTATGCAACTGGAGCCAGTGAACTAGCTGCACGACCACAAAAATGACACTGGCAACCGCTCAGGAGCTGACACAGACACACGCTCGCACAACACATGCACACACTCTCGCACCTGCGGAAGTCGAGCAGGGTTTGGCTGATTTCAGGCATTCGGTCATTCAGCCAGGTGTGATAATGAAACTGTGTGACTGTACGAGTCTCATTAGTCTGCATGTTCTTCAAGTAAAAGCTCCGAACCAGGAAGTCCTCACACCACACATGCTCAGAAACCAGATTCACCTAAATCAACACACATATGAGAAAAAAACTAGTCATGTTATTATACCTAACAACACCACACACAGCAGTGCAAATATCACTAGATACAGAGGGATGATTAAAGAATATAGAAAACCAAACCAAAAATATAGTCACTGTTTTGTGTCTGTCTCATTATAGTGTTCTGCATTTGCACAAAATTGCAGCTATTATTACATGAGACCTTAAAGGGATACTCAACTCAAAAATCTGAGATATTTATCTGATATTTGATCTGATATTCATATTTCTCAAAATATCTTCTTTTATGTTCCACAGAATGAAGAAACTAAATAAAAATTCTCAATCTAAAGATTACACTTTGTATTTTAAATTCTTAACATTAAAACAATCTGAAAAATTTGAAAGCAAGCAATATGAAGCCTTATGCCTCTACTAGAAACACACACAAGATGAAACACAAGGTGAAAACTGCCTGTTTAAATGCACTGGCCTGTTTGTTTTATAATAAATGTGCATAAATGTCATATAATCACATGGTCATTTTACAAAATGCTTTTACTCGACATTAAATTGCTAAATTTAGTGTGTTAATCAGTGGCTTTGCATTTAAGAATACAACGATAAACATTTTAAAACAATTTTGTTTTATTTATAGCCTATAATTTCAACCGTCTCCCACTAGTATTGATGCAATTATGTTAAATTACTTACTTTTTACTTACAATATATTCGTTATTCTTCGATATATTTTTTACTTATATATTAACTCGTTTCAGTCATATGCCATATTTATAATAATTGAATTATAAATTGAATACAAAAACATATGGACAGAAATAGCAAAAAAAAAAAAAAAGATCACTGGATTTGATCAATACCAGGTCCCAGATTTTTTGTTGTTGTCATTTTAGCACATTAGCACAAGGCATTTATACTGTGTATATTTAATCCACAATCCATCTCTGTTTATAGTGCCAGTATATTGAGATGAATTGAGGAATAAAATAGATTTATAAATGTCCACTTTGCCCTGCTGATGATCATAAATATGGCGGATGTGCTGTAAAAGTCATGTGACTGAAACAAAAGTTTATGAAAAAAGTAGTTGAAGCTGAATGCAACTGCTGTACAGGGTGATGTAATGAAATCCTATCAGTAGAGCAGATCAAATGTGTCTAAATATGACAGAAAACTCTGTCTAAGTGTAACTGGTGCTCTGGGGTGCGTTTCCCGAAAGCATCGTTAGCCAACTATGGTCGCAAGTTCCGTCGTTACCAATAGAGTTCAATGGAAATTGCGATCATAATTGGATGACGATGCTTTCGGGAAACGCACTCCTGAGCGGGATTCGAACCAGCATGGAAGGCAGGCGCACTAACAAGGACACTAAAGCCCGCAGCCTCTAGCATCACTCGCTAGCGCGCCTCTTGAGACCAGGGGAGTGAGGTTTACTGCACACCTCTGTTGCATAAGCTGATTCTTCTGTTAGATATTCTACCACCAAAACAGTAGAACAAAAAGCCACATGCAGTCGCCCTTACACAAGTAGAGTGGCCTTCTACTCTGCAAGGAGAATATTTGTGCGTACGGTACCTCATAAATGTGATAGAGGTTGGAGCCTTCATCGGGCCAGTAGTGGTAACACTGTTTTACACCATTCTCAGTGAGAGGACTCAACATGACAATCACCACACACCCGCTCTCCCAGACCATCTGCAAGAGAACACACACAATGTTACACACACACTGCATGACCATCTGCAAGAGAACACACAAACACGTACAGTCTTTTCCTGACCATCTGTAACACACACACACACACACACACACACACGCTCTCCCAGACCTTGTGCTAGAGAACTCACATGACCACACTGACCGTCTATGTCAGATTACAAACAAATAATGCCGTTTACCTGCCAGAAGTCAGCCACGGTGGAGGGCAGCGGGCCCTGAGTGGCGATGTACGCAGGGTTACGGGGGTCGTGATCCATCTGAGAGAGAGAAAACACACAATAAACCCTTCTGCATCACATGCAGTCTGGCTGTATATGGTTTAAATAATATATATGTATGTAATAATACTACAGCAAGTATATATAATGAGCAATCAAAACACAAAGAATGAATTGTGCCATTTATTTGCATGCACAGTCTGCATCGTTATAGTACCCAATTCACTTATGCAAATCAGATAATGCTGCCCATAACATCTCTACTGCACACCATGTGCACGATGCAATTTCCTATATTGCACATGAGTTCTGAGTGTTAGGCTGACTGCCCACTTTTCTGTTGATAATGCTGTGTCCAAAATCTCATACTGTAGTACGTACTACATTGGTTTAGAACTTACTTCTCAACCGTTTAAAAAAAATATGTAATGAATGTGGGTAGTATGAATGAAATTCTACATCACCATGTTGTCATTGTCATGTGACCTACGGCTGTACGGCATCAGTTGCATTAACTGTGATGGCAAATAGCGCTGAGTAACCTATGGGTTGAGTTTCTTCCTTAAGGGCACAGTGGTAATAAAGCAGGTCTCAGTTGTTTGCCTTAACTGGTCCACAGACAGTTAATCAATGCCTTCTATCCAAAGTCATTTACGCTGAGTATTTTCTACAGGTGCAGTCACCCTGGAGCAACCGGGGTTGAAGTTTCCTACACCTAGTGTTTTATCTAGTTTGTGATGTGTGTGGTTTGTAGTGTGCAGTTTGAGTAGTTTGATGCTTTTTGCGGAAGTATGTAGTTTGGGCTCACGATTGGGCTGGCATTGATGTAGTCCGAGTTGCCTTGATTGTTCTCCAACTTCAGAGTTATTCTGCAATGATCATCTGAACAAAAACACATTTTATTTTCCCATTTGAAAAGCTTGGGAATTCATTAACACACCACAGGACATAAATAAGCACATGTTTGACTCACAGGCTATGACTGTGCTTGTGCGGTTTTTCTTGACGTTGCCGTCTCTGGTTCCGATGGTGGTGGCGTTGGGCTCGGCCTGGTACGCACAGAGAGCCTCCCACTCGGACTCCAAACGATTCTTGTTTTTCAGGTGGTCTTCCATATATGCCTATGTGTACATAGAATAACATACAGGATGTTTTTGCATGTCTTTTGCTCTTATGAAATGGAAAATTACTCTACCATTCACAAGTTTTGGGGTCTGTAAGATTAAAAAAAAAAAAGAATACTTTTATTAAAGCTGCATTAAATTGATCAAAAGTGACAGTTAACAATGTTGCAAATGAATTCTATTTTTATATACGCTGTTCTTTTGAACTTCCTATTTCATCAAAGAACCCTGAAAAAAGTATCATGGTATCCACGAAAATATTAAGCAGCACGACTTGTTTTCAACATTGATAATAATAAGAAATGTTTCTTGAGCATCAAATCAGCATATTAGAATGATTTCTGAAGGATCATGTGACACTGAAGACTGGAGTAATGATGCTGAAAATTCAGATTTTAAAATATATTAAAATAGAAAACGAATAATATTTCACAATATTAATGGTTTTCTGTAATTTTGATCAAATAAATACAGCTTTGGTGAGACTTATTTAAAAAATAATATTTGTAATAAATTACAAAAATAAAATGTTATGAATGTTTTAATTAAATTTTAATTAAATTATCCAAAAAAATGTATATAATTAAAAAAGTTTAATATAATTTTTACATTTATATTTGCAAGTGAAGGTTTTAGCTTTTCCAATGGCATTGAATAAATGCATCTGTGTTACATTTTTTAACTTTTCCAGTGTGTGTTTGTTTGCGTGTGTACCAGTATCATGTGACCAGTAGAGATGTCCATGTTGGAGTGGACGGGCTCTTCGCTCCAGGAGGGGGTGCTAGTGCGAGCAGAGGGACTCGGCATCGGGCCCTCACTCAACTGAGATGACACGCTATTTATACGAGAAGAGTGAATAGGATCTGACTTCTCTACAGGAGGCTTCACTGCCATTCGCTGCCTGCACAGTTCCTAGAGAGAGATGGATATTTACATACATCAAAGAAAATCTCAAACGAACAGCTCTACAAACACACACACACACACACACACTTTGGTACCTGGTAGGTAGCAGTGGAATCAGTGGCGGGGTCTGAGCCGAGGTTGGTGAGCTTCTCTTTGAGTTTGTGATGAGAGCGGTGACGCAGACAGTAAACCACGCTGGACGCCAGCAACACTCCAGTGATGCAGATGATGGAAATCACAGTCAGAATCAGAAACTTCAGAGACTCAGAACGGCTGTACTTGGTGGGAATCTGATTCAGTTTACTCCTCTATAGAGAAAGAGAAAGACATGGAATCTTTAAAAATTTTAAATTGCATTTATTTTCTAAAGTCTCAGATATTTAATAAAGAAAAGGATGCTGTAGCTGCTGTCAGAGTCAAAATGTGTTATCTGTTTTGTTCTTTATTTATTCTTCAGACACTGGCAGAACCTTCTTGAGAATCTCTAGGCCTTTTGAAGGTGACTCAGATCCTGTTGTAAACATGGGCAGCTTCATTTTATGTTTAAGTGCCTCAAAACCTTATGATTTATTAGATAAACCATTGACAGTCTTCCGAGTTCTTGCAGGACTTATGGGGCTTCATTTTGAAAGTTCTTTAGGGAACCGGCATGTTTTAAAAGTTCTCCATATACGGTTCGACCAGTGTGGTGATCTGAGGAACCCCAAATGGTGCCTCAATTTTCATTTTTACAGTGATTTGATTAACAACAGTTTTTATGCAGTATATTTGATACATTAAAATGTATTTTATTCTGTTTGAGGTGACAATGAGATGGGGAAAAAAATAGAAAGAATCTTACATCAGTGACTCCAGCCTCCACGATCTTGACTTTCGCTTCTTTTTCCAGTTCATCCTTTTGATGGACTGATACAAGAGAAGAATCAGAGGAGATCATAGTCAAGTCTGAACAGAGACATGCATGGAAGAGTTTCTTGACTCTCTTGTATATCATGTAATTAGTTAACTCTTACTAAACTAACCTGCTACATTAGCCACATCTGTTGTAGTGATGTTCTGAGCGTTCGGACGGACCTGAAACGTCACAGCTGGACTAACAACGCTATACAAAAACACAAACACACAACAACTTATTTTGAGGAATCATGTTGGTGTCCAAAAACAAGAAATTTACCGTCAGTTAGTGTTTTAACTATAAAACTAATAATGGCACATTTAAAAATAGTCATCCATTAAATTATTCTTAGACACTATACCTGTCTGAACATTAAAGTCACGACTTCTCTTTTGTATCGTGATATACATTCAAGTGAAATAGATAATGCATAAAAAGAAAAAGACAAAAATGTAGTGCGGGGACTTGGTTCTATCCATTGGTCGTTGATTGGATGGGGCAGATCTGAGTGGGCGGGGTTTAAGCGAACTAAATAATTGGAGAAGTCCGGCATACAAAGAGAAGATCAATTCATATTTTAATGAAAAAATTAAGCAGTCAAAATGTTTAAAAAATATTAAACATGAATCATTCGCAATAAGATAAAGATACGTAACAATAGATATCCTTTTCTAAGCTTGCAATATATTTTAAACCCATTGTGGCTTTCCTTTTTGCAAGCTATCCTAATTTGAGAAATAGTTAACATACATGCATTGAAGGAGACACAAGACGCAAACACACACTATCATCACGACTCACGAGAGCTCTGAGAAATCCGTCATTTGAATCTTCGCTTTACGAGCCACCAATTCCATCAGATACAATCCCTTATCTGTGGGAAGATTCCTGATCCAGAGAGAAAGAGAAACTTGATTCTGATCATAATACAATCATCACAGGAATAAATTACATTTTAAACAGAAAACAGTTATTTTAAATTTTTGTTTAAAACAGTTATTGCTGTATTATTGATCACATAAATGCAGCCTTGGTGTGGGAATGTTCCCCAATGATCACAAATGTCTATATTTGATATTTTAACACTATTGCTCTTGTGCTGATTGAATCCTTTGTCAATAATGTGTGGAGAACAGGCCAATAAAAGACTGAATTTAATTGAGAGAGAAAGAAAGAGAGGGAGAGAGAGGGTCTTACTCTGTGTCAGTAATAATGTATCCGTAGATGTCATTTTTAGCGTTGCTCTGAACATCCAACTGAAGATCCTCCACTTTCATGTTCTTGCGGTGTGGTGCAGGGTTTTCCTTCAGGCCAGAGGAGGGCGCTATAGCTGCTGCCTGCACCCAGCCCTCTACCTCCTCCACTCTCTCGATGGCCTTTTTCTGCATCCCCACCTCCCGGTGTGTTGTTCTGCTACGAACCTTCTCTACAGATATGCCCGGTCCCTTATCAACAGACTCTGGATCTGAGCTGGAGCTTTTATCCAGGTACTCCAGCAGCTTTCCTAAAAAGCCCACTTCCGACTAAAACAGGAAATAAACACAAACGGAATGTAAATCCATACTTGAAGGAAAATTCCATGCATAATTAGGTGTTCAAGCACGAAGTGAAGTGAGCAAAAAAAAAATTTGTTATGGCCAATTTTGTCCAAAACCTACATTTGCGAACTAGTCCCTGGTTTTTTGCCTGATTGGAACCAGACCAGTCTAGGACAATTCTCTGGACTCTCTAGATCAATAATTATCAAAAAAAAGTTGAACTTTGCCCTTTGGTTCACTGTAACAGGGTCATTTAGAAAAGGGGGCGTGTCAAAATACACTCAAAAGCCTATAAATCATAAATAAAAACTCAGAACTTGACAAAAATTGATGAGCATATGTGTCATACCATGGTGAAGAAGCATGCAAAGTTTCATGGACATCGGACAATAGGTGGCGCTATAACTGTTGAAAAGCTTTAAAACCATGCATTTCCTATGGTAAATTGCCTGTATTGGCTGTAAATGGTCTTTTCCATCTATGATCGTATAATTTTCATATCTTAATGTTTAAAACCAGTGCAGTACAATTATCTGGACTCTCTAGATCAATAATTATCAGAAAAGGTATAATTACTTCATTTGGATGGCTATAATAGAGTGTAAATCGGATGGCTATAACAGCTATAACAGCTTGAATGGCTATAACAGCCAATAAGTGGTATTTTACTGCCCCCTGCTGTCATTTCATCATACTACTCCCTAATATTTGTATATATAATTGATATTTAGACTTTATTAAATCATTATTTTAACATTTACAATCACATTTTGTCAAAATTCATCTATTGCTCTGTACTCTCTAGAACAATAATTATAGGAAAATGTATAACTTTTTCATTTGGATGACTATAATAGGGTCACTTCAATATGTAGCCTTGACCGAAAGCCAATATCTTTTCAATAAATGCTCATAGCTTCTTAAAATAAGGTCAAGAACAGCTATAACAGCTTGCAAAAGGCTAACAGCCAATAAGTGGTATTTTACTGCCCCCTGCTGTTTAAAAAAAGTCATTTTGTCACACTACTCAACTATAATTAATATTTAGACTTTATAAATTCACTATTTTAACATTTACAATAACATTTAGTCAAAAATCGTCTATTGAAGTGACAATTGAGTCACATTGGCTCCTGAAGTTCCAAATGTCTCTATCTACATCAGAATGAGCGTGTGTAGATTAAATTATATGAAAAACATGGCCTATTGTATAAGTAGGCTGTAATAGCACTGTTGTCCACTAGATGGAGCAGCAGCATTAGACATTTTTAATCTTTTTTTATCAGCTTTCAGCATTGGCTAACAAACAAATGCTTAAAGCATTTTCTTTAATTAGTTTTATATTATTACATTGCAAAGAAATATGTGAAATGCTCATATACCATTAAAACAGATTTTCACAATAACATATCCCAAAAATGTGTGTGTGTGTGTGTGTGTGTGTGTGTGTGTGTGTGTCTGTGTGTGTGTGTGAGTGTGTGTGTGTGTGTGTGTGTGTGTGTGTGTGTGTGTGTGTGTGTGTGTGTGTGTGTGTGTGTGTGTGTGTGTGTGTGTGTGTGTGTGTAAGCATGCATTATGGAGTTAACATGAAAAAAATGGTTTGCTTCAGTGGAGAATACTGGAGAAACTAAGTAGTTGAAAATGAAAGTGAGCCAATAAGTGGTCTTCTACTGCCCTCTGCTGGCCACTCTTCTTATTAATAGTCTTTTTTTGTATATAGACACTATAAAATCACTTATATAACAATTACTATTATAACACATTCATATTTTGTCAGAGTTTATCACTTCAATTGTTCTTATGCTTCATATAATTGCTATCAACGTGGTAAATCATGGTAAATAACGCCAGAAACATGGTAAATCATAGTAAAAAAGGTAAATCATGCTAGAATCCTGGTAAATTATTCTAGAATGTGCTATATCATGGTAAATCATCATATAACATGGTATATCAAGGTAAACTATGGAAAATCATGTTAGATTCATGGTAAATCATACTGGAACATGGTAAATCATGAAAAATCACACTGAAATGTAGTATATCATGGTAAATCATGCTTGCTACATAAAACATAATGTCTTTTGATGCTTTTGTGCTTAACGGCCTTAAAGGCCTTAACTGCTTGAACACCGCTAAAATGCTGCTTGCAGCTTTAATATTTGTTTAATATTCATATAATTTTTATTTAAGTGAAATGTTTTAGAACATTAAACTAGATCAATTTTACTGATGGCAATATTCTCTGTTAAGCTGCCTTGTAAACATGCTATGCATATTATTTAAGTGAAACGCAAAACAAAAATTAAACTGAACACATTTTATGTAGGTTTACAGATCTGACATTAGGGGCGCATTTACACTGCAGGTCTTGACCATAGACTGTAAAAAAATAGGTCTTGACAACCATTTCCGATTTGTTGACTATATAACATTTTTTTTGATGACCAGCTTACATCTTCTTTTAAAAGTGACCAGGCCGAAAAGGACGTAAAAACAGCTTTTGCTTTCTGCACCATCTTTAAAGGTCAGCGAAACCATTGTGTTGAGCCTTAGTCCTTTATTACGCCATTTAAAAAAGAGAGTCATGTGATCACAATGGCGAGTCGATTTTTCAATGACGTACGAATCGCATTGACGGGAATATCCGATCTGTCCGCTTACATGGCAGACGCAAATGCATGTATTCGATTCATTTCAGATTTATTTCCACATATGAATGAGGCCTGACACCAATCTGAAAATCTTCGGAGAATACCGAAATCCATGTGCTTTTTTCCTGCTTACACGTTCGTGGGTCATATCCGAGCTCGGAATTGGGTCACTTGAACAATGTAATGTAAATGTGACCTAAGAGTGGACAGAAACTGTCTGCTTTGTGTTCTTGCGTGAAGTATCTTTCTGACCTTCAACCAACACTAGTACTACCTTGTTGTCCATGGTTCTCTTCTCCTCCCCTACTGTCTGTCCCTCTGAAAGAGAAACATCATGATTGTTATAAATGTTTGTCTACGTATGAGTGATGAAAGACTTGGTTTTGCTTCAGATGATGTTACCTGTCACAGGCATGATGGTTTGGACTGTCTTTTGAGCGACAGATGAACTTTCCTCATCCACCTCCGTCTGCTTCTGAGCACTGTCTTTAGGGGTCTGTTCCATTGCATAACTCTCAGGTTGCTGGTCCTCATACTGCATGTCTTCTGCCTCGTCCTCAGGACGCCACTGTGTCTCCAGGTCTCTGGGCGTCTCTCCCTGACCGGCCTGCTGTTCCACCACCTGCAGAGCGTCTGCGATAAGAACAGCAAGCTTATCCAGATCTGTTGTCTTTAGACTCTTCACATCCACACTGTGTCTTCCCACATTCCGCAGAACTTTCCAGATGAAGGATTCTGTGAGAAAGTTTTTTAACATATCTTTTATGGCAAATATGCAGTGAATAACGACGTAACCCTCTACTGCATAGAAATATAAAAAAATGTTTTAATACATTTTCTTGCACAAAATGGACCTAATTACTAAAATCAAGAAACTGTATAAAAATTATATAGGTCAATTTTTTTTTTAAATATATATATATACTGTATATGCAAATGACTTAAATGATTTTTAAATGACTTACTGCATTACAGTGAGGAAATATCATGAAATAGAAGGTTAAGGGTTCATTTTTTGTTCCACTAGTAAAATTGCCAGAAAAAACTCTGCTTACTTATAGCTCTCTCTTCACATTAAACTGGGCTTGACTAAGCTTGACAGACTCGGGTCACTGGCTACTGTTGTTCTATGGAAAAGAGAAGCTTTGATATTCTGCTAAACATCTCGTTTTTGTGTTTCACAGAAAGTCGTACAGCTTTCAGATGACATTAGTAAATGGAGGAGAGGAGAGGAGAGGAGAGGAGAGGAGAGGAGAGGAGAGGAGAGGAGAGGAGAGGAGAGGAGAGGAGAGGGGAAGAGGAGAGTAGAGAAGAGTAGAAAAGAGAAGAAAAGAAAAGAAAATAAAAGATTATACCATCCACTGGTGTAAGAGAGTCTTTTAAGAAGAGCCGGTCCGCTCTGGATCTTTCCCCCAGAGGCGGTTTGTTCTTGGAAAGATACTTCTGAAGTGCGGCCCTGAGCAGGTCTAACCCCTCTCCCTGCGGTGGAGCGTGTGCCGCATCGCTCTGGTATCGGCTGAGGTCGGGGTAAGACTGTGACTGATAGGGCATCTCTGGAATGAACTCCGGAGGGGAGGAGTCAGCGGCAGGGCGTGGTTCTCCAGGGCGATAATACTGAAGCTCCGCCCCCTACACAGGATAAACATTTAAAACAGCTTAAAACTAATAGATTGGTAAATCACACTTGCTGATGTTTATGAATATACCAAATTGTAAATGTTCCTATTCAGCCTGCCATGTTAATAATTTTGCACATTATTGGGCCTATTCATATTAATTTCATGTTTGATCTTAAAGATTTTTGTTTACATTTATATTTAAAATGTTTCTATGTCCAATGTAACTATCAATCCTGAGGCAGAGCCACGGCCCTCGGACACACACACACACACACACACACACACACACACACACACACACACACACACACACACACACACACCTGACTCACCTTTTGTGATGTTTTTGGTAGCAGTCCCAGATGCTGCAGGTATTTCAGAGTCTTCCTAACCTCAGCCTCTGGTGATTTCATTCTCCTGTCTCCAACAGCAGTCCCATAACCCTGCAGCCTGTCAGAATATCAAGATATAAACCACGACTGCAGAAATCACTAGAGGAATCATGGCCATGGGTAATTATCAAAGGTAATTACATTTTGCATTCTCTGTAAAGCATCTTTGAAACAAAATGTATTGTGCGCTATACACTGTAAAAAAGAAAAGAAAAAGAAAAAAGATACGGAAGCAACATTTTAGGTTTTACAGATTTAACTTCCATTTACAGTGAAAAAACGTATTTCATTAACTGATATAAATGTTAATATACCAACCTATTGAAGTACTAATGTCTGTTTTGTACCTTTGTAATACACTAACAACCACCAAAAACAGGTGGTGATGAGAAAGTCACATCATGAATCAAAGCTCATCACAAGCAGCTTTTCCACAAGCTGAGAAAGTAATTACTAATATATGCAAGGTGCACAGTCTCTTTCACACAAAAACTAAACACCATCATGGTAAAACACATGACACTTAAGTAGAAGAAACATAGATATTTTACTGTAGAATAACATTAAATGTAAGGTTAGATCTATTACAGTTATTCACCGTATATAGTAAGGAAACTTACTGTTAAACAATTAACAGGTTTTTACAGTAGCATTTTTACAGTCTTTTACCATTAAAATCACGATCATTTTTTTAAAGCTGCAGTCCGGCATTTTTCCTCTTTGTCGCCATCTCTGTTCGAAATCTGCAATTGCAGTCATTCGCGGAATTATCAACTTTACGTGAGTTGTAGTTCAACTATGGAAGCTTATGTGTAGCAATATTCAATTTGAAATGTAAAATGCAAAATGATAATGCAATATGTAAAATGACAATGCAATATGTAAAATGGCAATGCATTTCTGTATTTAAATTAACATTTTCCATTACATTTGTGCAACGTTTGGTGAAAAATGAAAATGATAATTCAATTATATAATTTACATTTGCCATTTCATACATATGTTTTAATATGTAAATTGAATACATATTTTAACGCTTTATAAGTTGCAAAATTAAAATGAAAATGTATTAAAGAAATTATTAGATCTGTTTAAAATGTTCAAGCAAAATCTGTAGCAAAATGATCATTTAAATGTTATTTTTCTTAATTGCATTTACATTCACAGTTAAGACACTTGCGATTGCATTTTCATTAAATGTCCCGCAATGAATGTAGCAAAATTCAATGTGCAAATTGAAAATGCATTCCGAGGCGATCACGTCCCCGCCCCCTCCCTCCCGCTCCCTCTTGTCAATCACTGTGTGAAGTTGGCCCCGCCCCCACCCAATGCAAAACGTCGGCAAAATAGGCTCAATCGTTTTTACTTCATTTGTGCTGTTACTTTGCTTTATTGTTTGTTCTGCTTCGATTTTTAAGATATTTAAAGAATATTTATAGGTCATTCTGAGGTCACCCAGCCCCCCACATCCTCCAAATAAAATAGTCTCGTTCGTTTGTGCCGGTTGTGCGGCTTCGGTTTTTAAAATATTAGACCAATTATAGACGATGGCATCAAAACCCGTCAGATTCCGTGATGACCCTATATACAGTGCCTTGCGAAACTATTCGGCCCCCTTGAACTTTTCGACCTTTTGCCACATTTCAGGCTTCAAACATAAATATATAAAACTGTAATTTTTTGTGAAGACTCAACAACAGGTGGGACACAATCATGAAGTGGAAAGAAATGTATTGGATATTTCAAACTTTTTTAACAAATAAAAAACTGAAAAATTGGGCGAGCAAAATTATTCAGCCCCTTTACTATCAGTGCAGCAAACTCTCTCCAGAAGTTCAGTGAGGATCTCTGAATGATCCAATGTTGACCTAAATGACTAATGATGATAAATAGAATCCACCTGTGTGTAATCAAGTCTCCGTATAAATGCACCTGCTCTGTGATAGTCTCAGAGGTCCGTTTAAAGCACAGAGAGCATCATGAAGAACAAGGAACACACCAGGCAGGTCCGAGATACTGTTGTGGAGAAGTTTAAAGCCGGATTTGGATACAGAAAAATTTCCCAAGCTATAAACATCCCAAGGAGCACTGTGCAAGCGATAATATTGAAATGGAAGGAGTATCAGACCACTGCAAATCTACCAAGACCCGGCCGTCCCTCTAAACTTTCAGCTCATACAAGGAGAAGACTGATCAGAGATGCAGCCAAGAGGCCCATGATCACTAGGGATGGGAATTGATAAGAATTTAACGATTCCGATTCCATTATCGATATTGCTTATCGATTCGATTCCTTATCGATTCTCTTATCGATTCTCATTGGGTGAGGGAATAAGTACAAATTTGTTTGTTTGTATTAACTTATTGAACTTATAACTTATTTGTTTGTTAATTATTATTAACTCCCTGACACAGCACAGCGTATTAGGGGTGTGGACCTACACTGGTCTCACGGTTCAGTTCGATTACGATTATCATGTCATCGATTCAGTTCAATTCGATATCTTGATGCATTACATGCACTGCATCCTCAATTTTACTTCAAACGTGATGTGTGCGTGCGCGTGTTCACCTGTTCATGAAGTCGCAGTGACAGAAACAGTGACATTCCAGTTTAAGTTTCATGGGACTAAATGTTTCTGCATATTGGAGGCCCCCCCCTTTGACGAAATGGAAATTTTACAGGTGTTGCAACAAGTGACTAGATTGTTATGAGGCACCGTCATACTCTCATTGAGTATGTGCGCGAGTTTGAGTGTGTGTGTGCTCGCGACTCATATGAGTATGTGCGTGGAGAGTTTGTGTGCGCGCGCGTCTCATATAAGTATGTGCGTGGAGAGTTTGTGTGTGCGTGCGCGTCTCATATAAGTATGTGCGTGGAGAGTTTGTGTGTGTGCGCGCGCGTCTCATTTAAGTATGTGCGTGGAGAGTTTGTGTGTGTGCGCGTGCGTCTCATATAAGTATGTGCGTGGAGAGTTTGTGTGTGTGCGCGTGCGTGGAGAGTTTGTGTGTGCGCGCGCGTCTCATATAAGTATGTGCCGTGGAGAGTTTGTGTGCGCGCGCGTCTCATATAAGTATGTGCCGTGGAGAGTTTGTGTGTGCGCGCGCGTCTCATATAAGTATGTGCCGTGGAGAGTTTGTGTGTGCGCGCGCGTCTCATATAAGTATGTGCCGTGGAGAGTTTGTGTGCGCGCGCGTCTCATATAAGTATGTGCGTGGAGAGTTTGTGTGTGCGCGCGCGTCTCATATAAGTATGTGCGTGGAGAGTTTGTGTGTGTGCGCGTGCGTGGAGAGTTTGTGTGTGCGCGCGCGTCTCATATAAGTATGTGCCGTGGAGAGTTTGTGTGCGCGCGCGTCTCATTTAAGTATGTGCGTGGAGAGTTTGTGTGTGCGCGCGCGTCTCATATAAGTATGTGCCGTGGAGAGTTTGTGTGTGCGCGCGCGTCTCATATAAGTATGTGCCGTGGAGAGTTTGTGTGCGCGCGCGTCTCATATAAGTATGTGCGTGGAGAGTTTGTGTGTGCGCGCGCGTCTCATATAAGTATGTGCGTGGAGAATTTGTGTGTGCGCGCGCGTCTCATATAAGTATGTGCGTGGAGAGTTTGTGTGTGCGCGCGCGTCTCATATAAGTATGTGCGTGGAGAGTTTGTGTGTGCGCGCGCGTCTCATATAAGTATGTGCGTGGAGAATTTGTGTGTGCGTGCGTGCACGTCTCATATGAGTATGTGCGTGGAGAGTTTGTGTGTGCGCGCGTTTCATATGAGTATGTGCCTGGAGAGTTTCGCGCCTCTCGTGTGTGTAGAGTTTGCGTGTATGCGTGAGCGACTTAAGGTGTGCCGTTGTGCATTTCGTATTTGTTTGAGCATTCAGCAGTATACATGTATGTTTGACTACTTAGTATAAGTTTATGCAATTGTTTCACATATGTGTGCGTGAATGAAGTTTGATTTAAGCCCTAGATGGCACCTCACATATTGCCGTCTTTTCGCGTGAAATATAACCAAACGAGCGCTTCTGCCTCAATGCCATGTTTGTTGCGTTCTGAATCAAAATAACGCAGCGCGTGTGTGACATCATGACACATTTGCAGAATCGTTAAGCAGGCATACTAACGGTTCCAAGGAATTGGTTCACTGGGAACCGGTTCTGAAGAAGAACCGGTTCTCGATTCCCATCCCTACTGATCACTCTGGATGAACTGCAGAGATCTACAGCTGAGGTGGGAGACTCTGTCCATAGGACAACAATCAGTCGTATACTGCACAAATCTGGCCTTTATGGAAGAGTGGCAAGAAGAAAGCCATTTCTTAAAGATATCCATAAAAAGTGTTGTTTAAAGTTTGCCACAAGCCACCTGGGAGACACACCAAACATGTGGAAGAAGGTGCTCTGGTCAGATGAAACCAAAATCGAACTTTTTGGCAACAATGCAAAACGTTATGTTTGGCGTAAAAGCAACACAGCTCATCACCCTGAACACACCATCCCCACTGTCAAACATGGTGGTGGCAGCATCATGGTTTGGGCCTGCTTTTCTTCAGCAGGGACAGGGAAGATGGATGGAGCCAAATACAGGACCATTCTGGAAGAAAACCTGATGGAGTCTGCAAAGACCTGAGACTGGGACGGAGATTTGTCTTCCAACAAGACAATGATCCAAAACATAAAGCAAAATCTACAATGGAATGGTTCACAAATAAACATATCCAGGTGTTAGAATGGCCAAGTCAAAGTCCAGACCTGAATCCAATCGAGAATCTGTGGAAAGAACTGAAAACTGCTGTTCACAAACGCTCGCCATCCAACTTCACTGAGCTCGAGCTGTTTTGCAAGGAGGAATGGGCAAAAATTTCAGTCTCTCGATGTGCAAAACTGATAGAGACATACCCCAAGCGACTTACAGCTGTAATCGCAGCAAAAGGTGGCGCTACAAAGTATTAACTTAAGTGGGCTGAATAATTTTGCACGCCCAATTTTTCAGTTTTTTATTTGTTAAAAAAGTTTGAAATATCCAATAAATTTCGTTCCACTTCATGATTATGTCCCACTTGTTGGTGATTCTTCACAAAAAAATTACAGTTTTATATCTTTATGTTTGAAGCCTGAAATGTGGCAAACGGTCGAAAAGTTCAAGGGGGCCGAATACTTTCGCAAGGCACTGTATTTATAAATATCTGATCAATATGCTTTATAAAATAGAAAAGGGAGATGGTTAAACATCACATGAGACACTTTATTGAACATTACAGTCAGTTATGAAGAAATAAAGAGCGGTCAAATTTTTTGGAAGAGCTGAATTTGACCCATCATATTCTGTGATCTCAGAGTAGGTGCATTTGTAAAGAAAACCTGTAGGATCTCCAACATTATTGGGTAATTATAGTTAATAGTAATAAGAATAAAGTTAAGCATATGTGTATCCGACAATGAGAATATTTAATACAAAACGAAACAATCATTAACAGAGTCCTGCATCAGACAACAACAGCGCAGCATAATGTTGACATCAAACGGGTGATACAGATAAGGCAGAACATTCTCCCACACGGTCTAACAACGCACTGGTATCACCTGCAAACGCGTAATAATCCTCGGAAACACTACAATTTCTCTGTTCACGCTTCCCTTCATCTGCCAGTAAATTTACGCTCGTATCAGCTCTGCCGCCGCCATGTTTCCTTCCAACACCTCAAAATGTTGCCGAGCCCCGCCTTGACGCAGTGATTGACAAGAGCGAGCGGGAGGGAGGGGGCGGGGCAGGGGCGTGATCGGCTTGGAATGCATTTTCAATTTGCACATTGAATTTTGCTATATTCATTGCGGGACATTTAGGCCCTGTCCCAATACCTCCCCTTACCCTAGATTTCTGCCCTAACCCTTGTTTTTGCGCGTTCTCGTGTAGGGGTAGGGTGTCCCAATACTCTAAAGAGCAAGGGGGAGTGCTATTCTCCCCTTAAAATCAACCCTCAAAAAATAGTGCGGTCCGATGCAGGCTTAAAACAAAGTGGAAGATGAAATTACCCAGGATACCTTGCGAACTCAGCGAGCCGGCCAAATTTTTCAAATAAGATGGCGGACACCGCTGGAAAGGAGCAACTGAATTGTAAGTATATTTTCGCAAATAAGCATGTTAAAATTTCGAAAAATGTTGGAATATGTTAGTTTGATGCACATCCAATGGACTGTTGAGTTTTGAACACTAATGTTAGAAAATATTTCACGAAGCTATCTGACGATGTTCATATGATATCTGTCGAGTGCTTCAAAAGAGTCTGCCAATCAAATATACATCTGATCTGGGTGGTTAATCAAATTTTATTTTCGATTTTGGCTTCTAAGGATTATAAAAAGATATGTGAGGCAAAATTATTAAAAACTAACGTTAGCCGCGCTCTTCTAGCGCATCATCTTTCCCTTCACAGCGCGCTGTCATTTCTCTCTAAACCCAAACTTAACGTCAGAATCAGCACTGAGCACAATCGGTGATTGTTGTAAAGTGCAGCGTACATTCATTGCGGGACATTTAATGAAAATGCAATCGCAAGTGTCTTAACTGAGAGTGTAAATGCAATTAAGAAAAATAACATTTAAATGATCATTTTGCTGCAGTTTTTGCTTGAACATTTTAAACAGATCTAAAAATTTCTTTAATAAATTTTCATTTTAATTTCGCAACTTATAAAGCGTTAAAATGTGTATTCAATTTACATATTAAAACATATGTATGAAATGGCAAATGTAAATTATATAATTGAATTATCATTTTCATTTTGCACCAAACGTTGCACAAATGTAATGGAAAATGTAAATTTAAATACAGAAATGCATTGCCATTTTACATATTGCATTGTCATTTTACATATTTCATTATCATTTTGCATATTACATTTCAAATTGAATATTGCTACACATAAGCTTCCATATTCAACACCCTCGACACGGCACAGCACGGATGAACACAGTGTTTGAGGAGAGTGTGCAGCTGTCAGTCACCGCGCCGATGTGGATATTGTCATTCAGAATCACAGATTATTCTTTTTGGAAGTATGACCAACATAAGAATTTTCACCGGGAAATGTCATCTGAACTAGTAAGAAACATTCACTTTTGTTCTGGTTCTGACATTGCAGTAAATCGCGCTGATTAAATCTAACAATTGCTTATAAGTTATCATTTCACGCAAAACCGTGCAAAGTAGCTATACTATGTTCTCAAATTGTTAATGTTAACAACGTCAGCAAGCATTGCGTGACTACATCATGTAATGTCCTTCCGATATTATCCTTGTTTTCGCATGGGTCTGCTCCGGTTGCAGTCTCTTTTTTTCTGTAGCCACTCCGAAGTCCGAACGAAGTCTTTTGCATTTTACAGCGGGTGAGTCTCTAGTTGTCACTGATGATGATCGTCGTTTGAACCTTTCTGGATCCGCCATCAAATTGATAAGTTTAATTATATCAAGTGCTGTGAGAAAAGGCTATAAATCTCTACCTCCAACATCCTCACACGCAATATAGCTTATACTAGCCGAGACTCCTTCTTTATGTGTACAGATGTGACGTAATGACGCAAAGACATGCTCGAATCTCCCGCGGAAATCCACCAGTACCACTAAAATTAAAAACATTATTACAAGCTTACCGTTTTGCATCGAGCTAAGGCAAGCAGATAGTTTTGAACACTGGCTGGTTATGTATTTTATCAAATATGTATTTTGGATAATTTTTAACCCAAAAAAAGCTACGGACAGCAGCTTTAACGTGAATTGAATTGAATAAACTGTGTTGCTACACCTCATACCCAGAGGACAGTTTTTATCCAAATGCCAATGAGAATAAACTATAAAGCTATAATATTAAAGTGGTGAGTGTAGTCGACAATTTGGTTAGGAAGATTTCGATGAGAAATGTTTGTGCTCATATTATAGTCTCACTTTTAATTGCAGACTGGTATTATGGCAAATCTGAGCACATTGCTTGAGATTATTGATCTTTTACAACCATGTGGGAGACAAATGTGAGTTCTTTAGCAGGGGAAAAGTCTAAAAAGTAGGAGACTTAAGCAAAAGTCTCCATTTGATTTCCTTTATATATTAAAGTCACCATAAGATCAAAATGGACAAGTTTAATATAAATGATTGATCCGGTTTTTTTTTTTAAATCCATATGCCCTCGTAATCTTTTATCACAAACATTAACATTCCCCTCCTCCTCGCAACTACATCTCTTCTCTGATGACGTGTCCACCGGCACAAAGGCGAATCCATGAGATCACAGCAATTAGCAAACAAAAACCATCCAAAATCAAGTCCCGCGGCCAGCCATGCATTATTTCTCATAATGTACAGAGCAATAGGGAATATTTTAATTTTATGACAACTTTAAAAAAAAAAGATCCTATTTGTGATTTTTCTTTCCTCTGGCTATAAGTGAACAAACTAACTGGCAAATGTTAGTGTTTTACCTGGGCTCTGGTAATGGAAGGGAAACTTTGCGTAGTTTGGAGAACTCGTTCGTTAAAACCTGTTGAGTGACGTCATCTTCCCAAGACAGCCCTGCAGGAACAGAATCAAAGCAGGAGATATTGACATGTGAAATGAACTCTGGGTAAAACACCAGACGCACATCTTACATCAACCGTCACACACACTGAGCCTCTGATTGGATCCTCGAATGCTGAGGAGCTCTAGGAGGAGCCTTTATAACCATGGCGACAGTGATGTGTGCAGTTGCTATGGTGACATTATTGCACTTACCTCTGTGTGCCAGTCTCTGAAGGAGTATGCGGAATCTCTGTACCGTTGCTGGCGTGACGTCGTATGTGTAGACTTCTGTTAATGGAGCAGCCTCGCAGCGGCCTAACATGCCATCTACAGAGAAAATCAAATATACAACCTCTTCAGACTGACAATTATGTGCACACTTCATGGTGTGTGTGTGTATTTTTAGATCCATTTAGAGTCTCAGCTTATTAGAGACAGTAGCTAGGGGCGACTGAGACAGGACCAGCTGGAGTCCCCGACACCTGCCTGATAGAAGGCTCACACCATGAGCAATTACGTTTGCATCTCTATTTTATACCCTCAAGGGAGAGAAAAAAGCATTTCTCATTACATATGCACAGAGGTTAGCCAATCATAACAGAGGTCATTTCTATTTCTATGCGTGACTGTATTAATAATTCTTATCAATAGAGTAGCAGGAAAGTCTTTTTAATTCTAAGGGTGAGAAAGAGGGAAGAAAGTAGAGGTAAAAATATATATTATTTACAACTACTATAACATGCATGTTCTGGTTTGCTTGTGTTCCCTAGTTTTCCCTCCTTGATTGTTAGTTAGTTCTACGCACCTGTTTCTGTTCAGTTGATTACTCTTCCTTGTACACGATATGATTGGCTTGACTAGAGTTTGGTTTTTCCAGCTCGCAAGCCAACGGAGAGTTGCTAGACGTAACTGGCAGCAAAATAAAATTTGCTGCCGCTAGGGTGCATCTAGATTTCTAGGCTATATTAGCCTCATAGTTATAATTATATATATATATATATATATACATTTTAAAGAAACACACACACTCGCACCAAATATGAGTAAGAAAGTAGGTTAAGTCTGATTGGCTTATACTGCCTGAACATGTGAATGTGTAAAATTTCATTCATAATACCCTCTCATTGACGGCAACTGAGTGTGGGAACATATTGTGCCAACACAAAACGATTTACTTTCAACCCATGTGGAGGTGAATTTGGAATGGTTCCTAAGCAACACAAAAACTATATTTAAAACAGCATGTGTGTGTCTGTTAGGGTGAGAGTCATACCCAAAGAGTTAAATGCATTGTATTCAAAATGATGATAGACACACAGCTTAATCAAACGGCATGAGATTCACAGAGACTACGGGTATCCAATGTGTGTGACTGACTTACCATTAAGACATACTTCATAGTTCAGACACAGACCATCCTCAAACAGGCAGCCTGACAGAAAGAGAGAAAGAGAATTTTAAGAATTAGAAATAAAGGGCAGTTCACACCAAGGGCGATCATTACAATGATAACAATCAGTTTTAACATTCATTCTAATGCAAAGTCCAAACCACAGCTATAACGATAGAAACAATACTGTTGGAATAACATTGGGGAAAAAAACACTGACAGCCAATCAGAATCTGCCCGACTTTAAAGAGCTTGAGCATTTAAATCTAGTGTTGGTGTGGACGAAAAATGTTGAAATGCTTATAGATATCTTTATAGATGTCATTCTTGATGTGAATGCGCCTTAAAAAATGATTCAGTTAAATGATTAAATTTTTGGGGAATGACACTCAGATCAATATATCCATATTAGCTGACAAATATCCTTGAAATAGGTGTCCTGAAATAACACTTCTCTAGTTTTTTAGAGATCTCAATGTCTGAAACTGCTCCAATTTGATACCAAAATCTGAAATCAAAAGCAGGAGAGCTCAATATGAACTCAAACATCTTTCAAATGATATCTATGTATCTGAACTATGTAGCCCAAATTAATTTAATTGATCTCTCCTATTACTGTATTTCAACTATTTTAGCAGAAACATTCGAGACAACGTTTATAGTGTTAAGAAATACAACAGAACTATACTAACCCTATTTAAAGGAGCACATCTGTGCATTAAAACTTTCCTCTGGTTTGCTCGGCCTCAGTAATACAATAGTATCTTTGTATGGTCTAAGAATAGGGGACGTGTCTAATTCAGAGTTTAGAATAGGGGTGTGGGTAAGCCTGACAAAATAATGGCTAACATCCTTTTTAATTGCTCCAGTGTTTGCTTTAAAATCCTCATGCTAACTGCCAGGATTTGTTGTCACTATTTTCTTAATCAAACCAGCTGAGACAGATCTCAATCTCATCTCACCTGCATATGGACCAAAAACTGACCAACCAAAAACATCACAAAAGTGTGTTGGTGTTAAGAGGTATTATGGGGCTTACTGCAGTGTGTTTGACATTCACACACACATATCATTCATAGTAAAATATTCTCACACAAACCCCCACAAACCAAGTGTCTCAGCAGAAAATAGCAAATTCTCAGCCTCAGAAAATCTGTGTGTGGGGTTTAGCAGTATGTGTCCTCATTTACTCATGTATGATTAACAAACCGTGAATGGCTTCATCTAATTCTTCTTCACATCATCTAAGTGTAAAGACTGTCCCGATAAACGCAGTAAAATTCGAGTTCTCCTTAAAAAAACGAATCGATTACAATTGACCCGTTTCAAACAATCGGCCAAATACAGTGTGCAATTCACATGTTTTGTGATCAAGAAATTACTAGATTTTCAAATGCAAAGCAGTGGTCAGATTTTGTTGATAGCATGATAGGATCTTCTGAATTAAATATAGTTTGGCCAATGTTATATAATGATGGGATTCTAATATTGTGTTTCAAAGAGTAACAACAATTGCCAGGCCATTAGCGTACTTTGTAGGTCATCCACATATATATAATGCATGTTTCCCTTGTATATTTCTATTAAACCCTCTCTGTTACTATGGAGAGCAGTTTGCGTGCTCATTTTCGGGGGAGGCGTTGTGACGCTGCAGTCACAGATCATGAGAATGACGGTGGACAGACTGTCTCCTCACTGACATCCTCTCAAATGAATCCACAGACACTCATCTACTCAAATTATGAGTCCTGTGTGACCATGATTTCAGCTTCTGCATGAGGCAGTGTCTGAGATTTGAGTGCAGATGCTGTTTAGTGTTGTAGTACAGATGTGTTTCCATAATTAACAGTGAATGGATGGACAGATAATATAATCTGTTAACACTGAAACCGCATTCTTTAAGAATTGTAACTTCCTGTAATAACTCACTATACTTCCTTTTTTTATTGATAATTATTTCCAAAAGGTTAAAGTGCTTAATTTCATTGCACATTATAAACCTGAACCCTAGATCACTTTATTGTATTATTATACAACTGCTGCCAGTACTTTTGTTTAAATCAAAGCTTTATACTTAAGCCACCACAGAAAATGAAATAAAATTGATCAAATTAAAACCAAAATATAATAAAAATGGCATAAAGCATATGTCATTTGGAATGCTGGCATAAACAAACAAACAAACAAACAAACAACAAAATGAATAAAAAATATGGAATAAACTGGAATTTTACAACTAAATTGACCTGTTAAAGTAGCATTTTGTGTAATGATTTTGTAATCAGGTATTAAATTTGCCCATTTAGTTTTATATAATCAATGTTAGTTGTATCTGTAACCACAATATCACTCTAAATTTACCAGCATTGAAAACAGAATTTCAAATGCTTCTGCATTAACACTCTGTCTTTGAGCTGACAAACCTGTATGTCCCACAGTAAATTAAGTATAAAATAAGATATTAAGGCATTTAATCTCAAAATCAAGGTTTCCTAATTTTTGGCTCACTATTTGTAGTCATCTCACATCAGACTTAAAACAACCAGTTCTGCAAGGATATATTTCACTTCACTTTTGTAAAGGATTTTTCATTTTTAGTCATCCTTTTGAATGACCATAGTGGGTATAGGCTAGTATAACTATAGCTATTATAATATAGGCTATAATATATATTAGATGTTATGTGTGTGTGTGTGTCAGTTTATAATGCAATGAAATCAAAAATGTGTATGTGTGTGGTTGTCTTTTACTCATTCATGCGGTCTAGAGAGCAATCAAGTCAATATGAAATTAACACGCTGCAATCTGTTGCCATGGTTACAGTTGCTAATGACTGACAGGATGACCTTTTTCTGGGCTGGGTTTATGAATCACACAGACAGACCACGTATACACTCTATTATTGTGGCTTATGCTGTAACCTGTGATGCTTCATTTCCTGTGCTGCTGCAGACAGAGGCCCTACTGAACACACAAACCATTCTCTGATGTTCAGACTGATCAGATGATTAAATAATATACATAATATGCATTCGCCAAGAAAAGTGAAAAACACAGGCCGTGTGTAGCCTATATCGCCTCTCCAGCTCCAGACCCAGTTATGTAATGAGAGAAAGACCAGTGTAGAAAGTCCTACAGCTTCTCCGCTTCACATTACCGGACATTAAATCATTGTATGTTGAGAATTAAGCTATTTTAGAGACTAGAGGAAATAGACTATCAGTCTGTGTTGTGTTTTTTTTGCAGAATGAAGCTTGATATTCCGTTCCACGTCGATTTCTTTATTGGTTCAGTATTGGAAGACACAAGCATCTGCGTATCCACCAGCCAGATAAAACTCTTTTTCTGCCTAGAAAACACTTATGGGAAATGTATAAACCAGCGGAAAAGACCCAACAGAGAGAAATTGAGTTGTTATAAGCGCGCTAATATAGGGACAATTATTGACATGGCGCGCGCTTCATCTCGCCCTTTCCCTACGGAAACGACCGCGCGCGCACACACACACACACACTATTAAACACTCACCGAAATTTCGATCTGCCGCGGAGGCGAGACTGGCCCGAAACGCAAGGATGGCGAGAAACAGGTGAAACGATTCCATCCTTTCCGATCACGCGTCCATGTCACCTGCGCGTTATTAGTCCATTTCCAGCAGTGTGTTTCCTTGTTTCCGCGAGGTCTGATGTGATGGGGAATGGATGGAGACGGTGTGGAAATAGAGGGATTAATGGGAGAGAGCGAAAAAAGAGAGGAAGAGACGTCAATCGTACGCAAAACCTGTCAGCTCTCACCGCAGTCCGCGCGCCGCTAGAATCAGCACTGAACAGCAACCCGCCACTGACGTCACGGACACACGCGCACACGAATACACTAGTGGTGGGTTCTCGTTAACATATTATGCAAAATCAATACGTGAAATAAATTACAATATAACAAAAATAAAATATATAACACATATTTTAGCGTTGCTTCTATTACAGATAGTTACCATTTTATGTCCTAAAACAACCAAAAATAAAAAAATAAATTAAAAAAAAGTGACAAAAACACAAAAAATACTAAAACCAAGGAAAATTAAAAATATAAAAAAACGAATGAATTAAAAAAATAATTAATATTTAAGATATTTTAAGTTATTTCTGATTTAAAATCTTATGTTCCAAAACTGCGTGTTGATATCTGACTGCATTTGTGTTTAAAATACGACATGCTGTAGATGACAAACCACCACCAGGCTATTTACTGGTACAGAATAAATTGTTTATTAAAAGAAAATGGTGGAAATGATCAAATACAGAGACTTTACAATCCTATATCTGATGGCAAATATCCTCTAAGGTAAGTATATTGTTGGTCATAAGGCACAGAAAATATATATAAACATCAATAAGGCAAGCTCAGCACAGAGGGGAGCTCTGACTGCATACGTTTGCTTTTTGTGATAAGTATTATTTATAATAATAAGCATAATAAAATCTTTCATAATATTCACAATAATTTATATAATAAAAACACATTCTTGCTGACAGGAATAAAGGTTTGACCATCTGCATACCATGAGCTCAGCTCAGTGACACTGCAGTAGATGAAACCACAACCTTCACTTAAGATCAGACCTAACACAAGACATTTTATATAACTCTGTGAGATGCAGATGATGAAGGAAGCACAGGTGGGTGAGTAGTGAACAAGTGTGTTTGAAAAAGGATTTTAACATGTGACTGAGTACTATATAAAAGCCAAACAAGAATCAGAGATATGGCAGCGTTAGATATCCAGGGTCATGTGACAGCTAGTGCTGTGATGGTGGATACTGAACCACACCAGAGAACATAAACACATACATATATGAACACTTGGGTGTGCAAAACATTTAGGTGCATTTTTGGTTTAATCACACACTTTATAATGAGCAAAGCACTTCTTTGGTAGATGTCATCTGTAGACATTAACAGAGATTCTAACACTTTCAAAGCAAGCGTGAGTTCGGTGCTTGTTTAACAAGAACTCTTAGGTTAATATTTATTAAACTTTTCCAAATATTATTTTAACATTCCATGTATATTTATTTACAGTCTGATCTTAATTACATATATAATCTCTCCACCATTAATGTGAATGGTGGATGTTGTTAGAGTTTACCACTCTTGGTTTAAAAGTCAACTAACCAATCCAACAGATACTGCTGAACCGTTTCCCTTTAAAAACATCTCTAAACACTCTCATTATCTTTCACTCTCTCATTCACTCTTGCTAAGTCAGTGCACATATAACATCAATAGAGGTTTTTTTTTACACTATAAATCTGTTAAAAGTGATTAAAACTGAAGAACCAACCAATTTTGCCCACAGGCTTAACACATGGCTTAAATATGGTTGAGGTTTGGAGTCTTGCGTTGGGATTTGTAGTTTTTTTAAATATGTGTAGACGGAAAAAGGTCGGTTCCTTTGATTAAGGGGATGTTCGCTTCTGTCCGTCCACTGTAAGCTCATACCTGACAAACACACACACACATTTATATAAAAATTTCTGGTGTCCCGATCATGCACATTTTGCTAAATATTAATGATATTCATGTCATTTATTTTATTGTGGCATTTTCACAAAAACTGGCAAGAAATGTATGGGTCATATACACTCACCTAAAGGATTATTAGGATCACCATACTAATACTGTGTTTGACCCCCTTTCGCCTTCAGAACTGCCTTAATTCTACGTGGCATTGATTCAACAAGGTGCTGAAAGCATTCTTTAGAAATGTTGGCTCATATTGATAGGATAGCATCTTGCAGTTGATGGAGATTTGTGGGATGCACATCCAGGGCACGAAGCTCCCGTTCCACCACATCCCAAAGATGCTCTATTGGGTTGAGATCTGGTGACTGTGGGGGCCATTTTAGTACAGTGAACTCATTGTTCAAGAAACCAATTTGAAATGATTCAAGCTTTGTGACATGGTGCATTATCCTGTTGGAAGTAGCCATCAGAGGATGGGTACATGGTGGCCATAAAGGGATGGACATGGTCAGAAACAATGCTCAGGTAGGCCGTGGCATTTAAACGATGCCCAATTGGCACTAAGGGGCCTAAAGTGTGCCAAGAAAACATCCCCCACACCATTACACCACCACCACCAGCCTGCAAAGTGGTAACAAAGCATGATGGATCCATGTTCTCATTCTGTTTACGCCAAATTCTGACTCTACAATCTGAATGTCTCAACAGAAATCGAGACTCATCAGACCAGGCAACATTTTTCCAGTCTTCAACTGTCCAATTTTGGTGAGCTCTTGCAAATTGTAGCCTCTTTTTCCTATTTGTAGTGGAGATGAGTGGTACCCGGTGGGGTCTTCTGCTGTTGTAGCCCATCCGCCTCAAGGTTGTGCGTGTTGTGGCTTCACAAATGCTTTGCTGCATACCTCGGTTGTAACGAGTGGTTATTTCAGTCAAAGTTGCTCTTCTATCAGCTTGAATCAGTCGGCCCATTCTCCTCTGACCTAGCATCAACAAGGCATTTTCGCCCACAGGACTGCCGCATACTGGATGTTTTTCCCTTTTCACACCATTCTTAGTAAACCCTAGAAATGGTTGTGCGTGAAAATCCCAGTAACTGAGCAGATTGTGAAATACTCAGACCGGCCCGTCTGGCACCAACAACCATGCCACGCTCAAAATTGCTTAAATCACTTTTCTTTCCCATTCTGACATTCAGTTTGGAGTTCAGGAGATTGTCTTGACCAGGACCACACCCCTAAAAGCATTGAAGCAACTGCCATGCGATTGGTTGATTAGATAATTGCATTAATGAGAAATTGAACAGGTGTTCCTAATAATCCTTTAGGTGAGTGTATATCTGGATATACACTTTGTATAAAGAATTTTTTTTTTTTTTTTTTACAAGATTTAGACGATTTTTACATGGTGCATCTCATTCATATAATTTTAATGTGAACAAATATAGTAGAATTTAGCCTTCTGAAGCACGAAATATTGAATAGAAAAGTAAATAAAAATACTACTCTATTTTAATGTTTCTTTTTTTACTTTAAAACAAGAATATAATCATTATAATCACAAAATTATGCATTTTCATATGGCACAACGTGCATCAGAGGGTTAAATTGTAAATAACCTTTGTAAAATGCAATTATAAGTAGTGAATATCCAATATTCATATTACTTCAATACAGTAATCAATATCATCAACTTGATCTTTGTAAATGATAAAAAAGGTTTTTACCATTGCGTTGAGCTCTTTGATATTTCCTCAGAAGTCAAGTCAACTAACACCTGAGAAACACACAATCCAAATTTTATATAAAGTAATTTGTTCTTGAGGCACAACAACAAACTAGAAAAGAATAATCAATAATATACATTGTATAAGTGTTATGAACACTGTTTGGGAGGTTATGTATGGTATAAATGGCATGAGGACTGTTATTAATGGGATGGATGTCACCTTTCCCAGCAGCCCTCTGTGTTTTGACAGGATTCCTCCTCCATTCTTCACAGCAACATCTAAAATTCTTCTGTGCAACTCCACGAGTGACACGCTGAATTCATACCTACACAAACAGTGTTTTATTTGATGCAAACACTTGATTTATTGAAATGCGAGAGCAGACTGGAAGAAGAAAATGCTGGAGGGAGAAAAAAACCAAACTGACGTTTGATCGTAGATCGGGTTCACCGTTTTCTTTATCGTGCTTGTTTTTCTACGTCCAGAGCGTCGTTTATCAGGCAGCAAATACAACCGGACGTATGGATCAGAACCACTTTCAGAAGAAGAGATCAGATTCCTGCAAACAAACACATACACAAACACAGAAATATGTATACTTTCATAATAAAAAAATATCTTTCAGAGGCATAACTCAGATGCATCAAAAATCATATGTAACTTACCTGCAGCTGTGCACCACGACAATTAGTTTGTTTCTTTGGGGACTATGCCTGATGGTTAACCGAATTTCCCCTAATGGAGCGAAACCAGGTGAGGCGCCGCTGTAAACACATAGACGGATTAAACTGTAGTTGTGGAGTTGCCATCTCATGAAAACATGAATGAAACAATAATTCATATTCTCCGCTGAACACAGACAAAAAGGTTAAAATTAGAGATGCACCGATACAAAATTTCTCAGATGATATGATAGCCGATTTTCTTAAGAAAAAAAACATCTCTCCCAACTCATACTGTAAACTATACAGGGAACCCTCTCATTTGGTATATTACTGTAATATTAGAGGTTAAAATTAACAACAAAGCCCAAAATATTATATTCAACTGCTAATTATTTTCAGATATAATAATTTCACTCAACTAAAATATTTGTATACAACTCAGTTGCACATAAACACAAATTTATTTTCAATATACATATATAATTAACAGTAAATAAGCTACTCTCAAGTGTTTTTTTATAGCTAACTAATGAACTGTGAACACTGGATAACTTTCCTGAAGTAAATGCAATGTTAAGTGACATTATTATTCACATTTAAGAGTATCAAGAGTATCAAAACGCCATTTATTATTTGAGTTTCGTGATGAAATGGACAGAATTTGAAGTTGAGACTTTTTTTTTCTTTTTAGAAGTAACAAAGCACAAAGCTCTGCGATTATTGGATGGGATGTTCGCTACAAATAATGTTTGGTGTAAGATAAACTGCAGACCTGGCAACCCTGGCTTGATGTACGGGAGATTCATTAGATTAGAGCCCGCTTAAACGTCACTATTTTGGTAACGCTTCCTTTTACAGTACAGTACTTACGTGTACTTACAGTGTACTTACCTAGAAAGTACTGGCTAATATAAGGTAAGTACATTGGGTTAGGTGTAGGTTCAGGGTTAGTACCTAGTTATTACCCAGTAATTATAGTTACTATAATAAGTACATAGTAAGTACATGGGTAACAGGACTGTAAAAGGAAGCGTTACCACTATTTTTTACACTGTTAATAATACGTTATTGTCACATTAACTTCGACAGCCCTAAATTCAACACGAGATATTTTTTTCACACGCAGCATGAGTGACAGTCTGGCACGTTTTTTTCTGCCCCCTTTTGAATGACAGGATATAATCGGTCCTGATCATAGGCTGTTTTTAAACAATCGGCCAATGGCCGATAATGAAAGTAATTGCTTTCCTTCCTGATACCGATCATTGGTCGATACATCTGTGCATTCCTAGTCAAAATATGTTAAAAATGTTAAAGCATACTTCTGTAATTGTTGCATTGTCCTCTGGAGCTCCTGGGTGGTGCTGGGATTGGAGATGTCAGACGCTATGCTGGGTGTGGGCTCTTTGTGGTTCAGGTTTAGCAGAGAGCCAGAAATGGCCAGGTTAGACGCGCTCCGCCCTGATTTAACCAGACGGCCAGACGAGTCCTCCAATGGCCTGATGTCCATTTGGGGTTCCACCCGTGGGGAGAGTGTTGGGGTGGGTTGGGTCCTGGATGTAGGGTTGGGCTGCTGGGCTTTGGATGCCGGGGTGGGCTCTGAAACATTGGGCCGCTGAGGGGAGGGACTGGGGGCCACGCTGGAGCTGGGACGGCGGATCTGAACCGAGGACGGCTGATCCGATGCAGCCAACTTATCCACAGAGATAATCTGAAATTAAAAGAAAAAGGTAAGGAACCAAGGCATATCTGTATATGTTTTTGAGTGTTTGTAGCATGTCCAGTCAAGATGGACCCTTGGTACAGGTCAAAGAACATTTGTTTATTTCTTTGACAGTCATGTTGGTCTGACTCACTTGGTCTTGATTTTGAAACACAAAGTTTTGATTTTATTTTTGTGGTCTACTATAATAGGTTTTCATGCTTGAATGTTCAAAAACCACATCAGGTTTCACATATTTTACATTGTTGTAGCACCTCTCTACCCATTCTGTCATTAGCGCTCTTTTTAGTTCTGGTTTCTATGAAGCCACTCCTTCCAAAAAGTGCAATGTTCTCTGATTGGTCAGCTGAAAAGTGTGTTGTGATTGGTCAACCTTTTCGAGCATGTTTTGGAAATGACACACTCCTTACCATAGTCGTGAGTTTCAACACACTACTAATGCAACTCAACCAGGCCTTGGCCCTTTTTTTTTTGCATATGCCTTGGGCTGGAATTATGTATATGAGGAATATTGTGACGTATGTTCCCGGAAGAAAACTCAAGACTACAATCGAGGAGTTTAGAGAGTTCAGAAACAGTGCGCACTGATATAGAAAAATATATAGCTTAAGCATAATATGTCTTCTTTAAGGCACTATTTTTGATTTAAGCTGCTTTTAGACAATATATATTGTTAAAAGTGCTATAAAAAGGAAGTAAAATTTTAGTAGGCTGTAGTTTTAGCTGGTTTCATCAATGCTGTGGTCACTTCCAGTTTAGTTTTTATTGTATTTAATGGACATATTCCTAGTTCATTCTATCTTAATTTTAGTTTCAATTTAAGGTTTCAGTTGAGGAATATACAGACCGTTGTAAGAGCTATTCACAATCACATGTAAAATATGCAAGACTTTTGAAGTGAAGATTTGCAAAACCCGCTACTGCTAGGTGAACTTTAAATACATTTTATGCACAATATATTTTAATTGTGAAGAATTCCTTTTTACTCCACCCATCCATTAACTCTTTCCCTGCCATTGACGGAAATTTCCGGCTTTCCATGTTTTCCCTGTTATACGGTGGGGGGGGGGGGGGGGGGGGGGGGGGGGGGGCTATTACGCATCTTCCGAAAGAGTACTGAATCTTTTTTTCAAAAGACATGCAAATAAACGTCAGAAACAAGCAACAGCATATGTAAGCAGATGCATATGTAAAATAACACGATAACCAACATTAAACAGCATATAAATCTGCCTAATGTTACTGAATGAAATGTCGACCCAGGACGAGCTATAGGACTATGCAAGCATTAGGGATGTTGATGGACTCAATCTACTCCATCTATGTTTTGATCATCATTCTAAATCCGATCTGGATGTAGTTTTTGACAAAACCAAGTTTTTCTCAGCTTACTGCTCAAAATGTTTTTTTTGTTTATGAAACTTACCAACAATCAAGCTAGAATAAAACGGTTTTCTTTGTTGTTAAAAGCAGATGGGCTGTTCTTTCTTTTGATACATTGCATTGCATGTTCAGATATTCAAACAACAAAATATTATGGGGGCCATTAAAATTTTGTGAAAATAATAAAAAATGCTGGTGGTGGTTAGCAAAAAAAAAATTTAAACACTGCAAGGGAAAGAGTTAATTATATAATATTATATTATATTTAATATTAATATTTTTTGTTATTTTTATTTCAGTTAGAGCTTGAACCATTGTTTTTAGTTTTGTTTCTGTAAGTTTTCCTTTCTATTTCTTTCATACTTTCTATTAAATGATGTTATTTCAGTTAAAGAATATGTGTGTGTGTGTGTGTGTTACCCTAAGTGCCATCTTCATCTTGAGTGTAGCACCGGGTCCTGAGTTCTTGAGAAGGAATCGCTGACTGATAGTCATCTGATCCTCCTGCAGCAGCTTAGACAGAGGAAGAGAAAACGTCCCTAGGGAACACTCGTGTTTGTCATCCTTTACCTGCACACACACACACAACATCAGAATGTGCAAGAAACATCTGTCTTGTAAGCATGGAAAGTTCCAGATTTTTATACTATATATATATACACACTCACCTAAAGGAATATTAGGAACACCATACTAATACTGTGTATGACCCCCTTTCGCCTTCAGAACTGCCTTAATTCTACGTGGCATTGATTCAACAAGGTACTGAAAGCATTCTTTAGAAATGTTGGCCCATATTGATAGGATAGCATCTTGCAGTTGATGGAGATTTGTGGGATGCACATCCAGGGCACGAAGCTCCCATTCCACCACATCCCAAAGATGCTCTATTGGGTTGAGATCTGGTGACTGTGGGGGCCATTTTAGTACAGTGAACTCATTGTCATGTTCAAGAAACCAATTTGAAATGATTCAAGCTTTGTGACATGGTGCATTATCCTGCTGGAAGTAGCCATCAGAGGATGGGTACATGGTGGCCATAAAGGGATGGACATGGTCAGAAACAATGCTCAGGTAGGCCGTGGCATTTAAACGATGCCCAATTGGCACTAAGGGGCCTAAAGTGTGCCAAGAAAACATCCCCCACACCATTACACCACTTCAACTGTCCAATTTTGGTGAGCAATTATAGCCTCTTTTTCCTATTTGTAGTGGAGATGAGTGGTACCCGGTGGGGTCTTCTGCTGTTGTAGCCCATCCGCCTCAAGGTTGTGCGTGTTGTGGCTTCACAAATGCTTTGCTGCATACCTCGGTTGTAACGAGTGGTTATTTCAGTCAAAGTTGCTCTTCTATCAGCTTGAATCAGTCGGCCCATTCTCCTCTGACCTCTAGCAACAACAAGGCATTCTCGCCCACAGGACTGCCACATACTGGATGTTTTTCCCTTTTCACACCATTCTTTGTAAACCCTAGAAATGGTTGTGCGTGAAAATCCCAGTAACTGAGCAGATTGTGAAATACTCAGACCGGCCCGTTTGGCACCAACAACCATGCCACGCTCAAAATTGCTTAAATCACTTTTCTTTCCCATTCTGATATTCAGTTTGGAGTTCAGGAGATTGTCTTGACCAGGACCACACCCCTAAATGCATTGAAGCAACTGCCATGTGATTGGTTGATTGGATAATTGCATTAATGAGAAATTGAACAGGTGTTCCTAATAATCCTTTAGGTGAGTGTATATGCTTGCTTGCTACCTCTTGAAGGGTTCAAGTCTACTCCTTTTGGTTACCAGCCCACATTTTTTACCTCTAGAGGTCATAACCCCATGTGTACGTGTCTGTTTGTGCTTTACCTCCACTTCAAGTTCTTGACACTTTGGATTGTGGATCAGGAATGTGAAGGCCTCCTCCCAAACCGGCTCGTTGGTTTTATATCGTTTCTATAATGACAAGGGAATGTGAAACATTTAACCTTTAAATATTTAACAAAAGTGGAAAACACAAAGGCTCTGATTCTGGAATTATTTGACCATACAAAGTCACAGTAAAGTCTGATTTAAGCAACCTTGCAGCATTTAAGCATCCTTACAGCCAAATATTGTCATACAATGACAGCTAAACATCTCTCTACTGTTAAATATAATGCCAGTGTATTTATTTATCTCTTTTCACGCAAAGCCACTTCAATGAGCTTCAAACTATTTCATATTCAAATGTGCACATGTAAGAAAAACACAATATGCACCTCTGAAATTAAAGATGGATAAAATAAAGAAGCAATCACTTGTGTGTGTCAGTGTGTTTACCTTGCTATTAAAGGATTTGTGTCCCACAGTAAACTGGACAAATGGACTGGGCACACTGGTTACCTTTTTACCGGACTGGAGAATATACAAATGTTTATTAACATCCCTTTCACATTCAAACACGTACCAATATACCATATCAAACTTAACCGCACATACTAAAGCAAAGAACAACAAACAAACAATGTGTCATTTTCAAATATGTAACAATCCGGAATACATATTTACCTAATAATGACTTGAAATTATGCTTAGTAAACATATCATATTTACTCCTGTCTAAGGAGTCTATATGAACCACACCTGTGGCTTGCTGTCAATGACTATAGACATTTAAGTCGTGAATAAATATTTAATCTATGCGATTATTACATTATTCTGAAAGTATAACCATAGCATTTAAACATTACCCCCCGGTTTCACAGACAAGGCTTAAGCCTAGTCCCAGACTAAAATGTTTGAGCTGTTTTAACTGAAAGCAACTTGCACAGACACAATAAAATATGTCAGTGCCATTGTTATGTATCAAGATGCACACCAGTAATGTTGTTTTCTAAGGAACATTATTAAAAGCTAAGAAAATGTCCTAATTTGCCCTAAAATGTCCTAAAAAGGGTTAATCCTGGCTTAATCTAAGATATATATATATATATATTTTTTTTTTTTTTCATGTTTTTCTTTTTGATTTTTTAAACTGCAGGAAGAATCTAAATGATTGATTGTGGCAAGCGACAGCATGCCATAGATGTGGTGGACATTGAATTTGGAAATATTTTTATTAAATTAAAGGATGAAAATAATCCAAATTTCTTCTATTTGGGAATATTTTCCCTTATGAATGGCATTTACTATATTAATATCAGGACTTGTTCTTAAGCATGGTCTTATATGTTGCATTTATGTAAGATCATGTGTGTATACATACGTTTGATTCGTAAATTACTTGAATCAAATGCAATCAACTCAGAACTGTGAAAATGAGATTGGAAAGCTGGCTGGGATTTGCGCGAGTGAAAAAGCTGTGGCTTCCAGAGAGCCTGTTACTGTCTGAATTCAGTGCGTTTCAGACGCAGGTCTACATGCGGTTAATCGAAGCACACGGACAGCACACGCGGTACCTGCTGCAGATCATCTTACACACAGTACCTTGAGAGCTCTTTCTACATCTTTCTTTGTGTATGTGTGTGTAAATTGTGAGAAAACTGGTTGTGTTACCTTTTTTGCTTTATTGACCGTACCCTTCTTCAGACCTGCATTGTTGAATTCTAAAGGATTGCGCTTATTTCCCCAAGCAGAAAAGGATGAGACACACGCGCAAACAAATACAAATACAGGCAGGATTATTAGGAGGATTGCATGCAGTTAAATTCATAATTGCACAAAAACACACAGACACAGAGTACTCATCCATACACAACAAAATGAATGATGGTTACAGTTTTAATGCATGGTTAACCTGATGAAAATATTAAAAGAGGAGGCCTGAGAAACGGTCCTAGCAAAACACAGTTCAGATGTCAAGGACGGTGATGAAGAAAGAATGAAAGAGAAATATAGACAAGGCAATCCAAAGAGAATCAGTCCAACCCACACTTCACTGAAAATCAACCTGCAACAATTCTAATGGCAGAAACATGCAATACCACGTACAGGATGCCTCAATAAACTTGAACGCTCTCACGGTGACAGATGAAGATGATAAAATGAGCCATGAGCCATTACAGCGACAATTATACAACAGTTATTTACGGTCCTCGAATTTGATTGGTCAAGCGTGCTGATGTTTTATAAAATATCACTTGCTTGCTGCTCAGCGACACACAACAGTTGGTGCTGTTTGGAAAAATTGAACAAATTTGTTGTGCAACGCTAGGCAAACATTTTTTAATGTTAAAATGATTAAAATAAAAAGTTGTTCAATATTACATTTCTTATAGAACTGTTGTATAAAGGCAATATCACACTCATCATTCTGTTATCTATGGCTGAATCACAGCCACTCGTTTGTTATTACTTAATTCGTATGCATTTCAAACAGTGAAGTGTAGAGTAAGAACTGTTTCGGTAACACTTCATTTAAAGAGTGTCTTTGTTACACGTTACATGTACTTACTACAGAAATAAATAACAGTAAATTATGCATAATTACAAGCCACTAACCCTTAACCTAACCCTAAAGTTAGTACATGTTAATTAATATATTACTCATTGTATAATTACACACTGTAACAAGGACACCTTAAAATAAAGTGTAACCCCTGTTTCATTCAACATGCTCCCAACTTTGACACTCTACTACACCTCTACCTTACACCCCCCAACACCTACACTACTGTTCAAAAGTTTAGAGTCTGTAAGATCTTTAATGTTTTTGAAAGAAGTCTCTTATCTTCACCAAGGTTTAAAAAAAAAACAGTAATATTGTGAAATAGTATTACAATTTAAAATAACTATTTTCTATTTTTATATATTACAAAATGTAATTTATTCCTGTGATGCAAAGCTGAATTTTAAGCATTATGACTCCAGTCTTTAGTGCCACATGATCCATCAGATCCTAATATGCTGATATTGTGCTCAAGAAACATTTCTTATTATTAACAATGTTAAAAAAAAGTTGTGCTGTTTATTTTTTCTGTAAACTGTGATAAAAAAAAAAATCCCGATTCTCTGATGAATAGAAAGTAAAAAAAAAAACAGCATTTATTTAAAATAGAAATCTTTTGTAACATTATAAAATGTCTTTAATGTCACTTTTAAACAACTCTTTCAAAAATAAAAAAAATCTTACTGACCCCAAACTTTTGAACTGTAGAGTATGTCAATGCAAAAGCTGTCTTACAGCCCTGCCCCAACCCATATCATTGCTGGAGTAACACAATCCCACGTGTACACCTGTTTATTATGGTTTAAAATAAGATCATGATGTAATCACTGAGGCTACATTCACACAGTGAATGTTCGAGATTCGCAAACAAATTTACTAACAGGTGCGAGTCTCAAATTGTCCCGTAAATACAACAGCAGACAGGAGTGGGTCGAATAATGCCTGTATGGACATGTCACTGAAGTCAATCTTTCTCTAACATAATTAATCCACAAATATTTAGTCTATTTTGAGATCATCAATATTGACCAATAACTACTTCATCCTCCTTCCAAATGTGGCCTCATCAATTAAAAACTAAAACGTTTCTGATTTCAAATAATCTTAAAGTGAATTCTGATCAAATGTATTTAGTAAATCATTTTAATTTCAGCAATTTTGTGCATTGCCTACTTTGTTATCATATGGTATTAGCATGTGTGTGTGTGACTTCTTTTGTTGTTGTTGCATTTATCTAATAATTGTTCATAAAAGTATAATGGAGATCTGTATGATAATACAAACAGTGATGATCTGACAACCTGATTTCTAGATATCGGTATCATCATTGGTCAATAAAAAAATGTTATCAGCAATATGCCCATAACCACATCATAACCTCATTTAGCACTACAAACAGGGCTCATAATAACCACACTCTGTAGCTGTGTGAACATAATAATATTTCCCTGAACTGCCTCTGACACTATATATTCAAATGCCCTCTTTAAAGGAAAAAAGTACACCTTTGCAATGGAAAAACAACTGCACACCAAAAAATGGCTGCATTAACACCTCTAATACAGAGACTATTTATATCTATGCAAAATGCAGACAGGGCCTCTCTGAATACTAGCATGCTGACATGACGAACCAGGACATAAACAAATACAAACAAAGCAGTCCGCAGAGTTTGAACAGCATTACAGGAAGAATTTACATGCAAAAGGGAAGTTGAGAGGAAACTATGAAACATTTGTAAATGAAGTAACCAGCTGTTAATGCACCAGATGCAGGTAAAATCTAATGGAAATGCAGCAGAGTGACTCACAAACATTGTCCTGTAGAGGGCAGAAGTGTTCTCACAGAACACCAGCCCAGCAGAGCGGCGCTCTCTCAGACACCCACTGCCCACGTACCCCTCAAAAACACTCTTCACCCCGAACGACAGGAAACCAGAGCAGGGCAACAGAAAGAAATAGAGGATGAAAGAAGAAAAGGCAAAGTGTAGTAGGAGAAGTGATGTCAGATGAAATAGGGAAGGTGGAGCACTGAGAAATAAGGAAGCAAGAAAGAAAGCTAGTGTGTGTGTGTGTGTGTGTGTGTGTGTGTGTTTTAATACTCACTGGCAGATTTTTGGCTGAGTCCAGGAGCACCAGCAGTAATGCTGATGACAGTCCATCATTGGCCTGCCCTTTATATGCTTTAACGCTGCTTAAAACCTAAAAAGCAACACATACAATTTTCATCAGTGTGTGTGTGTGTGATCTACATTGTGGGGATCTTCCACTAAAAGAAAAAGACTAAATAATGTCTAATTTTACATGCCTAAATAATGTCTAATTTTACATGCAATAAGGTGCATCCCTATTACTATATTTACTAAGATTTTAACCCTACTGTTTCGGCTACCAACAATTTTTGGCCGAAATCAGTGACCGAAACAAATGTTTAATTAGCGGTTCTCTGACAGCATGTTCTGACGGTTTAGCATCTATTGATAATAATAAGAATTGTTGAAGCACCAAAATAGGACATTATTATGCTTTCTGAAGGTCTTCATGTGACACTGAAGACCAGATTAATAATGCTGAAAACTCAACTTTTCCATCACAGGAATAAATTACATTTTAAATTATATTAAAATGGAAAATAGTTACTTTAAACTTAATAATATTTCACAATATTACGGTTTCTGCTTTATTTTTATTAAAAGACTTCTTTCAAAAATATACAAAAAATTCAACCCAACCCAACCCAAATTTTGATTTTGTTATTTGATCAGTTAAGTCTGATTTGTAAACAGAAGTCATATCATATCACTATGTTGTGTTTAAGGGGAGTGTTATGTTACCTCGTCGAGTTTATCAGGTGTAGGGAGAAGAGAAAGCCATTCAATCTTCAGGTGAAGCTTCCCTTTAGCGATATCATCAAGTACAAACCACTGCACACAAACACAAGTCAGGGGATTTATTATATAAATAAGTTTATAATATATTTTATAATATAAAAACATATGGGTTTGGAACATCATATGGGTTTGGAAAGTCATATGGGTTTGGAACATCAAGCTACTAATTTAAGCAGTTTTTCTGTAAGACCAAAATCAGACAAAAAAATAAAATTTGTACCTCATCTACTTTCTGTTCCTTCTGTAGTTCATCTACATTGAGAGTAAGACTAAAGAATACAGGAGGAGAAACATCAGATTAACACACACACACACACAATGGGTTTCTATGTTTTATGGGGACTTTCTATAGACATAATGATTTTTATACTGTACAAACTGTATATTCTATCCTCTGACCTTAACCCTAACACCTAAACCTAACTATCACAGAAAACTTTCTGCATCATTACATTTTCAAAATAACATAATTTAGTGTGATTCATAAGCTGTTTTCGGGGACCAAAAATGTCCCCACAAGGTCAAAGATTTCTGTTATTTCTATCCTTGTGGGGACCAAACGTAGGGAATAGCTGAACCACAGACACACACAGACCCTGAAAATCTTTATGGTGGGATTCTGAAGTATGACTTCTTGTGATTATTTGATGATTGATTAGATCAATCACAGCCATTACCTTCCCAGAAAATCATCCTTATCTGTGTCCTCATCATACAGCTCTATCTCCAAATTCTGTCCTGAGTGATCGTACACACATGCCTAAAACACACACATAAACACCTAGGTTAGCAATTCAAAACATGTCAGTGATAGACACACTTGCACACAAATCAGCCCCTTACCTCATAAACTTCATTCCATTTAGGGTTTATCGACTCTTTGATGACTTTGGATCTGAAGAGCTGATTACCGAGTTGAAGGACCCCATACGGGTCCGACTTTCCTTTTATCATACCACCCAGAAACGTGTCCTTCCCCACCAGGTCCTGTGCTTCCAGAAAGTGAATCCGCAGAACGCCCTACACCAAACACACACGCATTATATGATAGAAATATTATCTGTACACGTGTATGTGAAGCGTGTATGTGTGTGTGCGTGTCACCTTTGGCATAGGGAAGCGGAGTCTGGAAATCTGTGCATCGTTTACAAGTGGAATAGTGATTTTGTTTGGCAGCACAAGAAAACTGTATATGATATCCTGAATAACACTGTCACACAGACCACTGTAAGAGAGAGATAATAAAAAAAAGACATATAAAAACAAACTACTCAAATGCGTTAAATTCAGTCTATCCACCCACCCATCAATAAATACATACAGCTTATGAACCATTATCTTCCAAAGATTTTTTTAAGGGCTATTATGGACCACTTGCAATACATACAATCATGTATATATATATATATATATATACAGTATATGTGTGCGTGTACGTTAAAGCTCCATAACGCTTCCTCCATCCTCCCCCAGCAGTTCTCCATTAGTAGCATTCTCATTTAAGTATTGCCATTTATAGTCATTGAAACCTCTTACATCCCCAGTATGTTAATGACTATCTATAGCATTATTTTTTCAATTAATTTGCATTACTTGAACATGTACTTCATTTGAGAGTGATCAAAGAATTCAGATTGATTTCAGCTCCGATGTCTGAGCAGAAGAGAGCATGAAATATGACTCTTCTGTAAGGGTGTGTGTGAGAGAGAGAGAGAGGAAAATATATAACAAAAGACAAGATCTCATTCCCCACGCCTAAACCACACCAGCTCCACCTATAATATGACTATAAAAGGAAAGAGAGAGAGAGAGAGAGACTCTGGAAAAACACATTAAACTCTACATTTGGACACATACGTTGATGGTAGGGGATCCTAGGGCGGCCTTTAAGATAAACAGATTATTATAAGACCCCATCATCACCATCACAAGTGGGTGTAACCTCTGATGTGGTCTGACAGGAAGAGCAGCATTTCTGAGACTAGAGTGAGCGTGTATAATGTTTGTGTGAGAGACTGTTATCTATGTCACCTCAAAATACTAAATAGGTCATGTGACAGCATGTGTGTGTTTCAAAGGGAGGCTGACTGATCCACTTTCCAGGTTCATGAAACTGACATACGGTAATAACATGACTACATTATATATAATGCATGTGTGTGATGGCTGACACGTGTCACTCACTTTATTCCAGGAATGTCCAGCATATTTGTAAGACCCGTCCAGTTTATATCCAGAAACTGAGAGAGATACAGCCACATTTAACATTGTTTAATACATTATGGTTGTAGGTGCAAATGCCTGTGTTTGTTTCCTATAAAATATATCCTTTATCTTTCACAGCAGTAACAAGGCCATTGAACTGATATATAATGTTAATATAACAGTAACTGCACACTTTATCAGCAGTCTTGGTCCTCAGTCCTCAAAAAAAATCTTCAGTAAAGAGTTTCAAGCCATGAACCAAACCAAAAAACTTTGTTTTTTAAAGCAAAAAAGTATTTGAAAATAGGAACAAGACTGTATATATGTATTTAATGAAGGATATAAATTATTATATCCAGTCTTCAGTGTCACACGATCCTTCAGAAATATTTGTAATATGCTGATTTAGTGCTCAGAATTTTTTTTTTAGTATTATCTTAGTTGAAAAAATTTTGTTCTGCTTAATATTTTTGTGGAAACCGTGATATATATATTTTGGATTCCTCAAGAGAACAGCATTTATTTGCAATGGAATATTTATGTATCAATGTACAAGTCTTAAAACTTAATGCATCCTTGCTGAATAAAAGGATTCATTTCTTTTTTTGGATCAAGACTTCCAGGTAAATTATAAAAATAGCAGTTAGTGTTGATTTTGATGCAGAAACCAACACTTTATCTTAATGTTTAAGATACTGATATTAAAGTAAAGTATCCAATAGATCAATATTCTGGATCAAGACTTCCAGGAAATGAACAGCTGAGAATGAGATGAACGAGGAATAGATTTAGATATTTCTTAACAGTTTCTGCAGAGCAGGTCAGTGCAGTGTTCTGAGTCTGATCAAAAAAACTTTAGTGGAGTAACAAGGGGGCGGGTTATTGTTAAATAACAGGCACATTCTCATCATTCTTTATATTGTATGATCTCATCTAATGTATATGTCAGGTATGTAGTATAAAAAACTAATCAGATACAAAGACACATTGAAAGCAAGTTCTTCTGCAATATGTTTGTCTGTGTGTGTGTGTGTGTGTGTGTGTGTGTGTGTGTGTGTGTGTGGTCACATGGTGGTTAACGTACGGGTTTCTGGAGGAAGAACACAGACAGGGCGCCAATCAGAGGCATGTCTCCTAGCAACGGGTCCATGATGACCCTCAACACCCCATTAAGCTACACATACAAACAACAAAGCAATAAATGGTAAGCAAAAAAATGTAGCAGTACAAAATATCATTTTATAATATTTTTCATAATTAATCTGACATTTAAAGGCACAGTATGCAAGTGTCGCCGCTAGAAGTTGCTTTTTCAAAACAAAAACAACGTTTTTTTTATGCTTATATGCCATAGTCGGCCGCTCCAGCTTCTTTCGTTATGTTGTTTATGTCCATTACAATTAAAGTTACGTTTAACGTTTGCCTGTTCCTGCCTCCTCCTTCCCTTAACTTGAACTTTGTTACGTTTGATCACTTAAAATCACATTATTTTATTTCATTCTAATAAAATAGCCGTGAGGGCTGAATTACTGCTCATAGAAGTGAGTTTATTTTACAAATTAAAATTGTGGGGTAAGGCAGCGCTGTTTTACTTGGTCAAAACAATCATACTAAATACATTTGAGTATGTTGAAAGTTATGTTAACGTTCGCTTGGTGGCTGCTGGTATGAGACACTTGTTGCACACTGCAGTAAGCTAGTTTGATATTAGAATATCATATTAATAAAAGCTGGATGATTTGTGTTCCTAAATGGGATGTAATTCATTTTAAAATATATTGTATGATGGAGAAAATGCTGTATTACTGTTATTACAAATAAAGCTCTTTCTGATTATACTATGTTAGCCACTTGACAAAATGGTGTAGTCTGATTTACTTTTTGGGTACAAACATGTTACTTACGGTAAATCAAGAAAACAAGAGATTCCAACAATAAGACTAACAATGTTGACCTATATAACACAGATTAGTTTTCTGTCGATAATGATAATGAAACAGTTGCTCAACTGTCTAATAAAAACACATAATGTATTAAAGCGTCTTTTGGTGTTTCCATGGTTTTTACGAAAGTAGAACCGGAAATTGAAGGTAATGCGGATATGACGTCATTGACAGGTGACGGAATGAGGAGGGCTGTTACACTGGATAAAATTGCTAATTTCTCTGGTTTTAAAAATTGATGGAAACATATGGGATAATATAAGTACACAATTGAACAAAATGTATAACACTGTGCTAGTGGTTTTTGGATATTTTAAATGAAAAAAAATCTTACATATTGTGCCTTTAATCGCATTTTTTTACCAATAAAACATTGGAAAGAGGACAGGGAATCATGGGGGAAAGGAAGAATGAAAGTGAGAAATGTTGGATTTCAAACTTTCTGGCATGAGCACTACAGCTGAATGTATTGCAGCATACAGTATGCATTTACCACTAGGCATTTTAATACAAAGAATTCCGACTTATGTGTAAATCGCATGCGTTATATGCGCAGGTCACCGGAGTGATCCTGCTCAGGTCATTTCCTGATACCACCACCCCTCCTCTCCATATCGTTTCCTGTAACATCTCCACTATCCTCTCCAGTTAAAGGCAAAAGCTCATAAATAATTAAAAAAAACTTTTGCTTGCACATATATAAGAAGATACTACCATTATCTCTAATGCCTGACTCTAATTTAACAGAGAAAAGAAGCTCTTCTGACATGAAGTTCAAAAGGCTCATGTCATGTGTGGTTGCTCTGATTGTTATCAGGGTAATGGGGACCTACTCAAATGTAAGCAACTTATGCAAGCACCACACAAACAGGCATGGGTCACACAATTGTCTCTGTGTCTTACCTGTATGCTCTTGATTCCTGCACGGCAGTAGTATTTCTTAATGTCCACATCAATTTCAGTGTTTCCGACAAAACTACACAAATACAACAACAACAAAAAAGAAAAAAGAAAAAAACAGTTTTAAAAAATGCCCATTAATGAGTCCCAGTGGTTAACTGTGTCTGTGTACTTTACCTGATCTGTAGGTCCATAATAATCTGTCGTTTATCCACATTCTCTGTATAAACTTTCACTCCATCAACCCTGAGAGGCTGCAGACAAACAAAAACATATTATATTTTGAGTTTAAGAAAAACATGTGTGGGTTTAAAAAGCTGTACTACGGGACAAATGTTGAATATGTTAAATATTAAGTTAAATATGACTAAACCTTCCTTTGTGGATGTCCTCAAAGGTACAAAAAAAAAATGATTTTTTTATTTATAATCTTTTTTATTCTTCATTTTATGGGTAGATTTAGGGTTTGAGTTGATCTGTAGCAATTATAAATAGCTTTATATAACACAACAGAAGTCTTTGGTATGTCCTCAAAGGTAAAAACAGATAAAAAAAAAAAGTGCTTTTATTAATTTATAATAAATGAATCTATTAATACAGCATAGTGAATACATTACACTAATTTAGATATAATTAAACCATCATAATATAGTTTAATAATAATTATAGCATACTTTGTAATTTATTTTTAATGTTTTTATGGGCATTTTTTCAATGCAAAAAGTTCTCTTTCAGGGAAAGGTTTAGGGTTTGAGTTATGGTATGTCCTAATTTAGATAGCTAGGTAAACATGTGCATGTACCTTGTCCCCCATGTCTATTTTGGAGAAGGTGAAAGTACTAAGGTGCGCATTGGCCCCCTGCACTGCTGGTTCAATGGTCTCTCTGAAGATTTTATCTACAAACTGACAAATATATGGCCACATCTGATGCACAGTCTGTGAAAAGAAAAGAGAAAGAGAGAGAGAGTTAATACTCTTGAGGAGACATTTCTGGGTTATCCTAGATGCAGATCTATTTTTATGAAACCACCCCACCACACACACACACACACACACACATGTTGTGTTTTCATGTTTTATGGGGACTTTCCATAGACATAATGATTTTTATACTGTGCAGACTGTATATTCTATTCCCTTACACTGCCCCTATCCCTAAACCTACCCATCACAGGAAACATTCTGCATTTTTACATTTTCAAACAACATCACTTAGTATGATTTATAAGCTGATTTCCTCATGGGGACCAAAAAATGTCCCCACACGAACAAGGATTTCGGATATTGCCATCCTTGTGGGGACATTTTGTCCCCATAACGTAGGGTTTACCAGGCCACACATACACACACACACACACACACACACACACACATACGGTACCTTGTTGAGCCACTCCACTCTCTCCACATCTGGAAAATGAACCTGAAACAGAAAACCGATTGAATAATCAGAATGTTTTATTTTATTTGAATGGCAGATTTATACACATTCAGTCTCATTTGTCACAGCACATCATCAGCTGACAGAGCACACATCACAGGTATTAAAATAGTTATAAATATTTTCATTCTTTTTTTATGACACATTGAGTCTTCAACTGTCAAGCGTGTAGGGAAAGATCCATTGGTTCATGAGTTGATAAAAAGAGGGTCTTTTTTTAATCTTAGGTTAGCCACTCTTTATTGACAGAAACATTAGAGGAAAGGTATTGTGGAGACGGAGAGAATCAGATCACACCACGGCTCACTGCTAGGCCATGGCTCACAACTTGAATGAACTAGTATTCTGATTACTCATCATTTCCATTACTCATTACAAGGCCACATTATAATAACATAATGTGGCTGTTTAACTGGAACATTTCGTTACTTTGCTGAAGACCAGCAAATTAAAGTTGCCAACAGAACATGATCTCTCAATCGCTGTCTCCCAATCTCACAGAGAGCGGTCGATGCAATTAGAAAATATCTGGATTAGAAATCAAGAATAATTTTTTTTTCTTCATTAAAATACATCATTTTCATGATGGTCCAGTTGGAGGTTCTTTAACATCGGCGTTCTTCCACAGATGCTGACACAACATACAGGATGACACTTATGAGTCAGCTCCTTTAAAGGATCAGTCATGAGTAACTGGATTTAATTGCTCTAAAGAGTTACTCACTTACTGATTCAGCTAAAGTGGTTCTTCACTAAACCTATTTAAATGAAATACATTTTACATTGGATGAATAGAATGCTACTGATCCCGATCTAAATTCTGACGTGATGCTGCCTGAATCATAATCTTACACTGTTCATTCGTTGGCCGGAGGAGAACTGGCCTGGTTTTATCCGAGGCTTTAATCATGGAGAAGAGTAAACTGTGTTAAGGAGAAAGGACCTATATGGAAAGATGTGGCACAAAAGCATGTGAGCGAGAGATATGCCAAAAAAGCCAAATGGAAAATCCCTGACTTGTATTTGGCTACATTTCTTTCTCATATTTTCCTGAGAGAGAAAGCCAGTCTATGACTCAAAGCTGTGCTATTTCCTGATTATATGCGCAGAGAGCATAAAACAGCTAAAGTTAGCCTGCTAATTCGCATAGCCTGTCAGACAGCAGTCGACGCTGATCTGATCTTATATTACTAAGACTGCATCTGTACATCTGTCTTATCTCTGCCGCAAACACACATACCTCTGGCCTTCAAAAGGCTTAGAAAGTGCTGACAGGGGTCAAAGTATCATTCACAGACACATTGTGAATACAGTATATATTTAATATTATTATTTATCTGTCTGTTTTTATAACATCAATCCCTAAACACAGTTCAAATGAGAATTGAAATGAGGCAGAAACTTCCATGCAGTACTTCCAGTTACAATAGTGCAGTTTTGGCAGGATGATACAGGCTACTAGTCTAAGCATGTGAACCTGATTCATGAAGACATGTTAACACACTGACCAAATGCAGTAATGTATGTGTGGGGGATTGATGGGCGTGGACGTGAACGTGTGCATCTGTGCAAGATCTGATCTGTTAAGCAATGTCATTTCCTATCCAAGTAAACAACTTTGTCATAAACAATCCTGTTGCCCAGTTGAGGAAACAAACACGATAATTCTGAGAGTAACAGTAGCAACCAGAAGAACTTAGACAGATTTGACCTCATCTGACCCCTAAATCAGGGGTTTAGCTGCGACCTTGATCAAAGCCACTTTCCTATCATTTTCTAGTAAGACATCTGAAGACCTTGATTAGCTTGTTCATGTGTGTTTGCAAAACTCCAATCAGAAGCGAGCATCCCTATGCCCTACTCACTATGTGCCCTACTCACATGCTCACTGTATGCTATATGGAGTAGTGCATGTTGTATATGTGTGCGTGGGTAGTCTGTTTTGTGTGCGTTTCAGGTTCCATTGGATCCACAGCCTGCGGTTCTTCACCAAGGAAGATGACGCCCCAGTTCACGCTGCCAATCACCTCACGCCACCGTTTAAATACCCGTATCTCCTCCGTGCCGGCAGCTTTTTGCTCACTTTGCTGTTTGCACACTCCCTATTAGTGCCGTTTTGTGGATATTACTGTTATTAGAGTTCTTGTATACTGTGTTTGATATTTGACTGAAATGTTCTTTGTTAGCATTGAGGTTGTACGTGTATTGTTGCATACTACTCTGTCTTCTCAAGTCGTCACTTTGTGTTTGAGGCTGGGAAGGGAGCAGGTAAGTAAGGCCCTGTTCACACTGCAGGCAAAAGTGGCCCAAATCTGATTTTTTGGGGTCAAGTGACCAGGTCAGACTTCTTCAGAGGTAGTGTGAACACTCAAATCTAGCCCAGATCTGATTTTTTCAAATCAGATTTAGACCACATACATATGTGGTCCTGAATCAGACCCAGATCTGATTTTTTTCAATGCGGCCGCAGTGTGAACAATCAAGGCGGATTTGATGCGACTTTTACGTCAATCTACGTCGACATTTGTCACAATTATGCGCCGGCGAAGCCCTAGACACAACAGACACAGACAGTAGCCTAACATTAAAAACTTGACTAGATATGGAGAACAGCGATGAAGCGAGTCAATGAGAGTGAGGTGTTAGATCTAAGTATATGGGGAGATACTTCAATTCAAGCTAGAAGGACCTACCGTAACCGCTCCGTTTTTGAAAAAATTGCACACGAAATGGAAGAACGGGGACACAGGAGAACAGCGTCTTAGTGAAACAATTCACGTCATATTCCCACCACTCCTGGCTTCGTCTACGCATCCACACAGATCTCTGTAGTGAATTTGCAACCATTAACCCGCAAAAGTTTCCATTACACAAACATTATGAAATAAATGCGAATATGCTTACTTCCTCCATAACCTCCCGAACTTTAGTGCAACCGCGTGCTGCGTCTGATGTCATTGTTATTGTTCTTTTGCGCATGCCGGTTAGTTTGAAACCTCAAACAGTTCACACTGCAATCAGATATAGGTCACATTTTAAAAGGTAATGTGAACAGCCAATCAAAAAATCGGATCTGAGCAAAAAATCAGAATTGAGCATTAGGACTTGCGGTGTGAACCACGTAGGACGTCCTTTTGTATTACACAGTAAACACAAAAATATCACAAAAAAACAAACATCTTGAATTGTTCTTTTTATATGTTAACCTGAACTCTCTTGCCATTTAGCTTTAAAATGAATCACAAGGATTCGCCACCCTGGGTCATATGACCATAAACGATAAAATGACTTCCTTGAAGTAACCATGGTATGTACCCTTCGCTAACGGACTTGTAGAAGGGCCCTTTGTGAAGGGATTCAGAGTATTCACTTTTGTTTGAAATGCCCCTAGAAAGGACGTCCCCTTCGCGGAGTGCCCTTCGAAACACCCTCAGCAGGAAAGGACCTCGAGGGCCAGAGTTGAGAACCGCTGGCCTAAATGAATAGACCAGAGGTGTAGATGGTCTTGTGAACTCAATGAAGGACTGACAGCTAGAGCTGCTTAATGATTTGGTGAGGTATCACAGGCACGTCCTAGAGTCAGCACGGCTGCTGAACAGGTCAAAGGGCATTTGCCGTTTTGTCAGCTGGGCAGACAGTCAGAGTGTCAGACTCGATGCAAGAAACTGATTGGACCGTATTATTAGCACATGACTGACATACAAAAATATGTCAAATATGAGGAAGGAACAGTAGGGATGCACTCAGCCATTGCAAATTTGCCAGCTATTTTTTTAATTTAGTTTTAGTCTCGTTCTGTCAAATGTACTTTTTAGTTTTTATCTTTAGTCAACCTTGTCCTGTTTTTGTTTAGTCAAGTTTTAGTCAACTAAATGTCTATAAAGAGCATTTTAGTCTAGTTTTAATCAAATCACATATCATGCTGCATATTTTCTTTTTTCGTCAATATACCCATATAGTCACAGTTATTGTTTAATGACCCTTATTGCCTCGTCTTAGTCATGGAAAAAAGGTTGTCAACGGATATTTTTTTGTCATATAGGCCTATTCCGTTAATGAAATTAACACTAGGATGCACAAATGTTAAATTAAATAACTATTCAATAATTGTGTTCATGTTTTGGCTAATAATTGGTGATATTAAAATTCTATACTATTTTGCCTAATAAAAAAAAATAGTATAAATTGTAGTGAAGTAGGCAATAGGCATCACATGTAATCATAATAAAATATAATGTAATAATTATAAGTGTTATAAAAGATTGTTAAGTGAGTGTAAGATGACAGAAAAGGTAATAGATAGATGGAAAAATAGATGGAAACGAGCATGCATTAAATATCCAATATCAGATGATTATATCCAATATTGACAGATACTAACAAATTAGCAATGCCAGTTGACAACTAATATATATATCATGCACCATTGAAACCAGTAAGACTTTTAGAAATGGATGATTAGCAGAATATCCAGGATTGGAATCATATTGGTTTTTAAGCACTATCAGGGTGAGTAAATGATGACTGGATTTTTGGAAGCTCTATGTTCTTCTCACATGATCAATAAGAGTTTGATTGAGTTGATGAATGGTGAAGTAAACAAGCATCTCTGCTGAGAGACAACGGACAGACTGGCACCCCTCAGCAATTTACAGACAGCGGATGACGAGATGAACGAGGCTGGCGTTGGAGAGATCTGCTGACCTAAATGACTTCTAGTTTATTCATTTATAAGAAAAGACATGAGGAGAGAAACACTGTCCACAGTGTTTCCTGAAAGAACAAGATGATGGCTGTGGATGGAAACCAATGTAGAAGACGAACAAAAACATTGGAGCTTAGCACTGCATTGAAAAGAGCCATCCATATTCTGACCACCTAATACAGAACAAGAATCTACACAAACACACTCTCTGAATGTAATTTAAAACTTGCAGCAGTCTCAAACAAACAACAAAGACTCTATAGAGCTCGATGTGACTTTGATCAGACATAGTAAAGCAAACATACTGTAATAAATCTATCAGTCACACACACACAAAGGCCCTTTCACACTGAGTGCGACGCGATAAAGCCAAGCGAATAAAAAGGTGTCTCTTGGATTATTAAACACTGTTTTGCACCAGTCCAATGGAGTCCTTTTTAACCCTTTATTAGATTTCAGAGGCTTGACTTTTTGGTTTTGTAGATTTTCAGTAGGAGGATTTGGCAATGCTGCCGAGTAGGTAATAATATTGCCAGATATTTGGCTTTTCTTTTTAATTATCAGCATTCGCTGGTAATTTTTTTTCCGTTTGGCCGATAAGTGTCACAAGTGGGACTTTTATTTTGACAGTGCTGAAAACCCAGTCATCTGAGAACCCAGAATCTGTGGTCATTATTGTCTTTATTTAACAGTTCTGTCTAATAATAGAAAGAGAAAAGAGAACTATGATGCGCTATATCCAGTTGGCCGTTATGTCATATTCATTGTGTAATGCATGTAAAATTAGCATTGTCTGGTCTTTAGAAAAAGTGATTCCCAGTGCACTCAGACATTTTTTATATTTTTTTCAAGAAGTATAACATTAAAGGTGAATTGCGCAAGTCTCTGAGTTTTTGCAGAACTACGCCCCCTCTGGCGACAAGTGAAACTGCAACCAGAGGTGTGCACGCTCATGGACCACACGCATACGCACGCTTGCACGAGCACGAGCTGTTCATAACCAAAGGAGCATCAGCCGCACAAATCTTTTGTATACAGTCATAATGTCTTCAGAGGTAATAAAGTTATAAATCTGCAAGTCATTTTAAATATATGAAAGGAAAGGCATTTGAGTAAATTACACACTTATGTGTGAGGGGAAAACAGGGGTAGTAGAAAACTTTGTTTTTTGTTTCCATCTATCTCCATGTTGAACTGTTTTATGTGTTTACTGTATCCACTTATGATTGTATTATTATGGAAACACGTTCATGAACAATATAAGTTATTACTTTGTAAAAGCCAACTGAGGATCCCGTTTGAGCCCTAGAGCAGACTGGAGATCTCTCCATTTGTTGAAAGCCTTCCCGATGTTGACTCTCGTCTTATTCCGACGCCTGTCTGACTCCAATTTGGCCCTTTTGGTGGCACTAGACAAAAGTTTTCTTTTCTTTGTCTTACGTGGAGTTTGCGTTGGGGTTTGGAATGAACTACAAGCCGGTATCTTAGAATCCATCTTCTACTTTTGTCGAAAGTTGACTAAAGTTTTGTCGCTCGAGTTGTCGGAGAATGGCGGCGAATACACAAACCTGCCAGACATAGCCAAGTGAGCGTGAACGCGCATGACGTCACGCCCAGTCTCAAATCCCGTCCCGAATCCCTCTTATTTATTTTACTGTACAGGATTATAGAGGCAATCGCAGTGATCAGAGAAGGGCTCATTCAGCCCATCAGGGCAATTGTTTAAGCATGTATGGGTTAGAAAAACGGGTATTTTTAACATGAAATGTTGCGCAATGCACCTTTAAATATAGATAGTATTACAGTATAATAGTAGTCCTATTACAGAATCAAGAATTTGCTATTCTAAAGATTTTTTTAAAAGTTTAAATCATTTTCAAATGATTTATTTCTAATTATTTTAGTAAATACTATGTCAAATAATGTGATTACAGCATTTGTACTGCACTCTAAAATATAGTTTGGCGGGCCAATGTCGATATCAGTCGACCACTACTCGGAAGCAGATTATGTATAATGAATGAGTTACACAGAAAGGTTAGGAGGACAAACCAAAACCCCTTGTGTGTACACTTCATGGTTCAGGTAACACAAACTTCACTTGCTTTTCATCGCCATGTTTGATATAACGATTCCCATGTTAGTTATGAACACGTGCACAAACAGAGACACACAATAGGATGGGAAAACTGTCTTTATAAAATCTGCCCTCCAGGAAAAGAGTTATTGTGTCTGCTCGTACACCATTAACCCAAAAGGGAAAGTGGTGCGCCTCATCTGAGTGACAGGTCACTATAGCAACATTTCCTCAAGCATTTGACTCACTATGTGTTGGTGATGTCATAATAAAAATGTTGAATGTCGTAATGACAGTTACTGTAGAAACGCACCACACCCACTAAGGAGAGGTTCTTTCACCATATGTGGCTATCATCTGACACAAATAAACAATATATGACCTGAACTTGTTTACCAACACACTTCACTCAAACACATATGCTTAAAACTAATGATTGTTGTAAAGTTGAATGTCTGAGTGTGTGAAGGGTTTCATTTTTAAAAACTATCATATAACACAATAATCCACTTTCAAGTAGGTTCACAATCGAACGAACCATGCAACCAACCCAAGTCAGACCATCAGTCAACCTGAGTTTCACGAATTACCTGTTCAAGTTACTTAATATCAGGCTAAAACTGAAAGAAAGAACAACGACAGCCTGTCTGGCCATGCAAGAGGAGTGAGTTAAAGCTAATGGAGTGAACACTGGAATTTTGTGTCCCTGAATGACTCTTTCAGCACAGAGGCCTGTTAACGATATGAAATAATATGCCAGAACTGTGATCTCAGGTTAGACAGCGCACTCATTTGTTTAAAGTAACAGAACCAGAGAGTGTCTGCAGGCCAAAAGAAACAGACATGACAACCTGGCTTGTCCATGTGTGTGTTTAAAACTTTGTAGATTTCCCACAAGGATTCAAGTTTATGTTTCTACCTGAGCATGACAAATGATTTTGAATGCAGCCACTGATTTAATATTTCAGAATCGAATCTGGGTATTGGCCCTTATAAATAAAAATATCTTTAGTGTGTGTATACATATATCTTTAAGGAAAGAAGTTCCTTACGGTCATCAAGGGTGCATTTATTTGATCAAAAACACAGAAAAAATTATGAAATATTATTACAATTTAAAATAGACTAAAATATAAAAAGACTGGAGTAATGATGATGAAAATTCAGCTTTGCATCACAGAAATAAATTATATTTTAATTTACTGTTTTTTCTCTATTTTTGTTCAAATAAATCATGATGAGCATTAGAGACCTCTTTCCATTAAAGAAAGTAAAGTTTCCAAACTTTTGTTTTGACCAGTGCTGTGTGTATGTATATAGGCTATATATATATATATATATATATATATATATATATATATATATATATATATATATATATATATATAAATAAATAATTTTATTTATTTATAATGGCCGATAAGATATATCCTAAATAGTTATATCCTAATTATTATATTATTATTCATGCCATTGGATTTATGCCATGTAGAAGAGCATAAATATAAATAAATAAGTAGACAAATTCAACTCGACTATCGGTCTCTCACTAGACCTATGGGACATGGTCCATGGAATACTTTACCTATGGAAGAGCTTAATAGTGAATCTTCTCAGGTCAAATGTTGGATTGGTGGTTCTAAATCTGAGGTCTTGATTGGATTTCGTGACTCTTCAGGTATGTAAGCAATGTCATTGGTGAATACACATACTTTTGACAGCATCAGACTTTAACCACACGCACACACACACACACACACACACACGTAAGTCTGAATTAGTGCTACAGGTCAATGCTGCCCCTGGGGTCAAAGTTCTCCATGTCAATCATTCACTCACCCACGGCGGCAGCTCTGTGCTCCGGACGGTCTGACGCACCGCTCGCTCCTCATGCTCCAGAAACGCCAGTGCCTGGTTGACCCGAGCGAATCTGGTCCCCTGGTTCCGCCTGAGCCAGAACAGCACGGCCAGGCCGATGAGGACCCAGCTGAAACTGAACTCCAGATATCCCAGCACGTAGATGGGAAAAATCACCAGGAATGTCTTGGCGAACTTAATTCCCATCTGCGTGGCGTCCGTCATCGAAGACTGCGGCTCCTCGTCCGGTACAACCGGCTTGGGTGTTGTGACATCTTTGGGGGTCGGAGCAGAACCCGGTCCGTTCTGACTGACCGCTGGTGCGGCTTTGGGTTCCACTCCGTTTGCTGACGTACTCATCTCCAAAGTACACAAATCCAAAACAAACAACAAAACTAAAAACTAAACAACTAAAGAAACAAGAGAGTTTCTAAAGAAACATCTCAAACATGTAAGAATATTTATAGTAAACAAAACGAGTCGCGTCGCTCGGTTCCGGCTCTTCCCAGGAGCGCAGATGATTGGATCAGCGCTGCTCCCTAAACTGCTCCCCACCCGACCTTGCCTTGTATGGAGCGGCCGTCGGCCCGTGATTTTCCGCCCTTCACAACGAACTTCAACTCGCTCGAGTCTTCCAGCTGCTGCCCCGTCTCTGAGCGCGCGCCACGTCTCGCTGTCCCTATCGTCACCACGCGAGCTGTGAGTGGCACCACCTCTCGCACTCACTCTCACCACATCCTGCAACAACACACACGCACTTTGACCAAACCCGCTGTTCTGGATACACAGTGACAGGAAGCTTCAGTTCTCACTGGCAGAATAAGGGAGGCGCAACGAGCGTACACGAGCGGTCCGGAAGCGCCACCTTGTGGACTAAACTTAATACACAGAAACTCTTCACAGTTTATGATTAATATAAGCGCATTCATAATCAATCTATCTATCTATCTATCTATCTATCTATCTATCTATCTATCTATCTATCTATCTATCTATCTATCTATCTATCTATCTATCTATCTATCTATCTATCTATCTATCTATCTATCTATCTATCTATCTATCTATCTATCTATCTATCTATCTATCTATCTAAACTCTTCACAGATTAATATAAGCGGTTCACTATTACACTGTAAAAAAGGATCGTGATTTTAACGGTTAAAGACTGTAAAAACCAAATGTTAATTGGTTAACCGAAAGTTTCCTATATAGGGTGAATAGCTGTGATATATCTAACCGTAGGCTACATTTCAGGGTTAGGGTTACAGTTTTTGGACGTGAATAGAAATTGTATAATTTACAGAGGAAAAAACGTAAATTGACATTCCCACAATTCCCTGCGTGACAAAGGGAATTGTTCAAAGTTTTTCTTAGTTTTTTTCTTATCAGTTATGTACATTAGGGTTTAATGTTACATTTAATATTGTTAAATTAATGTTTATTGCATTTTTAAAATTTCATGTGTGTTCCCATGATGGTGTTGTTTAGAGTTTGTGTTAACACTGTGCAGCTTCTTCATAATGATTTTAATTTTCCCAACTGGTGGATAAACTCTTTTTAATGAGCTTAGATTAATCATGTGACTCTAATCTCCATTGAGAATGGTGGTTGTCATTGTATTACGATAATACAAAGTAGATATCCTTCAGTATGTAGGTAAATTCACATTAGGCTATATCAAATAATAGTTTTTTTTTATTTACAAAATTTAACGGTATCTATTTATCTATCCATCGGACTAAACTTAAAATGCAGAAACCATTCAAATGATTAATATAAGTGCATTCATAAATTTACTATTATCTCTATCTATCTATGAACAAAATCTGGCATTATTTTGCCCCTCTGAGTTAAGCAGCAGATGCATCAGTCTGACATGCAGTAGGTCAGGAGAACCAGTTTGGCTTGTAAGACCAAAAAAAAAAAAAAAAAAAAAGAATATTTATAGTTCATTCCTTTTCCGCATACATTACTCCACTCAGCATTCAATTAGAGTAAAACATTCATTTTGTTCACTAGATGGCAGTGAATGTACATTGTGATCCTCAACAAAAGTTTGCAAGGCAGACATGTTTTCTCAATAAGAATAGTTGAAAATATTTTATTGACATATGAAAAGACATAGTGACATAATCAAAGTGCTTTTGTATCTTACATGTAATGAAAGCTTCAAAAATAAATAAAGATATAATAAACACACATTGTGCATATGTCATTCTGTCCATTCCTCCCTCCTTCCCTCACTTTCTCTCTCTAGATATAGACATACAACAGGAGAGATCAGCTGCTGCTGGGCAATGAGTCTAGAATGCAAATTCTATTTCACATAATCTATATTTATGTGTATCACAGTGCAGATATGATCTTGTTCATATACATGATAAAATTACAGTTATGTTAGCCTAAACTATTAAAAGTCACAAAAAATGATGTTGCAAAAGCTAGACAAAACAAAACAAACAATTTTCTGTACATAATTAACAAGTATGAAAATGACAACATTAGTATCATTAAAATGATAAACATGCTAAATGAGTATGTGATATTTTAATACAACTTCAAAAATGTGTATCAACAAAGACAACAAAGACGAGCATAAAACAACAATATATACGCAAAGAAAAGTACGTAAAAGCACAAATATGACATATATTTGTGATCACAGGTTTAAAAACACAAATAAATAACATGGATTTAATTGGCAACAGCAATATTTATCATATAAAATCCCGTTCTTTAAATTAAAATTAGTATGCAAGTTAAAAAAATAACCAACACTAGCAAAATATTTGGCGACACAATCAAAAATGAAAATAAGAACTTAAAGATATGCTACAGGAGTCCTTTAAGTCTTTTAAGTCCCTCTGTGAATGATGTGCGAGTGTGTGTTTGCTATTTTTAGGGTGTTCAATCTACAGTTAGCAGGCTGACAGAAGTGCTGGGAGTGAGAAGGTGCTGGAAATCATGGTTGTTGTGCCTATCTTTAAGATCATCGCGTGTGTGTTTCTACATGTTGTAAGCCACATATACGGGGTCGAGCTGGTCGGCGAGGAAACCGTCTCGCAGGTGCATGCGTTGCTTCTCTCCGCGAGAGTTGATGGGAATTACGCCCGTATCCACAACGACCACCACACCCACAATCAAGTAGTGTTCTTCTAGAACCACATTAGTTACCATTGGAACCAGATCTAGAGCTTCCTGCTCAGAACCGTCCAGCTCCACCACCACCACTAGGAGATTCGTCCATGTGAACACCGCACTGAATGAGAGAGAGAGAGAAAGTTTGAACCTTGCGCTATGAATGCAAGATAGCTTGAGTTCACAAGTAGCTGCTTTTCTAAAATGTGTATTCATTGTGCAATGCAACTACGCTAGGCATTAGCATAAACTGTCTTCATCTGCACTGCAGTTAGTTTTCACTCTGATCAACTACTGTATTGTCAGCAACATTATAAAGAGAATCTTGCTGAGTAAACAAGTTTATGGATGCCTACCTGAATAATAACATATCCAGTTTAAGGGCACAGACATTTAAAGGGAACTATTTCCTCCTTGAATATTGAGGCTCGCGACTGCCAGGAAAAACATGTTAATGTTGAATGTGGCTTATCCAATTATTTTTATGATTTATTAAAGTGTGTTGAGACTTTGGTTATTAACTCGTGTTATTTAATGTGCAGCTGCTGTTTTTTCAGTTCAGTTTAAAAAATATATATTTTAGGTTTTATTTCCAGTAAAAATAAGTATGCTTCCATATACGTATACCCTACCGTTTCAAAGTTTGGGGTCAGCAGTATTTATTTTTCAAAGAAATTAATAAATGTAATAATCAAGAATGAATTAAAATGATCTAAAGTAACAGTAAAGACATTTATAATGTTACAAAAGATTTCTACTTCAAATAAATGCTGTTCTTTTGAACTTTCTATTCAAAGAATCCTAAAAACATGTAAAAATATTAAGCAGCACAAATGTTTTTAACATTGATAATAACAAGAATTAGAATTAATTAGAAATAGGCGTATTAGAATGATTTCTGAAGGATTATGTGACACTGAAGCCTGGAGTAATGATGCTGAAAATGCAGCTTTACTATCACAGGAATCAAATAACATCTTAAAATATATTAAAATAGAGAACTTATTTTAAATTGTAATAATATTTCACAATATTGTAATATAAAACGATTATATCGTATCACAATATGACATGGTTCCCACCCCTAATCTCTGTGTGTTCGTGTGTGTGTGTGCGTGTGTGTGTGTGTGTGTGTGTGTGTGAGCTCACCACTCTGTGATATTCCGATGTGCCCTGATGATGGACGTTTCAATGTCAATGGGATGGTATTTCATACCTCTCAGCTCCATGACTTCATCTAATGCTCCCACCACATAAAGGGCATCGTGCCTTTCTGAACACACAAATAAAACAACTCATACCAACTCCACTGCTCAATGCAAATCAAATATATTTCTCTCTATGAATACACGGTCTTTATCTGGGACTAAATGCCCAATATATATTGAACACACACACACACCTCCGCTTGCATCAGTGAGGTCGGTCCTGCGCAGAAACCCCAGGTATCCGGTTCTGGCCCACACAGTCTGAGTGTCTCCAAAGCTCAACCTGGCTCCGAAATGATCCGAACGCACATTTTCCTCTCCGAACACAGTGAAGTACCCACTGGCATTCTGTGGACTATGGACCCAGATCTGCACACATTTTAAAACGGACCCAAGTGAGATGCTTGGTTATGAGGAGATATTCTTTTATCTGATAGACAAGAGAGTGCTACTGGTCTAACCTCCCCTAAATGAGAGTCTCCGATTGGTCCCTTCGTCTCTGGGTTAGCGATGATGATGCGGACACCAGGTAAAATCTGTTCAAAAATAAAGAAAAAAAGTCACATTTTGGAATCTAATGTGGTTTACATTTAATTTAAGGAAACAAATAAAGAAACATTTAACTGTCTTCCTAACCTTCCCAGATTCCATGAGAGGTAAACTATGTGGAGATCCTCTTTCAACCAGTCTCACCCTGCAAACACATACAGTCTTACTTCAGATGAGGATCTGATAGAAAAAAAATGTATTGTTCCAAATATATGACAGTGTTTTGTTTTTTTGGAAATCCATCTGAAAAAATGGGTTTGACATATATTTAGGGTCTAGATTTATACATATAAATAATACAGACGCAACAATAGGGAGAGCTAAATAATATGTGTAAAGTGACTGGAGTGTTTCCCCCATGACTGATAAACGCAGCAGAGTCATCAAACAACTCTTATTAAGCAGCCAAGAAATACGGTGTGTAAGAGTGCAATGTTAGAAGATGGCGAACCCAAAAAGTCTTAAAAATGCTAAAAGCTTACCGCGGTCCTAAAAGTGTCCGCTTCGAAGAAATTGACAGGCGAGTGTGTCAGTACGTAGACGAAAAAATAAACGAGGGGCTGCCCATAACTAGAGCCGTTATTCAGCTGAAGTCACTGGAATTCGGAAAAGAGCTGAACATCCCCACCAGCGAGGCCCCTCGTTTCTTATTTCGGCTATGTTCTGACACACTTGCCTGTCAATATCTTCAGAACGGAATGTCTTTTCGGCGTCATGTAATTGGCTTAAGGAAAAAAACATTCAAATTCCCTGGATCAGATAGGTAATGCGGATCAAACACCTGTATTTTTTTTTAAAGGGGGGAGGGGGTCATCTTATAATCAGGGCCGTCTTATATTCATAACAATACCGTAATTTATATATATCCGTCCTTCGGATGAGACGTTAAACCGAGGTCCTGACTCTCT